ACGAAGGTAAAGGTACTTCTGGACTGACGAAGGTAAAGGTACTTCTGGACTGACGAAGGTAAAGGTACTTCTGGACTGACGAAGGTAAAGGTACTTCTGGACTGACGAAGGTAAAGGTACTTCTGGACTGACGAAGGTAAAGGTACTTCTGGACTGACGAAGGTAAAGGTACTTCTGGACTGACGAAGGTAAAGGTACTTCTGGACTGACGAAGGTAAAGGTACTTCTGGACTGACGAAGGTAAAGGTACTTCTGGACTGACGAAGGTAAAGGTACTTCTGGACTGACGAAGGTAAAGGTACTTCTGGACTGACGAAGGTAAAGGTACTTCTGGACTGACGAAGGTAAAGGTACTTCTGGACTGACGAAGGTAAAGGTACTTCTGGACTGACGAAGGTAAAGGTACTTCTGGACTGACGAAGGTGAAAGGTACTTCTGGACTGACTGACGAAGGTAAAGGTACTTCTGGACTGACGAAGGTAAAGGTACTTCTGGACTGACGAAGGTAAAGGTACTTCTGGACTGACGAAGGTAAAGGTACTTCTGGACTGACGAAGGTAAAGGTACTTCTGGACTGACGAAGGTAAAGGTACTTCTGGACTGACGAAGGTAAAGGTACTTCTGGACTGACGAAGGTAAAGGTACTTCTGGACTGACGAAGGTAAAGGTACTTCTGGACTGACGAAGGTAAAGGTACTTCTGGACTGACGAAGGTAAAGGTACTTCTGGACTGACGAAGGTAAAGGTACTTCTGGACTGACGAAGGTAAAGGTACTTCTGGACTGACGAAGGTAAAGGTACTTCTGGACTGACGAAGGTAAAGGTACTTCCCGACTGACGAAGGTAAAGGTACTTCTGGACTGACGAAGGTAAAGGTACTTCTGGACTGACGAAGGTTAAGGTACTTCTGGACTGACGAAGGTAAAGGTACTTCTGGACTGACGAAGGTAAAGGTACTTCTGGACTGACGAAGGTAAAGGTACTTCTGGACTGACGAAGGTAAAGGTACTTCTGGACTGACGAAGGTAAAGGTACTTCTGGACTGACGAAGGTAAAGGTACTTCTGGACTGACGAAGGTAAAGGTACTTCTGGACTGACGAAGGTAAAGGTACTTCTGGACTGACGAAGGTAAAGGTACTTCTGGACTGACGAAGGTAAAGGTACTTCTGGACTGACGAAGGTAAAGGTACTTCTGGACTGACGAAGGTAAAGGTACTTCTGGACTGACGAAGGTAAAGGTACTTCTGGACTGACGAAGGTAAAGGTACTTCTGGACTGACGAAGGTAAAGGTACTTCTGGACTGACGAAGGTAAAGGTACTTCTGGACTGACGAAGGTAAAGGTACTTCTGGACTGACGAAGGTAAAGGTACTTCTGGACTGACGAAGGTAAAGGTACTTCTGGACTGACGAAGGTAAAGGTACTTCTGGACTGACGAAGGTAAAGGTACTTCTGGACTGACGAAGGTAAAGGTACTTCTGGACTGACGAAGGTAAAGGTACTTCTGGACTGACGAAGGTAAAGGTACTTCTGGACTGACGAAGGTAAAGGTACTTCTGGACTGACGAAGGTAAAGGTACTTCTGGACTGACGAAGGTAAAGGTACTTCTGGACTGACGAAGGTAAAGGTACTTCTGGACTGACGAAGGTACTTCTGGACTAAGGGACTGACGAAAAGGTACTTCTGGACTGACGAAGGTAAAGGTACTTCTGGACTGACGAAGGTAAAGGTACTTCCCGACTGACGAAGGTAAAGGTACTTCTGGACTGACGAAGGTACTGACGAAGGTAAAGGTACTTCTGGACTGACGAAGGTAAAGGTACTTCTGGACTGACGAAGGTAAAGGTACTTCTGGACTGACGAAGGTAAAGGTACTTCTGGACTGACGAAGGTAAAGGTACTTCTGGACTGACGAAGGTAAAGGTACTTCTGGACTGACGAAGGTAAAAGGTACGAAGGTAAAGGTACTTCTGGACTGACGAAGGTAAAGGTACTTCTGGACTGACGAAGGTAAAGGTACTTCTGGACTGACGAAGGTAAAGGTACTTCTGGACTGACGAAGGTAAAGGTACTTCTGGACTGACGAAGGTAAAGGTACTTCTGGACTGACGAAGGTAAAGGTACTTCTGGACTGACGAAGGTAAAGGTACTTCTGGACTGACGAAGGTAAAGGTACTTCTGGACTGACGAAGGTAAAGGTACTTCTGGACTGACGAAGGTAAAGGTACTTCTGGACTGACGAAGGTAAAGGTACTTCTGGACTGACGAAGGTAAAGGTACTTCTGGACTGACGAAGGTAAAGGTACTTCTGGACTGACGAAGGTAAAGGTACTTCTGGACTGACGAAGGTAAAGGTACTACTGGACTGACGAAGGTAAAGGTACTTCTGGACTGACGAAGGTAAAGGTACTTCTGGACTGACGAAGGTAAAGGTACTTCTGGACTGACGAAGGTAAAGGTACTTCTGGACTGACGAAGGTAAAGGTACTTCTGGACTGACGAAGGTAAAGGTACTTCTGGACTGACGAAGGTAAAGGTACTTCTGGACTGACGAAGGTAAAGGTACTTCTGGACTGACGAAGGTAAAGGTACTTCTGGACTGACGAAGGTAAAGGTACTTCTGGACTGACGAAGGTAAAGGTACTTCTGGACTGACGAAGGTAAAGGTACTTCTGTAAAGGACTGACGAAGGTAAAGGTACTTCTGGACTGACGAAGGTAAAGGTACTTCTGGACTGACGAAGGTAAAGGTACTTCTGGACTGACGAAGGTAAAGGTACTTCTGGACTGACGAAGGTAAAGGTACTTCTGGACTGACGAAGGTAAAGGTACTTCTGGACTGACGAAGGTAAAGGTACTTCTGGACTGACGAAGGTAAAGGTACTTCTGGACTGACGAAGGTAAAGGTACTTGGACTCACGGATGTAAAGCAACTAACAGGAGTGACGAAGGTAAAGGTACTTCTGGACTGACGAAGGTAAAGGTACTTCTGGACTGACGAAGGTAAAGGTACTTCTGGACTGACGAAGGTAAAGGTACTTCCCGACTGACGAAGGTAAAGGTACTTCTGGACTGACGAAGGTAAAGGTACTTCTGGACTGACGAAGGTAAAGGTACTTCTGGACTGACGAAGGTAAAGGTACTTCTGGACTGACGAAGGTGACGAAAAGGTACTTCTGGACTGACGAAGGTAAAGGTACTTCTGGACTGACGAAGGTAAAGTTACTTCTGGACTGACGAAGGTAAAGGTACTTCTGGACTGACGAAGGTAAAGGTACTTCTGGACTGACGAAGGTAAAGGTACTTCTGGACTGACGAAGGTAAAGGTACTTCTGGACTGACGAAGGTAAAGGTACTTCTGGACTGACGAAGGTAAAGGTACTTCGGGACTGACGAAGGTAAAGGTACTTCTGGACTGACGAAGGTAAAGGTACTTCTGGACTGACGAAGGTAAAGGTACTTCTGGACTGACGAAGGTAAAGGTACTTCTGGACTGACGAAGGTAAAGGTACTTCTGGACTGACGAAGGTAAAGGTACTTCTGGACTGACGAAGGTAAAGGTACTTCTGGACTGACGAAGGTAAAGGTACTTCTGGACTGACGAAGGTAAAGGTACTTCTGGACTGACGAAGGTAAAGGTACTTCTGGACTGACGAAGGTAAAGGTACTTCTGGACTGACGAAGGTAAAGGTACTTCTGGACTGACGAAGGTAAAGGTACTTCTGGACTGACGAAGGTAAAGGTACTTCTGGACTGACGAAGGTAAAGGTACTTCTGGACTGACGAAGGTTAAGGTACTTCTGGACTGACGAAGGTTAAGGTACTTCTGGACTGACGAAGGTAAAGGTACTTCTGGACTGACGAAGGTAAAGGTACTTCTGGACTGACGAAGGTAAAGGTACTTCTGGACTGACGAAGGTAAAGGTACTTCTGGACTGACGAAGGTAAAGGTACTTCTGGACTGACGAAGGTTAAGGTACTTCTGGACTGCGACGAAGGTAAAGGTACTTCTGGACTGACGAAGGTTAAGGTACTTCTGGACTGACGAAGGTTAAGGTACTTCTGGACTGACGAAGGTAAAGGTACTTCTGGACTGACGAAGGTAAAGGTACTTCCGGACTGACGAAGGTTAAGTTACTTCTGGACTGACGAAGGTAAAGGCACTTCTGGACTGACGAAGGTAAAGGTACCACTGTAAATGACGAAGGTAAAGGTACTTCCGACCGAAGGTAGTACTTCTGGACTGACGAAGGTAAAGGTACATTACTTAATTAAGGTTAAAGGTTTTGACTGACGAAGGTTAAGGTCATCCCTAACGATCAGTTTGAGACTGAAAGGATACTTCTGGATAGAAGGTGGTCACACTTCGCATGCTATCCAATGTAGTTGAGTGTTCGCGTCTCACCACTACACTGAGTGTAGCAACGTTAACAAATCCGTTCTTTGGACGATTCATAAAAAGCATTCCCAATTTATAAACATTTAATTCTTAGACTGGTAATGGTTGCGTCTATTTCCAGTCTTCTATTGTCTATATTTTCTTCATATTGTTGCAGAGTGAGCGATCTAGAGATAATGTACGATGGTATAACACCAATACGGATATTTCCATCTGGTTCCATGGAATGGCTCCCACTTCGGAACTTTGCACTGCATTGCGACACCAATCCAACATACTATCCTTTTGACACTCAAACCTGCCCGATCGCCATCACTGCGTGGAGCTATACAGATTCTCTGATTGATCTGGCTCCTTCAGCAGATCCCGTCTTCTCTTTGGACTTTTATCATGAGAATGGCGAATGGGAATATGTACGCTCATCAAAGAAAACGAAGACCATAGAGCGTGCTGGACACGAGACCCTGACGGTGACAATTTCGCCCACATTTAGACGTCGTCCTCAGTTTTATGTGATGAATACAATTATTCCAATCCTCATTCTTGGTATTCTGAACGGATTCATTTTCTCGCTTAGTGTTGATTCAGGCGAAAAAATGGGATTTGTTCTCACTGTCCTGCTGGCTTACGCTGTTTATCTGACTTTGGTGGCTGATCATATCCCAACAACGTCGGAAAGTATATCAGTACTCTGTAAGTCATTATCTTTTGTTTCAGTGCTTTGTTGATTACACCATGTAATCGATTATATTGTGTTTTGTTCTCTTGTGTATCGATGCCATCGGCAATATTATATTTTATTCCCCATGGTATCCATGTTATCGACTATGTTGTACTATGTTCCCCAATCTATCCTGTTTATTGCCCCATGTTATCGACTATATTGTACTATGTTCCCCAATCTATCCTGTTTATTGCCCCATGTTATCGACTATATTGTACTATGTTCCCCAATCTATCCTGTTTATTGCCCCATGTTATCGACTATATTGTACTATGCCCCCCAATCTATCCTGTTTATTGCCCCATGTTATCGACTATATTGTACTATGTTCCCCAATCTATCCTGTTTATTGCCCCCATGTTATCGACTATATTGTACTATGTTCCCCAATCTATCCTGTTTATTGCCCCATGTTATCGACTATATTGTATTATGTTCCCCAATCTATCCTGTTAATTGCCCCATGTTATCGACTATATAGGTACTATGTTCCCAGAAATTATCTAGTTGATTGCCCCATGTTATCGACTATATTGTACTATGTTCCCCAATTTATCCTGTTTATTGCCCCATGTTATCGACTATATTGTTTTATGTTCCCCAATCTACCCTGTTGGTTACCCAATGTTATCGTTTATATTATACTTTATATCTCCAGCTATCCTTCTGCTGCTAATCCTAATGATGTCGGTCTTTTCCGTCATTGCTTCGATCTACGTCATCCGATTTCACGGCCGTTCAGATGACGTACCGATACCCGATGCAACACGGAAGGTCATCCGGATAATGGCTTCCGCCTCTTTCTGGAAGGGATGCTTTCGATGTAAAAAAAGGACGTCCACGGTTAAGGACGGAAAGAATGGCGAAAATAAAGAAGACGTAGACGATAAACCGACACTGAATCAGGAAAAGTCGTGGATTCAAGAAATACCTGAATCAGAGGAGGATTGGAACGATCTGACATGGAAGGAAGTGGCAGACATTATCGACCATTTTGGTTTTGTTTGGTATTTCACTATAACTGCTATAATAAGTGGGTGTTGTATAATCTTAATGTTGTATGGATATGTAAATGTAGGCACATAGTTTTACATTATTTCATATCTATAAATTATCATTGCTTGTATAGTTGAATTGATTTGTTAAATGCTAGGTTTTACCAATGATACATTCTGTAAACATGTGAAACAGATAACACAGGGACCTTTCTATATATCTGGTTATGTGAGATATCAACACAGTGACCTATCTAGATATCTGGTTATGTGAGAGATCAACACAGGGACCTATCTAGATATCTGGTTATGTTAGAGATCAACACAGGGGTCTATCTAGATATCTGGTTATGTGAGAGATCAACATAGGGACCTATCTAGATATCTGGTTATGTTAGAGATCAACACAGGGGTCTATCTAGATATCTGGTTATGTGAGAGATCAACATAGGGACCTATCTAGATATCTGGTTATGTTAGAGATCAACATAGGGACCTATCTAGATATCTGGTTATGTTAGAGATCAACACAGGGGTCTATCTAGATATCTGGTTATGTTAGAGATCAACACAGGGACCTATCTAGATATCTGGTTATGTTATAGTACAACACAGGGACCTATCTAGATATCTGGTTATGTGAGAGATCAACATAGGGACCTATCTAGATATCTGGCCCCACTTGTATAAAACATCTCAACTTGAGATTTCCTTAAGTCGAGATTTTCCTCAGCTAATATCTCCTTGAAAATATCTTGTATGAAAATTCCTCAAGGAATTTCAGGACATCCTAGCCGATGACTTCCTCCTGTTCCTTGAGAAAATTTTATACAAGCCGTTTTTGAGGAGATATCAGCTGAGGAAAATCTCGACTTAAGGAAATCTCACGTTGAGATGTTTTATACAAGTGGGGCCATGTTATGTTATAGACACAGGGACCTATCTAGATATCTGGTTATGTGAGAGATCAACACAGGGACCTATCTATACATCTGGGTATGTGCGAGATCAACATAGGGACAAATCTAGATATCTGGTTATGTGAGAGATCAACACAGGGGTCTATCTAGATATCTGGTTATGTGAGAGATCAACACAGGGGTCTATCTAGATATCTGGTTATGTGAGAGATCAACACAGGGACCTATCTAGATATCTGGTTATGTTATAGATCAACACAGGGACCTATCTAGATATCTGGTTATGTTATAGAACAACACAGGGACCTATCTAGATATCTGGTTATGTTATAGAACAACACAGGGACCTATCTAGATATCTGGTTATGTTATAGAACAACACAGGGACATATTTATATATTTGGTTGCTTTATACAAGTAACTATAGATCGTTGACTTTCCGTTCGGCTTGATTACATAACATATGCGCGGTTTAAGCTGGTATCATCTATATTTTATATAGCTCAATCAATTCATCTTTGTATATTTATTTTGTTGCTAAATGAACCGGTCTTTGCTATAATTGTTCTGTTCATGGGTAAGTCACTTCACTCCAATTGCTCTAGATGCCATGCGACGGAGGTATCCCGCATGTTGTTCAGTGAAATAGCGACCACTTATCATAAGGAGTTCGCATAAAAAGCACTGTTCACTGGGCGATAAAACCAACAAACAGTCATCTTAATTACCATTTAAATTGATTTATGATTAAAATGTGTAATGTTACACGTGTAACTTATCGTTCCTTTGTCATTATTTTGATAGTGGTTATCAGCAATACATGTTTCTCTTGTATAGAATCAAATACGGCTGAACCAATTTTTGTTTGTTTTGTGAAATGAGATTGATTGGTACAGAATTGTATATTTTATATGACCGCTAAATTATCGCCAACATGTCAACATAATCTTAGTTCAGACTTCAATTCAATGAAAACCGGGTTAAAACATAAACGAAAGAAAGATTTACACAGAAACTCCTAAACGTGCCAAGAATGTAAGACCAGGTGTTCCGGTGGGATATGCGTCTTCTGCTTCATCGACGTCATTCTCCATTTAAATTTTGCTGATCGAAGTGAGTAATGTCAAGTTCCCAAGCGAGAACAAGGTAAATTATTGTATGTTTCGATGTTAAAGTAAGAAAATAATTGATTAAAAGGAGTTTTAAACATGTAGGTGTTCCCGGAAGGAATATGTTGGAAGATATAAAAAATCCAACAATGTATATCTGGGGTTTATGTTATAACTCAGATATAAGTAATGTCAGTCTCTTCCTCCTGATGTTTTAATAGATTTAGTAATAGTTCTGACTTCTGTCCACAGTCTCTGATAAAGATTATGAACTAATATATAATATTCTCAATGCAGAGTATATGAGAAAGAATATCAGATAAATTTAGAGGAATAAAACTGGAGGATCGGATTTAACAATCGGTGGTAAAAATCCAAAATAGAATCAGGGGATCTGTTGTAGAATCTATGGTAAAGATTCTAAAATAAAATTGATAGATCGCCTTTAAAGAATCCATGGTAAAACTTTAACATAGAATCAATGGTAACAAAAGAAATGAAATTGAAAGATCGACGTAAAAATCTTCAGTAAAAATTTGAAAATGAAATTGAAGAATTGGCTTCGAGAACCCGTTGTAAAATTGAAACTGGAGGATCGACTTTATAGAACCTGTGGTATACTAATAGAATCTTCCCCTACCCTGAGGGTGTGATAGAGAAATCTCCAACCCGAGGGGTGATTTTTGTTGTTGTCTAACCCGAGGCTCTGCCGAGGGTTAGACTAAAAAAAAACAAAAAAACCCAGGGTTGGAGATTTCTCTGTCACATCCTCTGAGGGTAGGGGTTGATTATTTTTCTCCCACCCCATTATTTCCACCACGACGTAAAAAAAAAATCCCACGGTACAAGTACCTGAATGGCGCATGAATATCATCATTCACGTTTCCAAAATTCTACATTCTTTCGCGAGAGCAAAATGACAGACTACAAACGCAATATGAATAACCATTAAAAACATTAATTTTTTGGAAATTAGATATTTTAATTAGCGACAGATACATGGAAATACTTGTATTGAACAACATTTAACTCCGTATCATTTATTATGGTAGGGTAGGCTTGCCGCGATGTCATAGACAAAAAGGGGATTTCCCAGTTTATAAAGACGTCAATTGTTTATGCGCGCGAAAAATTGCAATGGTGTGAGTGTCACGCGTGTGTTCATTCCGAATCAGAGTCATAGATGATCCTCCGACGTTTATTTGTGTTCACTGGACAGGGATTGTTATAGTTAATGTTAACTGTGATGTTACAGTCGCGCATTACGGAACCTGGAAACAAAGCATCCACTCGTCGGTTTGAGTCAGTTGTGATAACCGACTGAGGTCACCGAGTGCAGTCATGTGGGATAGATTTATCCTCCATGGGTGTTCCACATGGGACATGTCTATCCTACATGGGCAGAGGTGGGAGAAAGTTGGATCAAAATTGGATGATCGACTTCAAATTCTCTGGTAAAGATTCTAAAATTAAAAGGTCGGCTTCAAGAATCGGCGGTAAACATTTTAAATGGAAATAGAGGATCGGCGTTAAGAATAGCTTTCCAGATTCTATGGTAAACAAGAGGTCCCAAAGGAATTTTGTCGCTCACTATGCAGTGTTTGATCTTTATTTGTTCACGAAGAGGTTGGATTTTTCCCTTCTCTCCAATTCTTTCTCTTATTTGCTTTTAATAATATGAAATTTTAGAACTCCTCTCAACAAATGAAAATCTTCAAATGTCAAATAAAAAATGGTTGCCGGTCAGTATTTTGTTTATCTGACAGTCCCAAAATTAAAAGGACACAAGGGATCAAGTGAAACCTACATATAAAAATTGAGAGAAATACATTAGAATAGAAGTTCTTACAATGCAACCAGTAGAAGATTAGAGTGTGACGTTTCTATGACTACATGGTCACCTTCATCTTATCATACTAACCAGAAGAACATTAGAGTGTGACGTTTCCGTGACTACACGGTCACCTTCATCTTATAACACAACCAGAAGAAGATTTAAGTGTGACGTTTCTATGACTACACGGTCACCTTCATCTTATAACACAACTAGTAGAAGGCCAGTGTGTGACGCCTGGATGACTACACGGACAACTTCATCTTATAACACAACAAGTAGAAGATTAGAGTGGAACGTTTCTATGACTACACGGTCACCTTCATCAAACAAATGATCATTGTGGAGCGTATTAGCACTGACGTACGTATTGCAAGAGATGGCACGGAATCGACCAGCTTTTTCAACTGTACTATAGACCTATGTACACTAAGGTCGAAAACAGTGTGACGAGATGGTAAACAGATATTTGAAATTGGATGATCGACTAAAAGAATCTATGTTTTTCGAAAACAGGATGAAAAGAAAAAAAAACACCAAGTATTTCTCTTGAAATAGCGTTATTATTTGGGTCAATGCGAAAACTGGACCAAAAGAAAACTACATCTGAGAAAGATCCAACGAGTCCTTCTCCAGAAATAGCGGAAACAAACTATTATCTCCAATATTCAAGATGTCAATCTGTCAGCCACTTTCTTTTTCTGATCAGTCCCAAAACAATAATAAAAATACAACTAATGACCAAACGGTCTCTTAAAATGAAATTTGAGAATGATTTACCAATAACTTTTTCGGAAATATCGACAGCGTTTAAGGACAGACGGACGGATGGTGAAATCAATATCTGAAATATAGTTAGAAGATCGACTCTATTAGTATACAACAAAAGATCTGAACTGATAAAGGATCTAAAATGAAATTGGAGGATGATTTCGATATAACCCCAGGTACATGAATAGAACGTAGGTTCTGTAAAACCCAAGGGATATTAGGTCTACCGGCAGATTTCAATAATGTGTTGCCCAGAGTTACTTCCCTTTGTTTCGGTTTGACAGTCGATGGGATGATATGAATGACGTTCATTATGAAGTTGACGACAAAGTGTTCCTTTATCTTCCACACACACATGTTATTTGTTTGTATCCGTTTTGTTTCATAGTTGACCATGAATTAAATTGGGTCACTTTTCAATGATTTTCAAATCTCCCACACCTTCTATCTATAGTATACTAAGAGGTCTATGGTGCTGATATTGGGCCTGTAGCATGCTGGGATTATATGGCTAGCAATTTTGTTGACATAAATTATCTTGACTCCTTTTGAAGGTCAAAGGGGTCACGTATATTAAAATTTTAAAACTTATTCCTCTCGATAACCAAAAGCCTCGTGATGCTGATATTGAGCATGTGACATGCTGGAGTGAATATACTTTTCTACCATTATTTTTATCAGTTATAAATAACTTGAGCAAATTTCAACTCAAAACATCTACTTGTCTGCTTCTATTTCAGATTAAAACTAAACCATAAAACATTGAGCAGTCAGTTGGTTTGTTTTGTATGCCTATTAAAATAAACACGTCACCTTATATTCGAGCATTTTTACATAATCCAGTTTGACATTTACATATCATTTAATCATGTTAAAAAAACAGGTAGTAAGTATAAAATTACATAATTGGCCATTTGAACAAATGGCCGAAATATTGCTGTAATTTCTGTTTTGTTAGGTTTTGGCTTCAAATGGTAGTTCACAATAGGTGAGATAAATACTAGTAGTAAGAACTATGATGAAAAGTCTGTGAGTTAATTTAAGTTGTCAGTAAAGTAAGTCCTGCCTTATACAGCACACCAGGGATGGAGCCAATATCTGCAGCTCTAGTGATTTCTTTTTCCATTTAAGATTTAATCTAGATAATCAAACGTCTTGTCATCGTTCTTACTTTTTAACTATAGCTTCTATTCTAATTATATATGACAGAGGCAGATAGTTAAGATCTTCGAAAAAAAAGACGATTAATTTACGTTGAAATTTCCCCTTAATGATTACAACTTTTTAACTTAATAACTTAATAATACGTTTTGGAGGATCCTTTCCAATCATCTAAAATGTTTTAAATTTATTTTTAAAATGCCCCCCCCCCCTGCATTTGAAATATAACAGCAAGTTTTTGTTTTTGACGGAAATATTAAGCACTATATTATTTATTTATTTAACGAGTTTCACATGGTTTCACACTATTACGGCCTTCTGGCCTTTCAGCGAAGCACTATAACAAGGTATTAAACCCAACATACACTAGCTTTGTACAACGGTTGGGTGAAAACGGAACGGGTCTTTTCCGTATACGTAGTTGCTTCCCCTTAGTCAACTCTCTTTTGTTCGAAGAGCAAAAAAAGGAACAACTGAAAAGTAATCCGGCTGGAATCATGTTGTCCCGAACGACTCTATTTTCGAGTCATGCCTCGTGCAGAAACACTATTCTCAGGTAATGACACTTTTATTTACTTGTTTAGTGCCGTTGTAATACATCACAACTATTGACACTGCACCTCAGTAACTCGTAGCTATGCCGTTGCTGTGACCTCTGCAGACTGCCCATGCACTGATCTATATTTTTCACCGGTTATGCAATGGAAAATAAATAGACATAGGGTAACCAATGCAAGAACTAGATTTATTTTCAATATTGTTTAGAAATGTCAAATCGATTGATCCATCCGTTTTTGTTGCATAACATCTATTTGACAATACTGGATGTATCGGCTCTTTCTCCTGTCGATGTAAAGTTACAGTGAGAAGCTTTCTGTAACGTTAACCAGGTTGGGGGAAACCACAAATTTGCGTATAATACGTAAACTAGCCAATTGTACGCCAACTGGAGTGTGGATTTGTTACTCAATAATGTCAGAAGCGCTTATAAAGTAACTTTTGCCATGCGTTATCAAAAGTTACATTAATTTATATGAAGGTGATTTTTTTTACCAAGAAATGTTACTCAAGTGCAGGCTCCTTAGAAACTTGATGTAACGCTCGCTGCTGTAAAAGTCGTACTACCATAACTTAGGCCACATATACTGGAAGTGCTGCATCATTTTTCTGTAGTTTCCCACATGCAAATAAGTTTTATTTTTGTAGTTGTAGGAAGCTTCATGACTTGGGCTAAAAAAAGTTATTTCAGTAACAAATGTATATCCAATTTGGCATATGATAGGTAAGTTTTTATATTATATGCGAATTTGTAACTTTCCCTGACATGATAATGAATTCTTAGCAGGCTGCCTAGAGCTCTGACTAGAACATACCTACAGTTGTTTAGCAATGTATTTTCCTGAAAGTTGCAAAATTTTGCTTCCATAATGAAGCCATCATATTTTACAAAAAATTCATCAACTGCACATTATGTCGGATACAGTTGTACCAGTAGATATATTTTGCACCTCATGTTTCTGATAGCCCCAATGTTCATCTTTGTCTGGTGGGTAGCTGGAGCACCCTTGTCAGCTACAATATGAAAATGTGGAATTCTCTGACACTTGTTAAATAATTGGTGTCACTTATAGCTTTTAAACTGTAGTCTTTACTTATGTAAAACAAAGATACGAAATGACATTCATTGATGCAAGTTTGCAGATGGTCACTACCTGGTAATCTTGATCTATAATCAATGTCCGATTACTCAGAGTATCCCAAATTCCATAACCCACTGATATGGTCCAAAGGATTTTGACTATAGCAGGGTTTTACTGTATAAATAAAGATTGTCAACTAATGAACTTATCATGTATGATATTTATTCAGAGCTGTTCATTAAGCTCTCATTTATAAACTTGTACATGATCACTCAAGTCTATACTTATGATTTCCCATTTGAGCAGATGTTATCTTTTATCCTGCAACTCGCACTGCCATTGTCGGAATACACCTGTCACACATGTGTGTAAACACGGATTGAACAACAAAATGTTGAAGTTTACAATATCAATTATATAAATACATCTAATATATTAGATTAGTCAACTCTTGGAGCTGTTCAAATCACCTTTCATCAGTGGTCCATCTCCTTAATCAGTTCTTGTTATTGCAAGTTTGGGAGAATTGTAAGGGTTTGAGCTGCATTGTCCAATTGCTAGCTTTAGTGGCTGTATGGTTGAGTATTGTGACATTGTGCCGAAGTGTAGCAACATTGAGCAAGGTCAGTGCTTGGGTGGGTAACGGTTCCATGCACCTCTGGTACACATTACAGTTAGTGGCAAAAAACTGGCCCAGTACCCTCTAGAATGCTTTTAACTACAGACGGCATGGGAAGCACAATGTTACTGGAGACTTCTTGGGTACTAGGGGGACGGTAGTGTATCCGTTTGATGGTGCCAGTTAGGACCCATGACAGCTCCAGGACGAAGGTAATTGGTGATTGAGGTGATGCAACATGTCATATGGTAATTTCAACTGCATATACCAATTCAGAAATTTTACAGCTAAATATGAAAGATTTTTTCCTTACTTCTTCAGGTGCTGTAGTGAAAAAGCTTCCCAGAGTAAGCATGTCGCCCCAGTACCAAATCCAGATGAAATTCACGATGATCATGACCGGGCTCTCCCTGTTCAGAGGAAAATGCGAACCAAAGTCACTACACCCCTGTTAGAGGTCATGTTAAAGAGAATTGAAAAGATACTTGAAGAAAGTATGCCTATAAAAGTATTTAAGAAATACACCTGGGCTAAGGATGGTAAGTCTGTGCTACGCTCAGGTAGTTGTTGGGAAAGATATGTTATCATACAATACATGTAGATGTATCAAGTTATACAGCAGTGTACAATTCTTTTCAAAACGATCTAAGTTAATATTGGTACATTGTTGAAGAAAACATGAATGCTAGATTCAAACCAAAATATATTTATCCAATCTTTATTGCTGTGCAGATTGTATTTGATTGTCTGATAATGAGACAGGTTTTTAAGCTTCCAGAAAATTTTCGGGTGGGAAGAGGGGGAGCATATATTCACTGCATTGTCGGTCTTTTTGAGTCCTTTGCATAATTATGCCTACATATAAGAAACAATTATGACAACTTGGTTATACATTTGTCGTACAAAGGGGATGTGCAGTGTGCCAAATTCAGGGCCCTTGACCCCTCAATTACAGAGTTATTGCCCTTTGTTAAATTTTTGTGACAAGAGCAAAACTTTCAATTGTTTGCATTTAAACTAAGATAATGGAACTTGGTGGATATATTGATCATACTAAGACAATGTGCAGTGTACCAAATTCAGGGCTCTTGACCCCTCAGCAACACTTATTTCCCTTTGTTGAAAATTTCTTGTCCAGAGCATACTTTGCCCAGTTAAGCAAGAACCATAAAACATGATCATGACCCCACAATCACTGAGTTATTGCCCTTTTTTTAAAGATATCTTGTTCAGAGCATAACTTTGCTTGCATTTAAGGTAGGATAATGAAATTTGGTGTACACGTTGATCATACAAAAACAAGTGCAGTCTACCAATGTAAGGGCCATAACCCCTTGAAATTTTGTGTTTGGACCATTACTTTGCCAGCATTTAAACTAGGATATTGAAATATGATATATACACGAGTCATACAAAAACAAAGTACAGTATAGCAAATTCAGGGCCCCACAGGACAAAGTTATTGCCCTTTGATATACTTTTGTGTCATGAGCGTAGCTTAGCATGCATTAAAACTAGGATCATGAAACTTGTGTATACAGTGGTCATGCTAAGAGAGTGAGCTATTTACCAAATTCAGGGCCTGCAACCCCTCAATTATGGATTTACTGCCCTTTGTAAGAGTTTGTGTCCAATAAATTCATTTTTGGGAAGCATTCATCAGATTCCCTGATACTCTTGTTTAATAAGTGTTCAGAATACTTTTTAGTCAAGGATTGATTTTGACCTTATGGTAATATATATTTTGGGCAAACTATTCATAATATAGTATATGATGTAATATAGGCTTCTCCGAATAGCATTCTAGAGAAACTCCTAAATTTGCCCCAAATATAGATTCTGAAAAAAAGGTGTGTAAATATGTTTTATTTCCATTTGATTTTTTGGAAGGTCTGAGAAAATGTTGGTTTCCTTTCTTAATTTCAGAAGTCTCAGAATATGGTAGTAACTATTTATCTGTAATTCTTTATTTACAGGTATGTTTAATCTCAAAGAGGATGCAAAAATATATTTTGATGTCAGCAAAAGGATCAGTAATGGTGATGAATTCAGCACATTCACACGGAAAGAGCTATCTGTCTACAACCAGGTATATCATCAACACCATTTATAAATTAGTTCTACATTTACACATAGTGTTATCTGTCTGCTTAACTACTGATGGGACAATCATCGGTTATGATCAATAATCGTATTGTTTAACCTCATTTGATACGATAATTGATTGTAATTTTCCAGAATTGATTATTAGTACCTGAATATTTTCTTGTTTTTGGCAAAATTAAAATTCCAATTATACAGAAAGATGCCAATTGCTAATAAAAGCCAATCTTAGGTTAATTTTAGGTGACATATTTTAGTGTAAAGTTACCAAAGAAAGGAAACATTGCTGTCACAGAGAATACATTAACTTTCTATGAATATAGAACAATCAATCAGCTGATTATGTGATCTATTAACATCAAAAAGCCTATCTGATAAAATTAGATTTCTTAAATAAAAATTTCTTGATGTGGATGTAAAAGGACATCTCATACAATTGTCTCAAGTCTGGATTAGGTTTTTATGATCACATCTATGTACTGTATTAAGAATCTAAAATTGACCTGATTATCACCACTGTTATTTTGTAGTTGCCACTGGAGATGAAAAAAGCCATTCCAATAATTGTGCTGTGTGGCGCACCATTTGGATTTTTTTTCCTGCCACTGATGTAAGTAAATTTTCATTGGTTGTTTTATTGATTCTTCATTAAGTAGAATTTAAGTTTTTTTTATAATGAAAACCATTTTAAACCACAACAGCAAGTAGAATGTGAAGTATTTTGTTTGACATAAATGTTGATTTCCTCATTAGTGACTTTGTATTGAAGATTCCTGTCTAGTCTTATCATTAATCTGGTGGATGAAATGATGAAAAAAGTATTTACATGTTTTAATACTAGTTCATTTTTAATGGAGGTTGTCAATGAATAGATTACTTTTCCAATAAACTCCCACCACAGATACATTTCCACATTAGGTAGCAATAATTTTATCAGTTTTTTATGCTATATACATTTCATTAAGAATACTTGAAACATCTTGATGATTAAAGTTTCATCAAACAATAATGTGAAGATTTTTAAAGTTTCAAATTTTTGCAGTTATTTTTAATGTTTGAAGCTGATGTTTTACTGCTTTAGGTTTGTGTTTCCTCAATACACTTTAACGAGCCACTTCCTCACGGATGAACAACTACGACAAGTGCACACTAGGAGACTGTACTGGAGATTACACTGTTATCCCAATGTAATGGATGGTCTAAAAATACAGATCAGAATGATAACAGACCAGCAACAGGCTTATAATGGCCTCAAGTCAATCATTATAAAGGTATGATGTCCTCAAGTCTATCATTATAATGGTATGATGCCCTCAAGTCTATCATTATAAAGGTATGATGCCCTCATGTCAATCATTATAAAGGTATGATGTCCTCAAGTCTATCATTATAATGGTATGATGCCCTCAAGTCTATCATTATAAAGGTATGATGCCCTCATGTCAATCATTATAAAGGTATGATGTCCTCAAGTCTATCATTATAATGGTATGATGCCCTCAAGTCTATCATTATAAAGGTATGATGCCCTCAAGTCAATCATTATAAAGGTATGATGTCCTCAAGTCTATCATTATAATGGTATGATGCCCTCAAGTCTATCATTATAAAGGTATGATGCCCTCAAGTCAATCATTATAATGGTATGATGCCCTCAAGTCTATCATTATAAAGGTATGATGTCCTCAAGTCAATCATTATAAAGGTATAATGTCCTTAAGTCAGTCATTATAAAGGTAATGAGATGAAAACAGCAAGATGGCCTATTTTTTATCATTCTTTGTCGGTCATCATATACTGTGTTTGATGTGTTGTACATAAACTTTTCCTTTAAGACACTCCTCCTGTGTAATGCCTTGGTGGATTTCTCCAAAATTTGATCAAAAAATCATTGGGGCAGGGAATCATTTCTTAAATTCAGAAAGTTTAATTAACCCCAAGGGACCTGGGATTGGATTCCAAAAACAAATTAGATAATACTTTTCTTCAAAACGCTTGCATGGATTTCATTAAAATTTTATCAGAATTATCATTCATCAGGTCTTAACTTTGTCAATACTTGGTCAACCTCATTCATCAAACACTCCTTGGAATGATAAAACATTTTTATTAAATGTAATCTATGGGTCACAAAGATATGTGTCTCCGAGAATATTAAAAAACATAATTTAAAAAAGATAAGTACAGTTTTCCCTTATCAGGAGTTAAACTATTGTAATTATAGAACATAAATATAGACCATGGGTTGAAAATGTATGCCAAGTCCATGTGGTTTTAATCATATCCTGTCTTTGGGATACCCAATGTTCTCCTGTGTATATATATTGTTATAGAACCCTGTCTTAATGAATACCCAATGTTCTCCTGTGTATATATATTGTTATAGAACCCTGTCTTAATGAATACCCAATGTTCTCCTGTGTATATATATTGTTATAGAACCCTGTCTTAAGGAATACCCCATGTTATCTTGTGTATATATATTGTTATAGTACCCTGTCTTAAGGAATACCCTATGTTATCTTGTGTATATATATTGTTATAGTACCCTGTCTTAAGGAATACCCTATGTTATCCTGTGTATATATATTGTTATAGAACCCTGTCTTAATGAATACCCAATGTTCTCCTGTGTATATATATTGTTATAGAACCCTGTCTTAATGAATACCCAATGTTCTCCTGTGTATATATATTGTTATAGAACCCTGTCTTAATGAATACCCAATGTTCTCCTGTGTATATATATTGTTATAGAACCCTGTCTTAAGGAATACCCCATGTTATCTTGTGTATATAAATTGTTATAGTACCCTGTCTTAAGGAATACCCTATGTTATCCTGTGTATCTTATTTGTTATAATAGTGTTGTCAATATCGTTAATTTATTGTCTTGATCATTTTGCAGACTGAACATGGTTGTCCAGTATATGCAGATGAAATTTTACGAACTGCACGAGGGTTTTCCATCGATCACTCAACTAACAAATTTTGGGCCATCAAGAGACGTTACTGGGTAAAGTTGAATAACTTTTAGTTTTAGACTTCAATAGATAGAATGCTGGTCTGTAGTGAAGGACTCCATACACCAATCATACATACTTTAGGATTATAGAAGAGGGATTAGGATCACTCACTCCTCCTTTTCATTCAATGCAAAATATGTCAGTCTATTTGTAGCTGAAGAATTAAAATGATTTATTGTTTATGGGGATCATTCCTGTAACCGCCGTAGTTTTAAAACTGCCTACAAATCTGGACCAAATCTGGCTGATTGGAATATTGAATTTAAACTGTGTTTTATTTGGTTACAATAACACATATACATGTACAATACAATGTATAGTAGAGTTTATAAACAGACTTGTAGTTTATATTGATTTCTTTCCTCTGAAATGTCGGCTTAAATATTCAATGTAGTGGGATTTGCAAATACAAATGTTCTGTTTTATATACGATAAAGACGTTGTAAACCCAAAGCTAAAGAGTAATGGACAGTAATGTATATTCTGAAATTGATGGAGATACATAGATTTATGAGTTAGAATATTTGTATGTTGAGATCTGTAAATGTCCAATACTAAATTTCTGATGCAGTGTATTTAGATCTGTGCCTGTAAAAAACTGGAGGTTATTGTCTAGGTGCAGTTATCTCCCTTCTCAGAATTTCTGACTGTGCCTCTGTGTAAAAACCGCAGTCTGGTGCAGGAGTTTAAAACATGGATGTCATGAATCTGTTAAAATCTGCATTTCCTGTAAATTATCATTTAAATTATGAAGAATTAATTGTCTTTTGTGTTAGTAAACTGAGGAAATGTGTTTCATATTTTCATACTGGTATTTAATAAAATTCCTAATTTTGTTATTCAACTTCAATAGGTTTTTTATGAAACTATGTTCCCTCTAAAACCAGAGATGGATCCTGTAAATTAAAACAAGTAATGATTCTATTCAATGTTGTCTTTAATTTCCAGTGGCAGTTGGCAAATTCCTTTGGGATGGGTCGGAGTCATGTGAAAGTGTATAATCAGATCATGGCAGTACACTATATAGATATGTGTATAGTGAGGGAAGGCTTAGAGAATCTAAGTGACAGGGATCTACAAACGGTATGTAACCATGGAAACAACATGTGTTTTTCTACTTGTTTGTGCATGTTTAACAAATTAATTGTGATTGGTAAAATTGAATATCGATCAAATAAATTATCTAGAGAAATATTGGAAAGATTTTTTTGGTTTTGATACATGGAACTCTTTCCTTGAGCATGTTTGATTTTAAGATGCTTTAGAAGAACAGAAGACCATAATGGAGTTTGACTGTTAGAGTTGCAAGATAAAATATTGCTGCTTGTCTCCTTTGAATTTGAAAATTCAAGGTTATTATTCCTTTTTCTGGAAACACTTTCAATGATTTTACATTTTATATGTAACAGAAAGAGACATTTTGAATTTGGCCAGACATAACAGTATGTTGTTGTGATCAAAGTAACCTGATGAAACTTAAAATGTTTTTTATCATTGCAAGCTCCTATGATGATAGGTGCCAAGATCTCTCAGGTAAAAGGTGCAATAGTATTGTTAATTTGATGTTGACATTTAAGTATAAAAACGCAGGTTTTACATCAGTGTTTTGATTTTTCTTATTTTTACAGGCATGTTATGTTCGTGGGTTAAATGCAGACGGTCTGACACGTGAGGAACAAGAAGATTTCATGAAGGAGTGGCTTGAAGTGAGCCTCCATACTAACAGTAAGTAGGCTCCACTAATTGGGAAACACCTGTCAAAAATTTTAATGGGTTGAGGTACGGTTCGGTGTTGTCCGTCTGTCCAACAGCTGTTACTAGTTTTCAGACATTATTCGGTACCTAATCATACTGGTAAATGTTATATATCAACATCTGATTAACTACTTCTCATTTTTGATTTGCAGGTGATAATATAAGTATGCTGTTACACACCATAGTGTTTCTGAACTTTGATGCCCCAACAAATGTAAAACTCATGCCACGATGGTTTTGGAAGAAGAGGTTAAGGATACCGGAGCACTGATAAACTAGTAAAGACTTAACAATTTGTAGGAGAAACAGGTTTTTGGCTGGAAACCAGATATTTTGTGTCTGCAGATCGGCTCAATACCATGTCGCTGGCAAATCCAGAACATTTTACAAGTTAAGGAAAATTCTAGGGTGGCATACACAATATACACAATTTGAAATATTTGAAAGTTTTTCATTACTCCAATCATAGGTTCTTATCAAAAACTTGATTCCCTAAAAGAATGTTGACGAAACAAGGCCAGTGGAGACTTAGGCCTAATCTTATTGTTCTTTCGGCGTTTATTGACCCTCAATACTCCAGGGAATGCAATCACTTTAGTTCTCTGTACCCCTAGAACATTGTCATAGCAAAACTGAAGGTTCCATGTTCAACACCTTGTGAACAAGACATACTAGTTTGATTCTTGATGTACATCAAACGAATCTTGAGGTAGCATAACAGTATATTAAGTTGGGTGTTAATCTTCAAAAGGAGTGTATCAGCCTGTGATAGGTCAGTCTTTCCTCCTGGAACCAATCAGAATACTTCGCTTGTGCCTTCTATTTTGCCATGACATGTTCCAGGGGTGCAGAAAAAACAAATTGATTGTAACCCTTGGAGTATCGAGAATGGAGTTTATCTAAACCACATGGATTTTGCACGTAAAAAGAATTCTGGTTCTTCAAATAATTTATAATATATAAATACATCTTTTTTTAATTTCATTTCAATAAAAATAATAATGATTTTTCTTTGAATTATCTTATTTATTGAATGTTAGGAGTATTTATCTAAACTTTGATTATAACATTTGGTAATTTTTTATAACAATATTGATGTTCAGCTCAAAACAGACAATCCTATGCACTAAACAACTGAACTCTGTACATGTCATCAACACATTAGTACCAGTTTCCTGAAAATTATCAGATTGAAACAGAAAATTCAGTCCTTTCCTGTTGATTGTGTTTTCCATGGTATATCTGTTTTTCTGATACTCTTAATTTGAATGCATATTTTTTGAAATATAGAAAAATATTTCAGAGTGTACTTGAGAACATATCAGCAAATTTTTTATAGATCAGCTGAAAAAAATCATAATTCTCATATAATCTTTGATATTCAACAGGAAACAGGGAGTTTCCAATGATGTTTTGTCTACATTGTATATTTTCTCAGATATACAGAAATTTTAATCTATTTTTAGATTTATAAAGCATTTATTGAAAGCTATTAACAAGGAAATTTTTAAAGAACAAAAGACCTGCAGTGTATAACGCTATTAACAAGGAAATTTGTAAAGAACAAAAGACCTGCAGTATGTAAATCAGATTGTTGCTCAAGGCTTTTGTCTGTAAGTATACGACTTACAGCTTTTAGACAAGTACTACATAAAATCTATACTGAAATCCAGATTAACTGCTTTCCTGATCAACTGTCGTTTTGATTCATCATATACATGTATTGTAAATCAATTTCATTTTCATCTTTCAATGAAAGAAAAAATGATGTTTTCTAGGAATAAAAAAATGTGACTTTAATGAAATATTATAAGATTTACAGATTAACTTATTTCATAGTCAAACCACCGACTGTTGATACAGTTAAGGAGCTATAGAACAGATTAACAACCAATATAGATAGAGAAGAAGCTAAATATCATATTAAAAGTTCATTTTGTAGGTCCTGTTGCTGAACAATGTAGTTATCCGACAATAAGCCCACCCATATCTTGTTGTTCAGCAGAAGTAAACAAATTCTTTTTTAATGCCATGCAATGGCCCAATCCCCAACTCTGAATCAGAACTGATATCTTCTGTGTTAAATACAGGATACCTATGTAGTGTGAAGTCCTAGATAAGCTTTGTTTTCACTCAAATGTAGCTATCACATAAAATAGTCTGAAATTTAGAAGGATATGATTTCAGAAAGACGTATCATTAAGTGTTATGATTCTGGACAGACTGTAGCATGACATTTATGGCTGAGAGTTGATTGGTGTAAATGAGAGAGTGTAGAATGAAATGTTCTGTGTAAATAAAAATTGTTTTGTGTGATATTCTGAACTGTTACTGATTAAATGTATATAAACTCTATTTTGGTTTTGTTTGTCAATGTCCTGATAATTATCTGTCAGCAAATTAAAGTCCTCATTATTCATCCTCGATACTCCAGGAGTTACAACAACTTTCGCTCTGTGCACCTTTGCGACATGTCCTCGATACTCCAGGAGTTATGATAACTTTCGCTCTGTGCATCCCAGGGACATGTCCTCGATACTCCAGGAGTTAGGACAACTTTCGCTCTGTACACCCTTGGGACATGTCCTCGATACTCCAGGAGTTACAACTTTCGCTCTGTACACCCTTGGGACATGTCCTCGATACTCCAGGAGTTATGATAACTTTTGCTCTGTGCACCTTTGGGACATGTCCTCGATACTCCAGGAGTTACAACTTTCGCTCTGTGCACCCCTGGGACATGTCCTCGATACTCCAGGAGTTTTTTTTTTTTTTTTTTTTAAGTTTAGAAAAATATTTATTCCCTCAGCAATTAATTTGGAGGAGGCTGCCAGGGTTGAGGAGCCCTGGGATCAGCCTCCGTACAGATAAGTGCCATCACGCAGGATGCCTCTCATTCATCATACAAACACACTTCCATGTAGACACTTACATGTAGCCATTAGAAACAATAAATATTTTGGTAAACCTAATATAAATAGACAGACATAACAAGTAGAAATATTTACATAAACAACAAAACATGGTAAACAAGCAGGACAGACATACAAATAGGTTGTACAAGTGACATTCTAGACAAGAGATATCAAACAGATAGACTAGATAATAGACATAAAACAAACAAAAACAAAAACAAAAAACAAAAAAACAGTGTAACATAGTACAGTGCTAAAAGAAATGTGATACTTATCTATTTTGATTTTTTTTAGGAAAGGAACAGGAGTGTTGACTATCATTACTAAGTAAGCAGCTTTTGAGAGAATTATGTGTGAGGATTATATTCTAATAGAGTTGACCATTTTCTCCAAAAGGTTTTAAATTTCTCGAATTCATTTTGATTTTTCGATATATACGTTTGCACTTGATAAGTTTCCTTAATCTCATTTAAAAGTGCAAGTATAGATAAGCTATTTTTAAGACATTTTGTTTTATATATATAATATTTAATGATTAAACTTATCAGATTGTCAACTGCATCCTTTGTTTTATCATTGCTTAAGAAACCAAAAAGGAAAGATTTCTTATTTAATATAAAGTTAATACGAAAAATCTGAGACAGTCTCTCAAAGCTAAGTAACAGTCGTCTCACCTCTTGACAATCCCACAAAATGTGTTCAATTGTTTCTCTATTTGTTTTACATAATGAACATAATGAGGTATCAGATAAACCCATTTTAAACAACACAGAGTTGGTAGTCAAAATGTGGTGATTAATTTTATATTGAAACCATTGAAATTTGGTATTTTTAGTGACTTTAAAAGGAAGTATGTAGATTTGTTTCCATGTGTCATCATTAATATCGTAGTTAATCCATTTTAATTTACCTGTGGGTGTGACATTATTTTTACTTAAAACATCATACATGTCTCTGGCTCCCTTCTTACTTTTTAGGATAATTTCTAAACTTAATGGAATATAAGGATATTTTATAGATACGTGTTCATTATTTTGTTGGTATTTGTGTAGTGCTTTTGCTATTACTGATGTGATTCCATGATACTTTAGAAAGTTGCACCTAATATTATATTTATGTTTGAAAACTTCATAAGAAAGACACTTACCATTATCACCAACTATATCATTTATAATCCTTAAGCCTTTTTGATACCAATCATTGTAGAATACAGTTTTATGTGCTATTTTTATATCATTATTGAACCATAATGGAGACTTCAAAAAGGATTCATAGTTATTACTACTGCTAGACTGAATTACTTTCAGCCATGATTTTAGTACATCTTTCCAAAATATATTTTTAGTTTTCTTAATGTTGTCATGAATTAAATCACTTCCACAATTACTAAGTATATTACTGTTTAATTTAGCATGAAGAATATTTCTCCACTTGCCTTTTCCAAAATGTAATCTACGAATCCAAACAGATTTTAATGAATTTATAAAAGAAATAATATGTATCATTTTTAGTCCCCCATCTAAATATTCTTTAATAACAATGTCTCGTTTAACCTTATCAACTTTACTATTCCATAGGAAATGGTATAATTCTGTGTTAAGAGTCTTGATAAAGGTTTCGTCAGGATTTGGAAGTGAAATAAAAAGATGATTTAGTTGAGAGATTACCAAAGTTTTAATTACTGTTAGTCTTCCAATTGGAGTAAGTAGTCTTCTACTCCACATTTTAAGTATACTTTTGATTTTCACAAGTTTTTTATCATAGTTTAATTTTGTTATTTTATGCAAATCTACATCGAAGTCTATCCCTAAAACCGAGAACTTTGTATTTCCCCATTGTAGTCTCCATTCAGGAAAGAAAGTATCATTACTATATTTTTTACTTCCTATCCATACAACCTCAGTTTTTGATTCGTTTATTCTTAACCCTGATAGTTTTGCAAAAAAATCTAACTCCTTCATTGTTTCTTTTAATGATATTTCTGTACCATCAAGAATAACTGTGGTATCATCTGCATATTGAGATAATAAAATTGGTTCCCCATCTATTGATATACCTTTTATTTTTCTATTATTTCTGATTCTAAGGGCCAAAATTTCAGCACACAATATGAATAAATAAGCAGAAATAGGATCACCTTGTCGACAGCCTCGTTTCAAGTCGAAAAAGGGAGATAAACTACCACCTTGATTTATTGCAGATTTAGAATTATTGCGCAAAGTCGTTATCCATTTTCTCATACTAGGTCCGAAATTAAAAAAAAGTAAAACTTCATCAACAAATTTCCATGACACAGAATCAAAGGCTTTCTCAAAATCTATAATAAGTAACAGGCCAGGAAGATCAAATTCTTCTGCATATTGCATCATATCATAGATTAATCTTGTGTTTTCTCCCATGTACCTCCCACTAATAAATCCAGTTTGATCCATATTTATTAATTTATCTAATACAGTCTTAATTCTACTTGTGATCACTCCAGATGCAATTTTATATACAGTATTCAATAGAGAAATTGGTCGCCAGTTTTTAAGAAATTGCCTAGGTTTATCTCCCTTAGGTAAACATGTAATAATGCCCTGTTTCTGTGTTATAGAAAGTTCGCCAGTTGAGTATCCAAAATTGATTGATCTTAATATAAAATAACCAATATTTTTCCAAAAGCATTTAAAGAATTCAACTGTAAATCCATCTGAACCAGGGCTTTTGTTATTTTTCATTTTCTTCAAAGTCGCAGCTGCCTCATGATATTGAATAGGTCCTTCTAACATATTACATTCTTGATCATTCAATTTTGGAATCTCAACATCTTTTCTAAAAATTGTGTTTAAATCAACCCTCTCTGTATTATCATAACGATCATATAAAGATTTATAGAATTTGGTAATTTCAATTAAGATACCATCTTGGTTTGAAATAATTACTCCATCATCTTTTTCTATTTTAGGTATGATTTTATTAGTAAAATTTCTTTTTTCTATGTTGCAAAAATAACTTGTCGGTTTTTCCCCATCCTCTATCCATCTTGCCTTTGATCTGATAATACTACCCTTAAGTTTCTGTTTTCTGCTCTTTTCTAAGTCAGCCTTTTTTAACTCTAAGACATCTAATGGTATATTTTCCCTAGCCTCTAGCTCTGCTATTTCTTCCCTTAGTTTATTTTCTATTTGACCTCGTTCCTTTTTCTTGAAAGAGGAGTATGAGATAGTTTTCCCCCTAATTTCCATAAGTAGTGTTTCTAAAAATAGCTGATCATTTATTATAAAGTTTATATCATTATCATGTATTTCATCAAGTTTAGCAAAATTATAGACTGGTATAGCTTATTGTTTTTTTACTTCATGTATTGTTGATTTTACAAGGTCTAAATATTGAAAGTCTTCTAAGAGTGAGTTATTAAATTTCCACAGACCTTTCCCCTTTTTGAAATCATTGAATTTTATCTTCATTATTGGCATTGAATGGTCAGATCTATAACTAGGTTCTATATTTACTTTCTCAACACTAGATAATAGGTTTTCCGATATTAAAAAAAAATCTAAACGGGCTTGTTTCCTAGGGTTTAGTTTCCTCCATGAGTATCGTTTTCTATCAGGGTAATGTTCTCTATACACATCTGTAAGATTATAACTCTCCATAATTTGTATTACCTTATCCCTAGACCTTGGATTATTGATATGCTTATAATTTTCATAATCTATGCTAGGTTTTAAAACTAAGTTGAAATCCCCACATATTATCTCTGATTCGTTACCGAAATCCTCAATAGTGTTTGCTATGTTTTCAAAAAAATTTGGTGTATCTGTGTTTGGAGCGTAAATTGTAATAAGTGTAATCTGTTTTCCATCAATAGCTATATCCAATGCCAAAAAATTCCCAGTATCGTCTTTTTTCACTTTAAAAACTTTATGTTCAAAATTATTATTTAACAATATTGCAACCCCTCTTGAGTTAGAAGAAAAGGAACTAAAAAAACAATCATATCCCCATTCTGACCTTATTCTATTTTCAATCTGATGCGTGAAATGTGTATCTTGAATACAATAGATCTTGTATTTTTTACTTCTAAAATATGAAAAAACGTCTTTTCTTTTATCCTTATTCCCAAGGCCCTGGCAATTAGCTGAAAGTATATCAATTGTATCCATATTCAATAATGATAGTTTTAATTACTGATTGCTTACTAAAGAGAAAGAACATAATCTTGAAATGTTTTAGAGAAGGTAAAGAAAATTCAGCACTGACACATGTTACAAACATAAATAACACAAAAGAAACAAACATAAATAACACAAAAGAAACAAACAGATTATAACATCCAATACTTATCAAGAGTGACTCCCTCATAGTTAAGCCTGCAGCTATGTTAAACTATGACAATTTAAGGTTTTATTTTAATAAATAATGCATTTGTACTGTACAGGATCCGTACACTTCATGTGCGAAACATATCTCTCAGACTACTAAGATATCAAAAGTTATTTTTCATTAGTATTTAAGCAAAGGGCATACGTCGGAGACTAAGCATCAATATTAAACCCCCATCATGCTAATCGCATCGATGGATAATTGATGAGCAGATACCAGAGAGCTTGAGATATCCTGTGTTTATACATATACATTATATATTACAGGGAGATGCTAACATTTTAATACAATGCCTTTCTAGGATTAATCTGGGTTATTAGTTGCAACTAAACTCCCTTTGGTAGTTTATGTATCCCTGTAACAATTATGTTCATAGCATGATAGAGGTTAAAGAAAGTGCAGTCCAGAAGCACACATGCACGTATATTAACCACACGTGCGCCCGCCCACAATCAACATTCCCATCTACATAAACAGCAACCATCAGAACAACTTACAGAAAGAAATATTTTAACAGCTAACCCGGCCTTTTATACATGTACATGTAGACAGAAACAGCAAATCAACGGACACACGCTCATGTAGCCAATAATATCAGGATTTCTTTTGAAAACACGGTATATAATGTCAGTTTTCACAACATAAATACATGTACATTTGTAAGCGAAAATGGTAATAAAGTCATGTGTAGCTAGAGGATACTCCAGGAGTTACAACTTTCGCTCTGTGCATCCCAGGGACATGTCCTCGATACACCAGGAGTTATGATAACTTTCGCTCTGTGCATCCCAGGGACATGTCCTCGATACTCCAGGAGTTACAACTTTCGCTCTGTGCATCCCAAGGACATGTCCTCGATACACCAGGAGTTATGATAACTTTCGCTCTGTGCACCTTCGGGACATGTCCTCGATACTCCAGGAGTTACAACTTTCGCTCTGTACACCCTTGGGATATGTCCTCAATACTCCAGGAGTTACAACAACTTTCACTCTGTGCACCCCTGGGACATGTCCTCAATACTCCAGGAGTTAGGATAACTTTCGCTCTGTGCACCCCTGGGATATGTCCTCAATACTCCAGGAGTTAGGACAAATTTCGCTCTGTGCACCCCTTGGAACATTTCATGGTAAAACTGAAGGCACTAGTGAAGTAATAAGATTGGTCTAGAGCAGGTTTCAGGATGAAAAAACTGACCAATCACAGACAAATACAGCCCTTGAAGATAAAGGAGAGACACCCAATATCTAAGCCAGTACAACATATTATGTGACCATGAGATTCGTTTGATGTACATTAAAGGATCAAACAAGTCTTCTCATCTTATCTACAAGGTGTTACACTCGGAACCTTCAATTTTGCAATAAAATGTTGAAGAGGTGTAGAGAGCAGAAGTGATTGTAACCCCTGAATTATCAAGGATGTCTTTATTGGACTAATTCTTTAGAATGAAACTGCTGACCTCATCTCTTGAGAAATTTTATAAAAAAGTATCGTATTGATTTGATGATTGTTTAAGAAACTGCATGCAGTTCAGGATTGAGGGGTTCATTTTTCTCCAGTGTTTGGGGAGGATATAAAAAGATTTGATGAACAGACACTTCAAAAATGTAACTTACATCTGTTTCATTTTTCCATGAAAAGTTTTTCAGTAAAACTATAAATTTGAACATTTTACAGTACTACACCATGTTGATCAAACGGAAACATTTAACAAATAGGTTAGAATGACTTGTAACTGGGTCAAAATGAAGTTCATTCAGCTTGAAAATATTAAAAGACAGAAACACTGATTTTTTTTTATCAAGCATATTTAATCTACATACAATTATACACTGAACCATGAACTACAGGAGATGATAAACATTAGATACTTGTTTGTGTTGTGAGAACAGAATTCCAGAAATTTTTACCTTAAGTGTCTGTCATGGGACACAAATTGATGATGTACATAGTAAGATGATTTTGTTAAAGTGGTAAGGATTGTGTAACCGCAGTTGGAACACTTCTTCCATCTTTTCTTTTTACCATTATGAAGGCAACAAATTGGCTTTTATAGAAACAAATTATTGTTATCTGAAGGGATCCTTGTATCAGCAGTGTCTATATTTTCAATAAAAGTATTGATTTCTACCTACACTTCATTTAAAAAGGGAAGTTTCAATCGTTGAAGAAACACAAAGGAAAAAGGAAGTGTGTTCAATTGACGATCCACAGGATTTAATTGGTCTCTCAATGTCGGCTTCAACACTCTGCTTTGGGACACATGCATGGATATAAAGGGCCAATGACTAGAGGAAAATTTGGATGAAGATCACTGACAAGTGCTGTAGTCTTAAAATCACTGATAGTTCTGGCTGATCACATGTACAGCAAAATCTTATACTAAGAGAGGCCATGTCCTGTTCTGAGGAGGAACAACATGAAGGGTCTGTTCTTGATGGAAACTGGCACTGCTACACCAAGGTGTACCTGTACTGTAACAGCAGTACCTTCAGTGAAAGTTTTCCTCCTTGTAAGATTGTTCTTTTTCTCTGGCGAGTATACACACTATAAATATACCATCCCTTGGAGTTGGCGAGACACCTGCACAGACCTTCTGTGATAGCTATATGATAAACTGTACCATCCTAATCCTGAATCTGCATCTCCTTGGTGATAAAATAATTTTGAGTCTGAGCCAAAGGAAATGTTCCACGTTTCTCTCGTAGTTGTCTGTAAGAAGATATTAAAACATACAGCATAACTGTAAAAATACCAAGAATTTTCATAGCTTTTCAATAGAATTCAAAATTGTTTTTATATAAACGTCTAAGAAAGTATCAATTGAAATGTTGTATCCTTAAAATGGACTGTTCTATACCTATCTTTGTTTACAATGGAATAGTCCAGATAAAGGTGATATTTCTCCCTCAATAAAACATAACAGGAATTGGACAGTGTTGATTCACTGTTCATGTTAACCTATGGACTATTCCATTTAAACATCTACCCCTGGATTACAAAGTAAGTCACTTCTATCCATGGTTCAATTTCCCTGCCAATTACTGTAAAGCAAATAATCAATTAAATTCTATGGGTTGAACCCCTTAGCAAATCCTAGAGTCATAGGGTAGGATAATTTACTGAATATCCCTAAACTAAATCTGGAGTCCTAGGATGGGATAGATTTGTACTGGAATAGCCTTTAACAAAACCTGTAGTCCTAGGATGGGATAGATTTGTACTGGAATAGCCTTTAACAAAACCTGGAGTCCTAGGATGGGATAGATTTGTACTGGAATAGCCTTTAACAAAACCTGGAGTCCTAGGATGGGATAGATTTGTACTGGAATAGCCTTTAACAAAACCTGGAGTCCTAGGATGGGATAGATTTGTACTGGAATAGCCTTTAACAAAACCTGGAGTCCTAGGATGGGATAGATTTGTACTGGAATAGCCTTTAACAAAACCTGTAGTCCTAGGATGGGATAGATTTGTACTGGAATAGCCTTTAACAAAACCTGGAGTCCTAGGATGGGATAGATTTGTACTGGAATAGCCTTTAACAAAACCTGGAGTCCTAGGATGGGATAGATTTGTACTGGAATAGCCTTTAACAAAACCTAGATTTGTAGAATAGCCTTTAACAAAACCCTAGGATGGGATAGATTTGTACTGGAATAGCCTTTAACAAAACCTGTAGTCCTAGGATGGGATAGATTTGTACTGGAATAGCCTTTAACAAAACCTGGAGTCCTAGGATGGGATAGATTTGTACTGGAATAGCCTTTAACAAAACCTGGAGTCCTAGGATGGGATAGATTTGTACTGGAATAGCCTTTAACAAAACCTGGAGTCCTAGGATGGGATAGATTTGTACTGGAATAGCCTTTAACAAAACCTGGAGTCCTAGGATTTGTACTGGAATATTAACAAAAGATTTGTACTGGAATAGCCTTTAACAAAACCTGGAGTCCTAGGATAGATTTGTACTGGAATAGCCTTTAACAAAAGAGTCCTAGGATGGGATAGATTTGTACTGGAATAGCCTTTAACAAAACCTGATAGATTTGTAGTCCTAGGATGGGATAGATTTGTACTGGAATAGCCTTTAACAAAACCTGGAGTCCTAGGATGGGATAGATTTGTACTGGAATAGCCTTTAACAAAACCTGGAGTCCTAGGATGGGATAGATTTGTACTGGAATAGCCTTTAACAAAACCTGGAGTCCTAGGATGGGATAGATTTGTACTGGAATAGCCTTTAACAAAACCTGGAGTCCTAGGATGGGATAGATTTGTACTGGAATAGCCTTTAACAAAACCTGGAGTCCTAGGATGGGATAGATTTGTACTGGAATAGCCTTTAACAAAACCTAGGATGGGATAGTCCTAGGATAGGGATAGATTTGTACTGGAATAGCCTTTAACAAAACCTGGAGTCCTAGGATGGGATAGATTACTGGAATAGCCTTTAACAAAACCTGGATTTGTAGTAGCCTAGGATGGGATAGATTTGTACTGGAATAGCCTTTAACAAAACCTGGAGTCCTAGGATGGGATAGATTTGTACTGGAATAGCCTTTAACAAAAAGTCCTAGGATGGGATAGATTTGTACTGGAATAGCCTTTAACAAAACCTGGAGTCCTAGGATGGGATAGATTTGTACTGGAATAGCCTTTAACAAAACCTGGAGTCCTAGGATGGGATAGATTTGTACTGGAATAGCCTTTAACAAAACCTGGAGTCCTAGGATGGGATAGATTTGTACTGGAATAGCCTTTAACAAAACCTGGAGTCCTAGGATGGGATAGATTTGTACTGGAATAGCCTTTAACAAAACCTGGAGTCCTAGGATGGGATAGATTTGTACTGGAATAGCCTTTAACAAAACCTGGAGTCCTAGGATGGGATAGATTTGTACTGGAATAGCCTTTAACAAAACCTGGAGTCCTAGGATGGGATAGATTTGTACTGGAATAGCCTTTAACAAAACCTGGAGTCCTAGGATGGGATAGATTTGTACTGGAATAGCCTTTAACAAAATTTGTACTGGAATTTGTACTGGAATAGCCTTTAACAAAACCTGGATTCCTAGGATGGTTGAGATTTGTACTGGAATAGCCTTTAACAAAACCTGGAGTCCTAGGATGGGATAGATTTGTACTGGAATAGCCTTTAACAAAACCTGGAGTCCTAGGATGGGATAGATTTGTACTGGAATAGCCTTTAACAAAACCTGGAGTCCTGATAGATTTGTACTGGAATAGCCTTTAACAAAAGGAGTCCTAGGATGGGATAGATTTGTACTGGAATAGCCTTTAACAAAACCTGGAGTCCTAGGATGGGATAGATTTGTACTGGAATAGCCTTTAACAAAACCTGGAGTCCTAGGATGGGATAGATTTGTACTGGAATAGCCTTTAACAAAACCTGTAGTCCTAGGATGGGATAGATTTGTACTGGAATAGCCTTTAACAAAACCTGGAGTCCTAGGATGGGATAGATTTGTACTGGAATAGCCTTTAACAAAACCTGGAGTCCTAGGATGGGATAGATTTGTACTGGAATAGCCTTTAACAAAACCTGGAGTCCTAGGATGGGATAGATTTGTACTGGAATAGCCTTTAACAAAACCTGAGAGTCCTAGGATGGGATAGATTTGTACTGGAATAGCCTTTAACAAAACCTGGAGTCCTAGGATGGGATAGATTTGTACTGGAATAGCCTTTAACAAAACCTGGAGTCCTAGGATGGGATAGATTTGTACTGGAATAGCCTTTAACAAAACCTGGAGTCCTAGGATGGGATAGATTTGTACTGGAATAGCCTTTAACAAAACCTGGAGTCCTAGGATGGGATAGATTTGTACTGGAATAGCCTTTAACAAAAAGTCCTAGGATGGGATAGATTTGTACTGGAATAGCCTTTAACAAAACCTGGAGTCCTAGGATGGGATAGATTTGTACTGGAATAGCCTTTAACAAAACCTGGAGTCCTAGGATGGGATAGATTTGTACTGGAATAGCCTTTAACAAAACCTGGAGTCCTAGGATGGGATAGATTTGTACTGGAATAGCCTTTAACAAAACCTGTATTACTAGGATGGGATAGATTTGTACTGGAATAGCCTTTAACAAAACCTGGAGTCCTAGGATGGAATAGCCTTTAACAAAACCTGGAGTGTACTGGAATAGCCTTTAACAAAACCTGGAGTCCTAGGATGGGATAGATTTGTACTGGAATAGCCTTTAACAAAACCTGGAGTCCTAGGATGGGATAGATTTGTACTGGAATAGCCTTTAACAAAACCCTAGGATGGGATAGATTTGTACTGGAATAGCCTTTAACAAAACCTGGAGTCCTAGGATGGGATAGATTTGTACTGGAATAGCCTTTAACAAAACCTGGAGTCCTAGGATGGGATAGATTTGTACTGGAATAGCCTTTAACAAAACCTGTAGTCCTAGGATGGGATAGATTTGTACTGGAATAGCCTTTAACAAAAACCTAACAAAAGTCCTAGGATGGGATAGATTTGTACTGGAATAGCCTTTAACAAAACCTGGAGTCCTAGGATGGGATAGATTTGTACTGGAATAGCCTTTAACAAAACCTGGAGTCCTAGGATGGGATAGATTTGTACTGGAATAGCCTTTAACAAAACCTGGAGTCCTAGGATGGGATAGATTTGTACTGGAATAGCCTTTAACAAAACCTGGAGTCCTAGGATGGGATAGATTTGTACTGGAATAGCCTTTAACAAAACCTGGAGTCCTAGGATGGGATAGATTTGTACTGGAATAGCCTTTAACAAAAACCTAGGATGGGATAGATTTGTACTGGAATAGCCTTTAGTCCTAGGATGGAGTCCTAGGAGATAGATTTGTACTGGAATAGCCTTTAACAAAATAGCCTTTATTTGTACTGGAATAGCCTTTAACAAAACCTGGAGTCCTAGGATGGGATAGATTTGTACTGGAATAGCCTTTAACAAAACCTGGAGTCCTAGGATGGGATAGATTTGTACTGGAATAGCCTTTAACAAAACCTGGAGTCCTAGGATGGGATAGATTTGTACTGGAATAGCCTTTAACAAAACCTGGAGTCCTAGGATGGGATAGATTTGTACTGGAATAGCCTTTAACAAAACCTGGAGTCCTAGGATGGGATAGATTTGTACTGGAATAGCCTTTAACAAAACCTGGAGTCCTAGGATGGGATAGATTTGTACTGGAATAGCCTTTAACAAAACCTGGAGTCCTAGGATGGGATAGATTTGTACTGGAATAGCCTTTAACAAAACCTGTAGTCCTAGGATGGGATAGATTTGTACTGGAATAGCCTTTAACAAAACCTGGAGTCCTAGGATGGGATAGATTTGTACTGGAATAGCCTTTAACAAAACCTGTAGTCCTAGGATGGGATAGATTTGTACTGGAATAGCCTTTAACAAAACCTTGAGTCCTAGGATGGGATAGATTTGTACTGGAATAGCCTTTAACAAAACCTGTAGTCCTAGGATGGGATAGATTTGTACTGGAATAGCCTTTAACAAAACCTGTAGTCCTAGGATGGGATAGATTTGTACTGGAATAGCCTTTAACAAAACCTGTAGTCCTAGGATGGGATAGATTTGTACTGGAATAGCCTTTAACAAAACCTGTAGTCCTAGGATGGGATAGATTTGTACTGGAATAGCCTTTAACAAAACCTGTAGTCCTAGGATGGGATAGATTTGTACTGGAATAGCCTTTAACAAAACCTGTAGTCCTAGGATGGGATAGATTTGTACTGGAATAGCCTTTAACAAAACCTGTAGTCCTAGGATGGGATAGATTTGTACTGGAATAGCCTTTAACAAAACCTGGAGTCCTAGGATGGGATAGATTTGTACTGGAATAGCCTTTAACAAAACCTGGAGTCCTAGGATGGGATAGATTTGTACTGGAATAGCCTTTAACAAAACCTGGAGTCCTAGGATGGGATAGATTTGTACTGGAATAGCCTTTAACAAAACCTGGAGTCCTAGGATGGGATAGATTTGTACTGGAATAGCCTTTAACAAAACCTGGAGTCCTAGGATGGGATAGATTTGTACTGGAATAGCCTTTAACAAAACCTGTAGTCCTAGGATGGGATAGATTTGTACTGGAATAGCCCTACAAAAGTTAATATGTCTTACTTTGCAGCAGAGATTAATGGTTTGTTAATGTCATATTCCACTGTGTGAGGTGTGGTCACCACTATATCTGATTCTTTGTTGAACAGATCCATCTGTAAAAGAAATTATGGTAACATTTTGATCTCAAATTTTGTTAAAAATAGAAACTATAGGCCCAATGAAGTTGTTTAAATGTTAAAAAAACTTGACCCCTGTGACCTTGAATATATGTCAAGGTCATTTCTTTTCACAAACTTTGTCAGGCTTTATCATAGAAGCATACCAGCCAAATATCAAAGCATTTGGTCTATTGGTTATTGAGAAGAAGTTGTTTAAAGGAAACAATTGACGCTGGACAACGTATGCCACACCACAGCATAAGCTCACTTGGCCCTGTGAACCAGGAGAGCTGAAAAGGGCTATCATACATATAACTTCCACTCCTCACCTTTTCCTTCTGATCTAAATCTATTGAGGATTTAATAAATCAAGGGTTTCATGAAGTACCTTGTACAAAAGCTTTTTTTTCAAAAGTGGTCAACGGTGACCTTTGACTTTTAACTTTGACTAGTGAGTCACTAGTAGTGACCTCTAAAATCTAATCTGTTGTAGAATTGATAGTGTGATGCTATAGTGTGAATATGAACTAAAAATTGCAAAGATGTTCGTGTATAGGGGGTATTTTATTATAAATAGTCAAGAGTGACCTTTAACCTTGACTGATGACTACCAAAATCTAATCTGGTGTAGACCATGATGAAGTGATGTTATGGTGTGTATGTATATGAACTATATCTGTCCATGGGTTTATGAGATATCTTGCCTACATGTTTATCACGGACACATACGGACCTACAAATAGATTACTACATACTCCCCCTTAATTTAAGTTGAGGGGTATAACAAATTCTAAGAGAGGCTAAATTTTGGTTTGTGTTGTCAACAGGGAAACTTTATTTTCTCTTTAATATTACTTAATAGAGAAGCAATTCATTCTTCCTTTTGTTTACATTAACATGTTGTCATAAAACTTAGAAGTTTATACCAAGTGATGGGGGTCACTGGAGAACATTGTAATTAAAGACATCAGATACACATTCAGTTTTGAAATCCTTTGTGTCTGCTTTGTAACCACACATATGGAAGATTTAATATAAGGAATAAGTTAAGAGTTTACCGTGGTCTGCCACATTTTATGTGTCTTGTATGAATTGAGGGCATTGTAGCCATTCACAGATTTTGGGAGCTGGCTGAATCCTTGTGCAGTCTTTCTTTTGGAGAGCATGCGTCGGAGCTGGTCCCTGTTTAGAGCCCCAGTGAGTCTGGCATACACAGAGTCCTCATTGTCCTCCTTCAACAACGGGTGCACCAATAAAAGGCCAGTCTCCGAGACAACGTTGGTAAACCTAATGTGGAAAGAAATGTTTCTGTTAAAAATGATATTTTAAAATTTACAACTGACAACATTAAATGTGGTCAGGATGTTCAGTTAGGTTATAACTATTTAACATATTTATTGTGCTACTCTTACCTTTGTAAGTTAGGAACTGGGGGAGGGGTCGGTCCAATTTCATGTAAAATATGATTTTTTTCCCTAGAGATTTACCACACTAAACATGGTTTATATTGAATGTGGATTCATTAATTTTGAAAGAGAATTTAAAGCTTTTACAATGAAAGGTTACAAATGCAGAATGCTGAAGGCCAAGCTATCATAACTTCTGGTCAGATGACTTATAAATTGTGATATTAAGAATCAAAACAACAAACAGTAGACAGAGTGATTTAAACAGCCCATTGTTATTAGATAATAGATTATAACAGGTGAAAAAATACCTGTATTTGGTATATCTGAAACTAGTGCTGAATACCTGGTAAATAAAAATTCTTTAAAAAAAAAAAAAAAAAACCTGAATTTTCAGTATTAGAACTTACACTTTCCAAATGCTTTTGAAAAGATTCCTTCGCTCTTTTTCTAGAGCAGCCATCTGTTCATGCCACATAGTCATACTCATGTGAAACTTTTCATCAATCCGTTTCATATAGCTGATGATGTCCTTTCTCATCTCCATGCCCAAGTGCTCGTCACTCAGAATGACCTTTACACGAGCTGATAACACACAGAGAAATTAAAAATCAGATTTTGTAATGATATATCTAAGAATCTGTGGTTCAATATATTTCAGTTTACATGAATGACACAGAAACACAGACAAAAGGAGGCAGTTTCTCACTTGTGACCTGTCTTGGCCTCAAAATCAGATCTACAACTCCCAGTTATCTTGCTAAGAAAATCTGCAACAGTCACTGCTGGACAACTTTCCTCTTAAAAAGATGTTTCAAAGTTGAAGGGATAAACAGACAGAATATTCTTGATGTGATCGGTGGCAGAACATTTATTAAACAATACTAATACTTGAGTTGTGAAATATACATGTTTCTCCTGATATAAACCTTAAAATAATGTTTGTTTTACATTGTCCACCATTCAAAACAACAGAACCAAGGGCCTTAACAGTCACCTGAGTTACAATACTGTCATTGTTCTCATAATATGTCGTAGAAATAATCTTGTTAATTAAGTAAGATAACTTTAACTATAATGTACATTTAATTCAAACCTAAACTGTGCATAATATTAACTGCTGTTCCATGCTAAGGCTTCTAACCAAGAATTTGTTATATCTGGGGGTCAGCCAGGATCAGTATTTGCATACAATCAAACTGTCAACTTATACTAGTAATTCTAACCAAGTTTAAACCATTTCCAATAAAAAAAACACAAATTAAGCTCAAAAAATTTAATTTTCGTTTATAAACTATTGTAAAAATTCATGCATCCCTTTGGCGATAGACCCTGTGGTTGTGAAATTTACAATTTAAGTAAAGCATCTTATAACACATTTCCATCTCAGAAGAGTATTTGATTCTACAATATTTGGGTATATTTGTATAATAAGAGGATTTTTTGAGATTTCAGTCAATTTGACCCTTTTTGGCCTATCTCTCAGGTCCCTGGGGTGGGGACCATATAATCAATAATTTTGGAAAATAAATATGTAAAAGGTCAACAGAGAATGCCTGACAAAAGGGGATTGCAACAGATCACTCAGGAGATCTAAAAACTAGGGGTGTACACATGCCTCCCAAAGCCTGGTTTAGAAAATGTTGTTATACTTACTTCTTGTCTCTTTGACAGTCTGAAATGCTATATACTGCTCCACTAAATATCGTAATCGCTTCTGAGGGATAACCATTGCCTTCTTAATCAAGGACACTGCCATCTATAAATAGATCAGGTAAGGGGTTAGGATAAAGACTGGATTGAGGGTAATAAATGTGTTACTGCAGAATTAGTCATTTTTGTGTGGTTTTATTATTGTTTGTTTTGTAGGTTCCCTTTTGATTGGTGATTTCAGATGTCTACAAGTAAACTGTTAAAAATTTGACAAAGTTTCAGAATAAAATCATTTTGAAGTAATGGACAAGATCAGATGGACAAGGATTAGTATTTTTGCAAAATGACACAAAATTTGAGAACCAAAGATAGAAATGTACAATAAGTTAGTCCAAAGATAGACTGTACAATAAGTTAGTCCAAAGATAGACTGTACAATAAGTTAGTCCAAAGATAGACTGTACAATAAGTTAGTCCAAAGATAGACTGTACAGTAAGTTAGTCCAAAGATAAAAATGTACAATAAGTTAGTCCAAAGATAGAAATGTACAATAAGTTAGTCCAAAGATAGACTGTACAATAAGTTAGTAACTGTACAATAAGTTAGTCCAAAGATAGAAATGTACAATAAATAAGTTAGTCCAAAGATAGAAATGTACAATAAGTTAGTCCAAAGATAGAAATGTACAGTAAGTTAGTCCAAAGATAGACTGTACAATAAGTTAGTCCAAAGATAGACTGTACAATAAGTTAGTCCAAAGATAGACTGTACAATAAGTTAGTCCAAAGATAGACTGTACAATAAGTTAGTCCAAAGATAGAAATGTACAGTAAGTTAGTCCAAAGATAGACTGTACAATAAGTTAGTCCAAAGATAGACTGTACAGTACGTTAGTCCAAAGATAGAAATGTACAATAAGTTAGTCCAAAGATAGAAATGTACAGTAAGTTAGTCCAAAGATAGAAATGTACAGTAAGTTAGTCCAAAGATAGAAATGTACAATAAGTTAGTCCAAAGATAGACTGTACAATAACTTAGTCCAAAGATAGAAATGTACAATAAGTTAGTCCAAAGACAGAAATGTACAGTAAGTTAGTCCAAAGATAGACTGTACAATAAGTTAGTCCAAAGATAGAAATGTACAATAAGTTAGTCCAAAGATAGACTGTACAATAAGTTAGTCCAAAGATAGAAATGTACAATAAGTTAGTCCAAAGACAGAAATGTACAGTAAGTTAGTCCAAAGATAGACTGTACAATAAGTTAGTCCAAAGATAGAAATGTACAATAAGTTAGTCCAAAGATAGATGTAATGTACAAAGATAAGTCCAAAGATAGAATGTACAATAAGTTAGTCCAAAGATAGAAATGTACAATAAGTTAGTCCAAAGATAGAAATGTACAATAAGTTAGTCCAAAGATAGAAATGTACAGTAAGTTAGTCCAAAGATAGAAATGTACAGTAAGTTAGTCCAAAGATAGAAATGTACAATAAGTTAGTCCAAAGATAGAAATGTACAATAAGTTAGTCCAAAGATAGACTGTACAATAAGTTAGTCCAAAGATAGACTGTACAGTAAGTTAGTCCAAAGATAGAAATGTACAGTAAGTTAGTCCAAAGATAGAAATGTACAGTAAGTTAGTCCAAAGATAGAAATGTACAATAAGTTACTCCAAAGATAGACTGTACAGTAAGTTAGTCCAAAGATAGAAATGTACAATAAGTAAGTCCAAAGATAGAAATGTACAATAAGTAAGTCCAAAGATAGAAATGTACAATAAGTTAGTCCAAAGATAGACTGTACAGTACGTTAGTCCAAAGATAGAAATGTACAATAAGTTAGTCCAAAGATAGAAATGTACAATAAGTTAGTCCAAAGATAGACTGTACAGTAAGTTAGTCCAAAGATAGAAATGTACAGTAAGTTAGAAATGTACAGTAAGTTAGTCCAAAGATAGAAATGTACAATTAGTTACTCCAAAGATAGAAATGTACAGTAAGTTAGTCCAAAGATAGAAATGTACAATAAGTTAGTCAAAAGATAGACTGTACAGTAAGTTAGTCCAAAGATAGAAATGTACAGTAAGTTAGTCCAAAGATAGAAATGTACAATTAGTTACTCCAAAGATAGAAATGTACAAAGTTAGTAGATAGAGTGTACAATAAGTTAGTCCAAAGATAGAATGTACATGTTACAAAAGATAGACTGTACAGTAAGTTAGTCCAAAGATAGAAATGTACAGTAAGTTAGTCCAAAGATAGAAATGTACAATTAGTTACTCCAAAGATAGAAATGTACAGTAAGTTAGTCCAAAGATAGACTGTACAATGTACAATAGAAATGTACAATAAGTTAGTCCAAAGATAGATGTACAGTAAGTTAGTCCAAAGATATGTACAATGTACAGTAAGTTAGTCCAAAGATAGAAATGTACAATAAGTTAGTCCAAAGATAGAAATGTACAATAAGTTAGTCCAAAGATAGAAATGTACAATAAGTTAGTCCAAAGATAGACTGTACAATAAGTTAGTCCAAAGATAGAAATGTACAATAAGTTAGTCCAAAGATAGAAATGTACAATAAGTTAGTCCAAAGATAGACTGTACAGTAAGTTAGTCCAAAGATAGAAATGTACAGTAAGTTAGTCCAAAGATAGACTGTACAATAAGTTAGTCCAAAGATAGAAATGTACAAAGATAGAAATGTACAGTAAGTTAGTCCAAAGATAGAAATGTACAATAAGTTAGTCCAAAGATAGAAATGTTCAGTAAGTTAGTCCAAAGATAGACTGTACAGTAAGTTAGTCCAAAGATAGACAATGTACAATAGTCCAAAGATAAATGTAAGTTAGTCCAAAGATAGAAATGTACAGTAAGTTAGTAGAAATGTACAAAGTTAGTCCAAAGATAATGTACAGTAAGTTACTCTAAAGATAGAAATGTACAATAAGTTACTCCAAAGATAGACTGTACAATAAGTTAGTCCAAAGATAGACTGTACAGTAAGTTACTCCAAAGATAGAAATGCACAGTAAGTTACTCCAAAGATAGAAATGTACAATAAGTTAGTCCAAAGACAGAAATGTACAGTAAGTTAGTCCAAAGATAGAAATGTACAATAAGTTAGTCCAAAGATAGACTGTACAATAAGTTAGTCCAAAGATAGAAATGTACAATAAGTTAGTCCAAAGATAGACTGTACAATAAGTTAGTCCAAAGATAGAAATGTACAATAAGTTAGTCCAAAGATAGAAATGTACAATAAGTTATATAATTTTCTTGTTTCAAAGACCAAAATGATAGCTGTATTAATACCACTTTATGTTGTGACTTACTGTTATACAAAGGAAGTCTGTATAGCATGAATCATTTAGAGAAAAATTTTCTAAAATTTTATAAAAAAAATATTACTCACTGCATACAGATCCTTGGATATCTTGTTATCTTCAAAAGCCCTCTGTAAAATGTCCAGATTTTTCTTTTGGTCGCCAATGGTCAACTTCAACTGAGCTTCATTACTTTTCTTACTCTGAATAAGTATACAATCAATATCATGTTACTTTCTTGTAATAGATTGAAACAGCTGGACCTGCTAACCCTGCACGAGAAATGCCAGGCACAAATCGGGACCAAGACTGGAATGTGAAATATCTGACACATCCAGTTTGAGGGATTCAGTTATACTATGTACCTGTCTTAAACTAACTGAATATCACTTGTTAATTGATATGAATATAAAAATTTCTGTATGAGACAGAGTTGGTGTACATTCTGATGTTCTGTACAGCTTTAAATAGAGTCCATCTTTATTACTAATTATTTCATACTTTACGGGAAATTCCAAAACTGTGCATTTTGAGCTTTACAACACCAGTACAGGTGTTCATTTATCAGGGAATATTGACATGCAGCAAGGGACATTTCAACCAGGATACGCAAAGGCAGTCTAAATATATCTCTTCAAGGAGTCATCCCTAAAAGGAATTCTGAAAATGTAGCTGTCATGTTTATTTCTGTAAAGAGCATTCACATGCAAGTATGAAGGTCTTGTCCTAAACTGTGAACTCTTTTTATTCTGATACTGATTTCACTACAATACATGAGGTTGTGATAAGATGAATTAATTTAAGCACTATAACCAACAGGTTGTTGGTGTGAAGTAAAGAGGGATTCAACCCCAACCAATTAGTATAAGGAAGGCTGGTTGCCAAATATTCTGTTCTGTTAAGAGACCCTGCTTTCCTTTCTGATACACACCGCTTTCAGATCCATTCTGATCGAAGTCACCATGATATCTTCTCTCTCCTTGATCTGTTCCTCCAAAGAAGTCTGGAAATCTGCTTGTCTGAATTAGTAATCAACCAACAAATATAGGACATGATAATAGGATAGGATCCAAAATCTGCATGGTTAGTCACCTATTGACTTAATAGCAAGATCAATATCAACAATGGTACCTGACTCTTATATCTGTGGTATTAGACATTTCTTTCTTCTAAATAATACCTTAAGGTATTCATAGAAAAGTAAAAATCTTTTTAGCTTTTGTTTTATTGTAACTCTATATACTAAAATCAATATATTTTCTCACACATTTACACAAAATGTGTGTTTGTTTTACTATATCCTACATATAACTCAACTGTCAATATGTTTTGAGATCAGTCTATACCTACATCCAGTTAACAGAGACACACAATTGCCACAGACTTATGTCATCAATTAGTCCATTTATAAAGAGCTAACTGAAAAGTTGTTAATTACTATTGACACAGTATGTTAGACTTCAAATGGTGCATGCAGAAATAAAGCTATCAAATTGTCATCTGTTTCTACATTAAACCCTTTATTAAAGAGATCTGGTCTTATCATTCAACGCTTTTGAGATTGTCCTTTTACTTTCAAAACCTCAGTGTCATGAAAACTTTTTCAGATTTCCCCTTAAAAATTAAACTTATATTTTATATTATTTCCAAAACCATTTATACTTATCACACTTGTTGGCCCAGATGTAAGTGCATGAAGGTTGTTATTGTAGGAGTAAACTATAGTGCACTGAACTCTGGGTGCCTTGGTAAAAGGCGAGTACATCACTACTGCACCAACCGACCACCAGTATACTTAATACAGAATATCCATTTTACCCTTTTTGAGATTTCCCCTATACTTACAGAACAACCATTTCACTCTTTTTGAGATTTCCCCTATATTTACAGAAGTTCTATTAAACAATTTTGAGATTGCCCTTATACATAAAGAACATCCAGTAAACCATCCTCTAGTATACTAACAGAACATCAATTCACCCCTTTTAAGATTTCCCCCTGTATTTACAGAACTTCCATTAAATTCTTGTGAAATTTCCCTGATAAATAAAGAACGTCCAATAAACTATTCCCTAGTATACTAACAGAACCTTAATTTCACCCCTTTGAGATTTCCCCTTTATTGACACAGCCGTCATTAAACACTTGTGAAAATTCCCCTATACTAATAGAACATCAAGTAAACTATTCCCTAGTATACTTACAGAACATCCATGTCCTTTTGGAGGCGGTTGTACATCTTCCATACCATTCTGTATCTCTCTAACAATGCAAGGTACTTCTTGTCCTGTCCAGGTTAGAATAGAAATATCACAAATGAAACTTCATCCTTACAAATAATTTACTTACACTTAATTACAATGATTGACCAATGTATTACAGAAATCCATCCTTGATACACCAGAGGTTACGATCACTCACTCTCTGCACCCCTGAAACATTTCCTGGTAAAACTGAAGCCACAATTGAAATAACTTGACTGGTCAAGAATAGGTTGTAGGAGAAAAATAAAAAGAGTAGTCACAGACTGACGTGCTCATTTAAAGATTACAATGGAGTGATGTCCAACGTCAAAGCCTCTACAATATACTGTTTTGCAATCTAGAGATTTGTTTGATGTACATCAAGGGATGAAACTAGTCTTCTCATCTTATCCACAATGTGTTGCATATGGAACCTTCGATTTTGACATGATGTATTCCAGTGATGCAGAGAGTGAATGTAAGCATAACCACCTGAGTATTGAGAATGACAGAAATCAAACATTTCTGTACCATTAAAATGGTTAAAATATGCATCAGGATTTGTTTTTGTTTTTCTTACTTAAAGATAATTTTCAAATCTTTTACAGAAAATGTTTAAATTTCATGGCATACTTACTGATGAAGAAAGATCTGAGATTTCTTCAAACTTTTGCAATCGTTCCTTGGCCTTTTTCAGTCTGTATGTCAAACGTGTGGTCTCCATCTTGGCTGCTGTTACATGTTTGACCTTAGCCTGCAAATTCATGTAACAGTAAACATCAACAGGCACAGACAAGACACTTCAGGTCTGAAATAGTCAACACTACCGAGACAAGACACTACAGGTCTGAAATAGTCAACACTACCGAGACAAGACACTACAGGTCTGAAATAGTCAACACTACGGAGACAAGACACTACAGGTCTGAAATAGTCAACACTACCGAGACAAGACACTTCAGGTCTGAAATAGTCAACACTACCGAGACAAGACACTACAGGTTTGAAATAGTCAACACTACCGAGACAAGACACTACAGGTCTGAAATAGTCAACACTACGGAGACAAGACACTACAGGTCTGAAATAGTCGACACTCATCAGACAAGACACTACAGGTCTGAAATAGTCAACACTACCGAGACAAGACACTTCAGGTCTGAAATAGTCAACACTCATCAGACAAGACACTGCAGGTCTGAAATAGTCAACACTACCGAGACAAGACACTACAGGTCTGAAATAGTCAACACTCATCAGACAAGACACTACAGGTCTGAAATAGTCAACAATCAACGGACAAGACACTTCAGGTCTGAAATAATCAACACTCATCAGACAAGACACTACAGGTCTGAAATAGTCAACAATCAACGGACAAGACACTACAGGTCTGAAATAATCAACACTCATGAGACAAGACACTACAGGTCTGAAACAGTCAACACTCGTTAGACAAGACACTACAGGTCTGAAACAGTCAACACTCATTAGACAAGACACTACAGGTCTGAAACAGTCAACACTCGTTAGACAAGACACTACAGGTCTGAAACAGTCAACACTCGTGAGACAAGACACTACAGGTCTGAAATAATCAACACTCATCAGACAAGACACTACAGGACTGAAATAGTCAACAATCAACGGACAAGACACTACTGGTCTGAAATAATCAACACTCATCAGACAAGACACTACAGGTCTGAAATAGTCAACAATCAACGGACAAGACACTACAGGTCTGAAATAGTCAACACTCATCAGACAAGACACTACAGGTCTGAAATAGTCAACGATCAACGGACAAGACACTACAGGTCTGAAATAATCAACACTCATGAGACAAGACACTACAGGTCTGAAATAATCAACACTCATGAGACAAGACACTACAGGTCTGAAACAGTCAACACTCGTTAGACAAGACACTACAGGTCTGAAATAGTCAACACTACCGAGACAAGACACTACAGGTCTGAAATAGTCAACACTACGGAGACAAGACACTACAGGTCTGAAATAGTCAACACTACAGGTCTGAAATAGTCAACACTACGGAGACAAGACACTACAGGTCTGAAATAGTCGACACTCATCAGACAAGACACTACAGGTCTGAAATAGTCAACACTCATGAGACAAGACACTACAGGTCTGAAAGAGTCAACAATCAACAGACAAGACACTACAGGTCTGAAATAGTCAACACTCATCAGACAAGACACTACAGGTCTGAAATAGTCAACAATCAACGGACAAGACACTACTGGTCTGAAATAGTAAACACTCATAAGACAAGACACTACAGGTCTGAAATAATTAACACTCATGAGACAAGACACTACAGGTCTGAAATAGTCAACAATCAACGGACAAGACACTACAGGTATGTCAACGGACAAGACACTACAGGTCTGAAATAATCAACACTCATGAGACAAGACACTAAAGGTCTGAAATAGTCAACACTCATCAGACAAGACACTACAGGTCTGAAATAGTCAATACTCATCAGACAAGACACTACAGGACTGAAATAGTCAACAATCAACGGACAAGACACTACAGGTCTGAAATAGTCAACGATCAACGGACAAGACACTACAGGTCTGAAATAATCAACACTCATGAGACAAGACACTACAGGTCTGAAATAATCAACACTCATCAGACAAGACACTACAGGTCTGAAACAGTCAACACTCGTTAGACAAGACACTACAGGTCTGAAACAGTCAACACTCGTTAGACAAGACACTACAGGTCTGGAATAGTAAACACTCATGAGACAAGACACTACAGGTCTGAAATAATCAACACTCATGAGACAAGACACTACTGGTCTGAAACAGTCAACAATCGTTATACAAGACACTACTGGTCTGAAATAGTCAACAATCAACAGACAAGACACTACAGGTCTGAAATAGTCAACAATCAACAGACAAGACACTACAGGTCTGAAATAGTCAACACTCATCAGACAAGACACTACAGGTCTGAAATAGTCAACAATCAACAGACAAGACACTACAGGTCTGAAATAGTCAACAATCAACAGACAAGACACTACAGGTCTGAAACAGTCAACACTCGTTAGACAAGACACTACAGGTCTGAAATAGTAAACACTCATTAGACAAGACACTACAGGTCTGAAACAGTCAACACTCGTTAGACAAGACACTACAGGTATGAAAAAGTCAACATTCATCAGACAAGACACTACAGGTCTGAAATATTTGACACTCATGAAACAAGACACTACAGGTCTGAAATAGTCAATTATGTAATGTTACCTTAGACTCTTCATCCTTGATACGTTCAACAGAGCGTGCCTGGGTGAGACGTTGCTGTTGTTGGAACTCCTTTTGGGCCTCGATAGCACTTTTCACTACCATGCGCATCGCCAGGAATGCATTAGCCAGGGTAAGCTCCATTTTGTGCATGTCTAAGTAAGCAAAAATGTACATTTTGAACTCCAGTATCCAGGTATAAAGTTTTATAATTATTGTCACAAATACAAGTACACAATACAGAAAAGATGTTATTGACAGAAAAACAGAACTTTGTACAGTAAGTAATTGGATTTTCCTGACAAACAGAAATATGACACAACAAAAGGTTTACCCTGTATGTCTGACCCCTCGCGACTGATACTTAGGGCAGATTCATTAAAAAGGTGTAAGTTATAGGACCTTGACCTGTTAGCTTATTACTTCAGGCTAGCTCCACTTCCTTGGTAACAGGGTCAATAAGTGCATATGACCAAAGGAGAAAAAACGTTAAAAAAATGGAGTCTGTCAATAAGAGAATACATTTTCAGGACTAGAGTTAAACTTTAGCCACATTTACATCTGAATTTATGTTTGTCTTGCTGTGTTTATTACCTTGTCAAATGCCTAGGTCATTTTGAGGCATGTGTCAGTATATAATAACTGGTGGCTACCTCACTGAACAACATATCAGAGGCCCGCCATATGCTATCAAGTACAATGGGGGTATAGTATTTCACCCAAATACACAACAAAAACAGCACAGGAGGCTTACATAGGCTATCCCGGTTGCTTTTGTCTATAAAATCATGACAATAAAACATTTAAAAATGAAAAGTCAGCATAAATTGTCGGATTCTCGGTTTCCTGAGAAACACGACCAACCATAGGTAGGAATTGTTGAACCTCAAACCTCAGATCTTCACCTGACGTTACGTAGGCTAATATTCCACTGACTGAGCTATGACTACCCTTTCTTGAATTCATTTAAAAATAATGTACATTTTACAGCATTACAATAGACATATCACATGGTTCAAACAGAAATACATTTAAAAAGTATCATTTTCTTGAAATCTCTATAACAAACTCCAATGTTTTAAAACTTACATTCAACAACATTTCCTACCAACAACGCTAGCATTTCCCGCGGGTCAGGTACAAGCTATCAGGAATGTCAGAGAAAACAAAAGAAGGCAGAAAGAAAGAAAGAAGAAACAGATGAAAATTAGAAAAGACAACAGGAAAGTATTTACAAAAATAAATGAGAGGTATTTTTGTTTCAACAATGTTGTTTAACTTCCAGAAGGTAAAGAAACTAATGGTAGTTCATTATTAAACAGACTGTTAAGTGATAAATGATGATGTAGCGGTCATCCTTTACTCTTTCAATGCCTCAAACAGGGACCTCGTGTTCAACAGTCTAGCACTCTCACAAGGTAAGATAAAGAGAAATTCTCACCGGTAGAGTTGATAAGAAGCTAGTATTTTAACACGATGGCTAGTGTCTTCCTTGAATTGGCAATAAATCAGTCAAACTTTAATGAAGTTACTTGTGACTATGATTTTCTCTTTCTGTGACCTTCACCTTGGTGAAAGGAATAGCATAATACTTTACCTTTGTTTATATTATAGAAAGAAAACAATAAGAAAGAAGATACACAGAACTCTATTGCCCCTCCCCCTCCCCTCTCCATCAAAACAAAAGCTCCATTTAAGGTTATCTCAGGGCACAGATATTGTTACCTTTTCTGGAATGAGAGTAGGCAACTGTGTGAGAGCAAAGGCAGGCTCCTTGAGGTTTTCTTTCTCTAGAATTGTGATAACATGATCACGGAAGTGTATGATAGCACGCAGCACCCTAAGTGTATCTTTCTGAATGGCATGTAGATGATCTTTGTGATTGTTCTCAACCCGCCGCACGGCTGCAATGTTTCTATAAAATCAAAATTTCAAATTTCAAATTCAAAGAATTGTGATATGAAAGTTCTTATATTTGAAAGCCTATTCCGTCTATTGTGATATAATTTAGGAGGAATACTAAGCTCAAACTCCAGTAATTGTACTCAAACATCGACGTGACTGATCAACGTGGGACAGACAGAAGCAGACTAAATCAGCAGTGATCAAACTTCAGTTTATTTTCAAGAGTCCTTTCAAACTTTATTGCCAAAAGATGAGTTCCACAATGTAAATGTTAATTACTTCCTGAAGTTCCATCAAAATTCTACAAGTACAGGACTCGGGACTTACAAGTCAATTTATCACTGCTTCAGACCAAACTGCTTCACAAGTATAGGTATTTTGAAATTGGACAGTATCTAGAACAACACTTCTGATCATTTATCATGTACCTTGATCGTTCTTTCTTCAGGAAGCCTTTAAGTTTCTCTATCTCGGTGTTAAACTCATTCTTCATTCCTGATAACAATGTCTTGTAGTAGGCAGAGTCTTTCTCCACATCTTGCTGCTGTCCCAAAGAACATTAAGGTCAATTGAGTACATATTCATATAAATTTATCATACTTTCAGTGTCTGTAACCTCTAGCCATCTAATATCTGGTTATTATGACCTCTTCAAAGTCAAAGGTGAAAGGGTGTCTTAAGGGTCATCAGGGAAAAACTCTTAAATTCAATTGTGTTGTGATCACGTTTACATGTATCTATATGTCTTTAGATGATGTTCTATATATATATATGTATATATATCTAATGTTATGTTTGAACATTATTTTTTGCTAAATATGAGATCCAAAAATAATTTTCTAATTTTTTAAATACTGATCAAAAGTAAAGAAACATCAGGTAATTCTAGCATTTACCAAGCTTTGAGTAGGTCATGATAAAATCAGGTAAGTTGACCATGTTTTCAAGAATCAATATTGATCATGTTGATTCAAGCTTTATCTAGACACCAATAACATTTAATATTTAAAAAAAAAATAATTCTAAGACTACAAGACTAGAAAAAATACATATATATTTTTGTTGGGACATTTTTTTGGCTTCAACGGATACACTTGTATTAATCATTAACCTCCATCAATAATGATACAAAAAAATGCTTAAGAAAGATTCTTCCCCAATATGAAGGAGAAGAATTATTGTATCAATCATTGAAGTGAATTGCTTCATGTATGGATGCTTAACAATAAAGATGACCAATACAAGATTTCATGTTTGCAAAAAAAACCAAAAAAACCCACCAAAACAACAAAATACGAGTTTATCTGACCTTAAGAGTAATGTTTTTTTTCTTTCTAGCTAATCTAAGCTTTTATGTATTTGAAAAAATAAGAAAACTGAGCAAGGATTTTAATATTTTATAGATATGATCAACTGTAAATAAGAAAGAACTCCAGAACTTGCCAGGTAACCCTATATCAAAAAACATGTCTATTTACTCTTACAAAACATCCATCAACCAATCAAACTGCAGGAAATTTGTAATTAAGGTAATGAATTGACAACAAATAAACAAATCTTAAGGTGAATTTTGACGATATGCCTTACCGGAGCCTCTATGGGCACCTCAATCATATTAATGGTGTCTGGCATGGCTTCCATGGCTTCTTCAGCAGCACGCTCAGCTTTCTCCAAGTCTGATCTTAATATCCTCACCTTCTCTATACAAACAAATGATACAATGATTTTTAGTTAATTCTAAAACAAACCTGACATCTTTCACAATTAGTAATTCAATAAAAAATTTTCAAGGGAGATAATTAATTTAAATATCACACCATACAGTAAGGCCTCCACATCAGAACACCTACTCGTTCTTTGGTATATATAACTTATATAGCTTATACTAGGTAATTAAATCACTCTTTAATACAAGTTATACCAAATAAAGCAGGATCTTTTCCACATCTGCTTTATGATTTAGTTTGAAATCTTAGTTAAGAAACACGCTTGATTTGTTGTTGAGGGTAGTGTACTTTCCTTCAATGGTCAGAGAAATACTTGTTACTGTTTTTTTTGGTTTAAATTCAATGTAAAAGGTTCACATCTTCAGTAAATTGTTTTCTTGACTAAATTATGCAAACACTGATAAAGACAACACTATGCAGTGCTTCAGACTTTCAACTCCTCATGTTCCACATTTATAATTTCTATGATGCTTTAAATTTTGACCTATTAAGCTCACTGGGTCTTTCCTGGTTTAGTACCTTCTGTGACCACTTTCACCAGTCATGTTTTGATTAGTTGTGACCTCTCTGAACCCACCAGATTTGACCTCGTGACCTGTATGACCTTGACCTTACATCTTTGACCCTGATTATTTGCATACCTTGTTCATGCTTTAACTGTCGGTCAAGTTCTCTCAGTTTATCCCTCAATAACTCAATTCTGTCCTGCACAAAAAATAAAGAACGTAATCCTAATAAATATTCAAACTCTGACATTTTCTTTAAATTTTCATACAAGTCAATCTAAGAAGGGAGATAACTACTGAATGTGTAATACAAAGTTTTACACAAGAAGGGAAAAGGATAACTTCGTTGGAGGAATATCAGAGTTTTCAAACTGTGAAGGTCACAGGTTTGATACTTAAGTACAATTACTCTGGTGGGCCTCCAACATTATGTTCAGTGGCAAAGCCACCAGCTACTGTAAGGAGACATCTTAAAATGATTATGACTTTCCAAAGGGCAAAATAATCAGCCTAACAAGCAGAAAGGACTTTCTCCAGTACATGTATACCAATCACTTACCAACGCCTCTTTTAACTTGACTTCTGTTTCATCCAATTTTAATTGAGTAGAAGAATCAACAACCTTGATGACCTCTACAAGAAAAAAAATTAATCATTTACAACTCAAGTCTACTCCGTACAGGGAAACATTCACCTAATGTTTTTTTTTAAAATTCTAGCATAAAACTGGTGATTTTATCCTAAGAACACATTTTTCGACTTTTGCATTAAACTTTAGCCCAACCATAGCATCTAAATCAATAGTTAAAGCATCACATTACATCACACTTACATATTTTCCTGTAAATAAGCTCCTGCCCATAAATAAGCCTCTACTTCATTTATACAGAATCATCAATGTTAAAATACGAAGCTAAGGAGTTCCCAAATAAGCTCACCCCAAAATTTAAAACCAAATTTTTACACCAGGAGAGGGAGTTTACTACAATACAACATAAGATTACTACACAAAACAAAATTTACTCCCAGCAGAAATCACAGAAGTAATTAAACAGTATGTAGCACATGAATAAGGAAATCTAACAACCTACAACACCTGTGGAGTGGATTTACCTGGCGACGGTGGAGGTTTCTTTGGTTTCTTGGCAGCAGCAACTTCTACCTCCTGGGTAACGGTCACGGTTTTCTCGACGATCCTTGTCTCTATCTCTGCCTGAAGGATCTTCATCTGTGACTCATATCCTTGTAGTTTCCTCATCAGAGTCTTATTCTTCTCCTCATACTGAGCCTGTAAATATCACCAACCTAACTGTTTAAACCCTTAAAATAGATAACATAAACTAAATTGTTATACATGTACTTATATATATTTGTTTTTAAAGTACCGATACTCTAAAAATTGAATGTTATCTAAAAATTAATGAGTTTTTTTAAAAATTATTTCCTGGGGATCTGAATACATGGATTTTGATCAGGAAACAAACAAATGTAAACTGACGAGGAAAATATATAATTTTACAGTACAGAATGATTAGGACTGATGTATATATAGGATGACTCCGTTTAACATTATTTATTTCAGATCTGTTGGAAAGACATTTTATAAAAACAAAACATGTACATAATCTTTTCCATTCTCCAGCCTGGCATAAAACTTTCATTTATATGTAGAGATATATAATTCAAGCCAAGACAATTTGACCATCGTTGTACTGGCTGAATGTCGTACAGCAGGTCACTTTCAGTGAGATGATATTTTCTGCTTTTTCAAGATACATCAACATAATAGCAACAATTAAATCTGTGAAATGATAAGACAAATGTGTATTAGTATTAGATGTCAATTTTTATCCAGACTGTGAAATTCTAATTCATTCAAATTTAACTTGATTGTTTTAAAAGAAAAATTTGACCAGACAAATTACCCGCTACACGATATGTAACATTACCCGCGATCATAGATACTGGGTTTAATGTCAAATCTGAAGTGGCAGCCTAGGACTTACTACACATTAACTAGCTCAGGCTTAATCAATTATATCTCTAAAACAATACCCTATATCCAAACACATCATGATATATCCGTTCTTCAGAACATTTTCTTCAGGTTTGTAAAGTCAATAGAATAGAAGTTCTTGTAACACAAGCAGTACAAGATTAGAGTATGACGTTTCTATGACTACACGGTCACCTTCATCTTATCACAACCAGTACAAGATTAGAGTATGACGTTTCTATGACTAAAGATCCCCTTCATCAGATAAATGACCATTGTGGAGCATACTAGCAGACGTACATAGTGTACAAGATGGAATTGACCAAATTTTCGGCTGTACATAGTGTACATAGAGTACATAGTATTATAGTACATCTGTAAAAGTTAGTCAATTCCTTCCCATGTTGTACACAATGTACATCAATGCTAGTATGCTCCACACTGGTAAATTGTCCGACAAAGGTGACCGTGTATTCATCAGTGGAGAACAGCCTCCAAGACAAGATAATTCTTCAAGAGCCGACGTCTGATAAACACAAGTGTATGTTGTAGTTCATCACCAGGTATCTGGAGATCTTTAGGATACAAAGTCGTCTTAATACAAAGGAATAAAGCAGGAAAGATTCCTCCTTTTTGTCATGCTCCAAGCTTATTAAATCACATCAATCTATGAAAATGTAAATATTCCTGAAGAAACACCAGACATGTTGTTCAGTGAAATCCTACAGATTGAGAGCTGTATCTCTTCTCGATTACATGTCAATAGTCAATACACTATCTTTAATCCAAACTTATCAGATTGTTAAAATACTGTATTCATTGGAATTTTTAGAAAGTTTACACTTGTATATATATAAAAAAAACTTAAATTCATGATATATGATTTTATACCATCGTTCTTTCAGATGGATGAAAGAACTTGCAGTAGTCAGTAACAGTCAATATATTCTTTATCTGTCATCTAAGTTGTATACATATCAAATGTACACTACTAACTGGTAATAGTTCATTGGTTAAATAGACCATTAAACAAGTTCCTTATTTCCGTCCTTGTTAAATCAAATAAGTGTTTATCATCCATCTCCACAGATAATTTGGTCACTTTCTAAAACAAAAACATAAAAGAAAAAATGTTTTTACTCTGTCCGATTTTTAACAAGATAGTAACTTGTATACCAGTAGGTTCTTCTTCTCTTCCACGTCGACAGACATACGTCGTACCACCTTTTTCACTTCATCCATCTCTTTGACCTGTTTCTCAGCCGCAGCTTTTGCTATATTCATTTTCTGTGAAGAACGAGAGAAGTTGAAACATTGAACATGACAAGATCAGTTTGAGAAGGACAAATTTAAAATAAAACAAGCCAGGTGAGTGAAAATTGTCTTATCGATTACCTGTAGATTGGAACACAGAGGATCAGACAAGAAAGAGAATGACTGTTAGTACAGTAGGACCTGGCCAGGCCTTAATAACTCCTACTCATCAGAAATAAAACCTGCCTACAGACGTTCTCATGGAGCGTGATATGGTTTTATAGCACTTAAAATTTCTGTTAAAGCTGATAAGAAAACAACATCAAAAAAATAGATCTGTGCTTATTTAATAAAATAAATCCCTAACTGTGGTTGAATTTGTTTTACTGGCTGGAATATGTAGAGGCTTGTCCCGATCATTAGTTATACATTTGATATCATGGATCAGATAGGTAATTACCAGTACTTAGAAATCTTATTGTTTCAGGTATTTTATCACAATTCTACTTCAAACAAATTCCTATACAAATATTTAAAGTAGTGACATTCGAACACTTTATTAAAATGCACAGACAAGTGACAATTAAGCCTAGCAGACAATAATTGGAGGATATTGGTCAATCTGTTCTAGAAAATTCAAAGATTTAAATCTGCTGTCTTATATATACCGTCTTCAGCTCCTCAACAGTCTTGCGTTTTTCTTTGAGCTCCATCTCTTTCTTGGACATGGCGACAGAAAGGTTTCTGAACTGTTTGGTACATTTTCCATACACTACAAATACCACAAGTTTAACAATAATGAGAAAAACCTTCATCAGTTCAAAAAATATACAGAAATGATTGTTTCACAACATGTATCACTTTACATAGTGTATCAAAATAAGTACAAGTATGGAAATTTTGCAATAATTTTCCATTTTGATGCCACAGAGAAAGTAAAATATTATCATAAGGTCAACCGCGTCTGTTGCATCACACTGTTTAGGAAAACTTCATTTTATGGTGATAAGTCCTACCATGTTTGAAAGAGTTTGAACACTGTTGGAGTGATCTACAGACAAATCAATGTCAATGACAGAGAGGGAGACAACATGTTTTCATATGTTCTGTCAAACTTTTGCAATGAAATCTTACATACAAATCAATGGGTACAGTATTCCCAGCAGTGAGACAATGCTAAGAAATAGGATTGTAACCAACCCATCAGTATTCTCTGATTGTCTGAACTTACAGTGCTTGTGACTAGCATTTATCACCAAGAAATAGGACAAGTTAAGGAGACTGAAAACCTGTAACCAACCCACCAGTATTCTCTGATTGTCTGAACTTACAGTGCTTGTGACTAGCATTTATCACCAAGAAATAGGACAAGTTAAGGAGACTGAAAACCTGTAACCAACCCATCAGTATTCTCTGATTGTCTGAACTTACAGTGCTTGTGACTAGCATTCTTTGTCCACTTTACCGCATCATTGAGTGTCTGTAGCACCATCTTGACTGCATTGTCCCACTTGACCGGATCAGAAAGAAGAGCTCGCTCTGTAACAATAATGACACACATTTCAAAAAGATTTTTCTTTAAAACGAACATTTATAAATGTATATAATAAATAACAGCAAGAATTTTGATTTAAGAGACCTGCATCACTCACCTGGCTAATTCAGATATTTAAGTCATCTAACAAATAATTTCAAATATGACAAATTACTTCTGAAATAATTTCCTTATTGGGTCCCATCCTTCTGTTCAAACGGATGTCTGATTCACAAGTCACAAAAATTGCTCCAGATCAAACTTTAATGGAAGGAATTTTTAAGAACATATATTTCCCAAATTGGGCTCATATTTCCACAATTGGGCCCATCCTTCCCATATTTCCCCAATTGGGCCTGGGCCCACCCTTCTCACCCATCCTTCCTGCCCCAGTGGAGCCAAATCAACCGTTTATACAGAACTGATTCCCAAACCTAACATCTATACCAGACTGATTCCCATTCAACCAAGAATGCGTCAGAACAAAATTTGTTAAAACCAAATCATTCATACAGGAAGAGTAGGATTTTAAAACATTTACTCTATTTCCCCTCTTGGGCCCCACCCCTAAGGCCCCTTGCGGTTGAGAACCAGTATTACCAAAACATGGTTCCCCTTCCATCAAGAATTCTTCTAACAAATTTGGTCAAAATCGGTTCAGTCATTCATAACTAAGTAGTGATTTTAGTGAAAAAGTTGATGGATGCCATGCCACAGCAAAAGCTCACGGTCACAAAATTAATAAAGATATAAATAAATCCCCAAGGAATATCAATCATTTCACAGTACTTGCTAAATTCAAATAAATCTTTTAGGAAGACCTACAACTCTAAACACTTACACTTCAATTTAGAAATCACTAAAACTATTTATGTCTTCCACAAAGTTATTAACATATGTCTTCCACAAAGTTATTAACAGAGTTAAATAATCTAAGGCATTTTGTACTACTGTGGTTGGTTTTAAATTATTTCTTACACAAAAAAACCTCAACAATTTCCAAGGTTTGATTTCTTTGATGCTTAGAACAATAGGCCACAAAACTAACATCCTTACCATCATACACGATATTAAAATCTGATGGCTTCCCTTGCATTTTCTTTGCTTGCAGTTCATTTCTGTAAGAAAAATAACGAAAGTAGATGATGATAGTAGTTTGTGTACTTCAGATTGCGAGTACTGTTGTCAGTAACAGCTTGTTTTACTGTAGGTACAGACAACTGATATCTAAAATGTAACTCAAAGTGCAAAGTGTTTGATTGGCTTGAAAACATCAACTGAATTGGAAGCAAAAGGTTGTGTTTTGCTGACTTGATCAAGTCTCCCTCACACAAGCTTCTCTCACACGATAACATCTCCCTCACACAAACTTCTCTCACATAACCAAGTCTCCCTCACATAAACTTCTCTCACATAACCAAGTCTCCCTCACATAACCAAACTTTTCTCACATGACCAAGTCTCCTTCACACAACTAAACTTCTCTCACATGATCAGGTCTCCCTTACACAACCAAACTTCTCTCACATGACCAAGTCTCCCTCACACCATCAAATATATCTCACATGATCAAATTTCCCTTACACAACCAAACTTCTCTCACATGACCAAGTCTCCCTCACACAACCAAACTTCTCTCACATGACCAAGTCTCCTTCACACCATCAACTATCTCTCACATGATCAAATTTCCCTTACATAACCAAACTTCTCTCACATGACCAAGTCTCCCTCACACAACCAAACTTCTCTCACATGACCAAGTCTCCTTCACACCATCAACTATCTCTCACATGATCAAATTTCCCTTACATAACCAAACTTCTCTCACATCACCAAGTCTCCCTCACACAACCAAACTTCTCTCACATGATCAAGTCTCCCTCACATAACCAAACTTCTCTCACATGACCAAGTCTCCCTCACATAACCAAACTTCTCTCACATGACCAAGTCTCCCTCACACAACCAAACATCTCTCACATGATCAAGTCTCCCTCACACAACCAAACTTCTCTCACATCACCAAGTCTCCCTCACACAACCAAACATCTCTCACATCACCAAGTCTCCCTCACACAACCAAACTTCTCTCACATCACCAAGTCTCCCTCACATAACCAAACTTCTCTCACATGACCAAGTCTCCCTCACATAACCAAACTTCTCTCACATGACCAAGTCTCCCTCACATAACCAAACTTCTCTCACATGATCAAATTTCCCTCACACAACCAAACTTCTCTCACATCACCAAGTCTCCCTCACATAACCAAACTTCTCTCACATCACCAAGTCTCCCTTACACAACCAAACTTCTCTCACATGATCAAGTCTCCCTCACATAACCAAACTTCTCTCACATGATCAAATTTCCCTTACACAACCAAACTTCTCTCACATGACCAAGTCTCCCTCACAAAACCAAACTTCACTCACATGATCAAGTCTCCCTCACATAACCAAACTTCTCTCACATGACCAAGTCTCCCTCACACAACCAAACTTCTCTCACATGATCAAGTCTCCCTCACATAACCAAACTTCTCTCACATGATCAAGTCTCCTTCACACAACCAAACTTCTCTCACATGACCAAGTCTCCCTCACACCATAAAATATCTCTCACATGATCAAATTTCCCTTACACAACCAAACTTCTCTCACATGACCAAGTCTCCCTCACACCATCAAATATCTCTCACATGATCAAATTTCCCTTACACAACCAAACTTCTCTCACATCACCAAGTCTCCCTCACACAACCAAACATCTCTCACATGATCAAGTCTCCCTCACATAACCAAACTTCTCTCACATGATCAAGTCTCCCTCACACAACCAAACATCTCTCACATGATCAAGTCTCCCTCACACAACCAAACATCTCTCACATAACCAAGTCTCCCTCACACAACCAAACTTCTCTCACATGATCAAGTCTCCCTCACATAACCAAACATCTCTCACATGACCAAGTCTCCCTCACACCATCAAATATCTCTCACATGACTAAATCTCCCTCACACAACCAAACTTCTCTCACACGACCAAGTCTCCCTCACATAACCAAACTTCTCTCACATGACCAAGTCTCCCTCACATAACCAAACTTCTCTCACATGATCAAGTCTCCCTCACATAACCAAACTTCTCTCACATGACCAAGTCTCCCTCACACAACCAAACTTCTCTCACATGATCAAGTCTCCCTCACATAACCAAACTTCTCTCACATGATCAAGTCTCCCTCACACAACCAAACTTCTCTCACATGACCAAGTCTCCCTCACACCGTCAAATATCTCTCACATGATCAAATTTCCCTTACACAACCAAACTTCTCTCACATCACCAAGTCTCCCTCACACAACCAAACATCTCTCACATGATCAAGTCTCCCTCACATAACCAAACTTCTCTCACATGATCAAGTCTCCCTCACACAACCAAACATCTCTCACATGATCAAGTCTCCCTCACACAACCAAACATCTCTCACATAACCAAGTCTCCCTCACACAACCAAACTTCTCTCACATGATCAAGTCTCCCTCACATAACCAAACTTCTCTCACATGATCAAGTCTCCCTCACACAACCAAACATCTCTCACATGATCAAGTCTCCCTCACACAACCAAACATCTCTCACATGACTAAGTCTCCCTCACACAACCAAACTTCTATCACATGATCAAGTCTCCCTCACATAACCAAACTTCTCTCACATGATCAAGTCTCCCTCACACAACCAAACATCTCTCACATGATCAAGTCTCCCTCACACAACCAAACATCTCTCACATGACTAAGTCTCCCTCACACAACCAAACTTCTCTCACATGATCAAGTCTCCCTCACATAACCAAACTTCTCTCACATGATCAAGTCTCCCTCACATAACCACACAAACATCAGGTACCTTCAATTATCATGTAATAATTCGATGCAGTCTAGACCATCTCTTAACACAATGGACCTTTCATAATTTTAGGAAGACTTTAAATGAGACTGTTTTTATGCAAACAAAACATGGTTTTGTGAATGATATTTTCTGTTGATTTAGTCTGGGGGAGGCTTGAAGATGAGGATGATCCCCTGTTTACATCTTCACTTACTCCTTAATGATGTTGCTGGCCTCTTTCAGTAGCTGACCTCCTAACCTCACCACTTCACTGGTAGTATCACCAAACTGGTTCAACACCTCCCTGTCAGACAAAAAAAAACAACATCATGATTTAAGGTAGAAATATTGTACCTTATGAATAAATTTTACAGTGGGTAAGATATCCGAGACACTAAAAATCTCTTACTATTAATTCAATTTCTTTAAAATCATATATTTTCATGGCACTCAGTTTTCATGGTTTTTCAAACAAATGCTAATTTATGGACATTTAATTTCATTTATAAATAGAATTCCATAAATTTACTCATTACTTTTCTTAACAATTGTGAAAAAATAAATTTGTGGTATAAAATTACCCCCAAAATCAATGAAAATAAATTCCAGACAAAAATGACAAATTTTATAGTATAGCTCAATTCATTTGAGTGTTATGAATCAAGTCATGGAATGGCATCTTGACATCAGTGTCCCCGGTTTGAAAAAAAATTAATTTAGTGGATATAGAGGCTTCTCGACATTCAAGAAATCTTAAAAATGTCACAATGTTTTCCTAACAACAGTAACCATGGTGAACCACAAAATTGTACTTCAGAGCATATGAAAGTTGCATGTGTCGTCGTGATGACGGCTGCCTTGCTGTCGAAACATGTCAACAACATCTATACCACGTTACTGTTCTTAGATGTTGAGAAACCTGTATTTCCGTACATTATATTCTCAAGAAATGATGAAGAAGAAAAGTGTCTAATGAAATCAAAACTTGTCTGAAATATCACATGAAATCAATATCAAACTTGTTGTCCTTGAGTGGCCCAAAGAATGAAAACCTAACACGCCCCCTTAACACAAATTTTTTGTCTGCAGTGACGCAACAACTAAATTATGTAATAATATCTTGATCAATGCTGTCAAACAGCATATGATTTGTTTTTATGATTAACATAAATTTTTTGTCAATATGTTTGACATTTTCTTTCATACCACAGCACAAAGACAACTTCTCTCCAACCTTACAGTCTTTGTCTGTTATAGGAAGAAGAGAAAGCCTTTGGTGGCAATCCTTTCACAAAATTTGAAGTCTGTATAAACTTACAAGACGTTTTCATGGATATCCTCACACTCCATTAAGGTGCCATCCATTTCTTCATCAGGAATCATGCCATCGGCCTAAAAGCAGGAGAGATACTATATATAAATACAGGTTATCCATATAATAACGACAAAAAGACTCACCACACCCTGAAGCGTCTTAAGTTTACTGTACAAGGTTTTTAAGTTTACAGACAGAAATACACACTTTTCAGAAAGTTTTGATAAAATTCCAATTGAAACATTTTTTCCCCAATGAAAATGAATTCCCCGACTATTTTAGGCTGTGTACCCGAAGACTGGTGTCATTTGGTCAGTTTGTATTAAAGACGTAGCACTCTATCACTTTTGCAAAATGGACAAACTAGCTGAAAGGGCAGTGATTCAATATGAAAGGTCAAGCACCTAAGGACATCCACACTGATAAGGTAGCAACACTAGAGAATGATGCCTTATTAATTTCCTACAGTGAAAAGGTAGGTGGCAGAATTCAAGCGTGGTAGGAGGAGCCTTGGAGATGACGCCCCTCCTGGACAGCCTGTCACTGTTACAACCCCAGAAATGGTCAATGAAGTCCATGATATTGTTATGGCTGATGGGCCAGTTACAGGAGATATATAGCAAGTACAATTGGGATTTCATAGAAAAGAGTACATACGAAAAATCTTGTAACGAGAAAGCTGTCAGCCCAATCATGCAATATGTCCGCCAAAAGTCAAACCCTTAAATATAAGGCTCAAATCTTATCAATCAGACCTTGTATATTAAAATACATATTATAAATATTTATAATGTAAAATGAAAAATCAAAGGAGCTGAAAAATGTCCCAATTAGTCCCTAGAAATCCTGGCCAACCCGTTTCATGTGTTGTAATTGATCACTGAAGTGAGAAAACAAAGTAAATAATAAATGATAATTTCAAGTCTTCCTCTGACATCCCTTGTTGCCATCCTTACCAGACTACAAGGATCTGAGATCCAATCATTGACTTCGCTGATGATTTGGTATCTATGGTTACATTCGCCTACATAGCGAAGAACTCCTTCCATGACTTTGTTTCGTCTCTTCTCCTGTAACATCAAAAGTTAAAAATGCTTACTTTTTTTTCCCTGCATGAAGCCCAAGGGAGACAAAAGATTTATGTTTTTCACCCCAAGTTAGGGGTGGGCTTATTACAAAACAATAAAATATTGGTGTTTTGTAACTTTATTGATTATCAAGACATGCAAGTTTTCATGTATTACCATGAAAGTGAAACTATTACTATCCTCAGTACACTGCTAATTAAACTTTTTCACTAGTAGTAACCTTATGAGACACTGAATATAATAGATTTGATATTCAGACTTTCAAATGATGCACCAGGTTATTCATCATGGGATGGCATATAAACTTTGTAATTAAGTCAACCAAAATTCTTCATACTGTATTTCAAATTTTAATTGGAAAATGAGTTTTCATGAAATAACAAATCTTTTGCAGAATCAGAATTATGCATAGTATATCAAAAATACATTAATTCTAGGTTCTTACAGAAAAAGAAATCCTGAAACAAAATTCTAAGTACCCAAATATATCTGAATAAAGTAACAATGCGATGGGTTTAAGGTTTCATGCTTAAAACGTTTCTGAAGCTTTAGAATGATCTGTACATGTAAATTGTGTTAATAAACTATCAAAAATCAAAATTTCTCCCCGCTATATATAAACAAATTCCCTATCAAGAAAATGAAGTGAAAACCTGAGGAAATTTCCTCCAAAATAGAGCTAATTACATATAGTATATTTTATTTAACATATTTTAAGATCATGCCATCATGAAAATCTACCATTAACATTGTCATATTTCATTCATGTAATCTTCAATTATGTCACACATATATATTAATACTGTTCCTTTTTGAATTCTGATCAAAAGTGAGGTCCAAAATTTCTTGATTTCTCAAAATTGGCAGAAAATTCCATTTTTTCACAATATGCCATGATCCCCATGTTCTTTACCTGTGTGAGTTTCTCCTTATCTGAAAGTTTCATGTCAAATAAAGAACCTTCAGCACCTTACGTGGAAGAGACAATATATTTACTCATGTAACCCTGATAAAATACTAGTCGCAATATATACAACTCAGTTAGAGAGAACTTCTCGTTAATTTGATTGGTTGAGCTTCAGACTAGTAAGTCAGGGGTCCCAGGTTCGATTCCTACCGGAGGCATTGAAATAAATAATGACCTCTGTTACATTGAGGCATTGAGATAAAAAATGACCTCTGTTACACTCATTTACATAAAGTCACAATGGTTCTTGTGGTTTAAATCAGAACACAAATGAACAGGAAGTCAGATCAGCTCTTAACTTGATTGGTTAAAAATTGAAAAAAAAATATGTTGAAACAACCATTTGTGAACATGTGCTTAAAGCACTAATATACATGGTCGTTAAGCTTATGTAAATTATCTATGATGTTCAGCGTGTTTTTCGTGCCAAATTTTGTAGGTCAAGTTAATTTTATAATTAATCAACAGGCCTGAAATTCTCAATGTGTTCAGAGATAAAATTCCAGCGACCCATATAAGGCCAGATGTTCAAGGTCGAGCACTTTTGCAGATTGTTGGTTTGTTTAGGTTTTTAAACCACTTTGAAATAACACATATATTTACATAGCATTCTCTTTGTAGTAAACACTGATCACAAAGTTATACTTTGCAACATAAAACTGACCTCTCCTCTTTTGAAAGCACCTGGGAAAATGGACGGCAGTTTGAAGTTTGACTGAAATGAATTTCAGGACAATTTTAATCACTACCCAATCATCTTTTTATGTAAAACCTTGAATTCAAGACAAACTCAAGAATTCAAGTTAAATTTGCACATTTATGTCAAAATTGATGAGCTGTATGATACATTGTGAAAATCTGAAGAACAATTACAATTTCATTAACAGTATTTCAAAGCTAGGTATATGTCATTGGATTGCCTGAATGAGTTTTCATATATGTAAATGAGCTGTTTCTCTTTGCTTATATTTTAAACATCAAAAAAACATCTGTTCTGTTCTTGTGTTTGCTTCAAAAATTGATCTGGCATCAATGAACATCGTAGCGATATATAAAGTTAATATAATGATAGAATGATTTTAGATTAATTCATATCCTCCATTTGGCACTTATAGGACTTTAATCAGCAATGAACAAACAGTCTCAAGGGGGAAACCAAACAAAAAACAATCAAAAACAAAACAAAATTGGGATGAGAATTTTCATGAGTAAGTTAATGAAAACAGTACATATTTTAGAAATTTGGCCATGTTATACAATAGATCCAATTTGGAATGGGGCCCATAATCAGACTCACAAAGCCCACAGGAAAAAACCTTGAAATATTAACTCTTTCGATGATTCTAGATTAAATATTTCATTTCAAAATGTTTATGGAAACAACAGCATATCCGTATTAGCGTCTGGTTGGCCAACAAACTTACCTCATCCTCATCAGAAGAATCATGCATGTCCACATTTTTCAGGGCCTTTTTGTAAAAGAAAACACAAACAATCAATATGATGAATTATACATAATATTCAAATCCCTGCATCTCTTGTACTCCTTTACGATTTAAATTATTTGAAAATTTGATCTTGTATTCATGAAAAATTTAATAGTATTTTAAAACATTGATTCTGCCAATATTTTTGTTATATAATGCTTTCTCATCATCTATGTAGTGTTGGAGTTTTTTTTAACGTCATTTTTTTTATTAATCAAATCATCTATACAATAGGCGTATTCAACTAAGTTATCAAGTGTAGTACTGCTACATTTAATATTATCTCGTTACAATGACTTCAAAAGAGCCAATTTTTAAATCTAGTACATGTACTACAAACTCTAAGGTTACATTATTAATATTATTGTTCTAATTGCGACATCTACAACTGAATTTCTTAAATTCATCCCTAAATATCTATTTATCCTGCAACTGGCACTGGCGTTGTCGGAATACATCTGCCACATATATTTTTTAGCTGTATTTGGCAGTGACTGAAAACAGTTGTATTTTAGCATGTGCTGTAATTCAAGAGAATTACTCTCTAAATTTACTGAAATATTTACATTTAGAAATATGATTAGTTGTTGAAATAAGCTAATTTTCATGTTGTAATGAATATATTGATCAACGAAAATTCATAAAATCACAGTTTGAACTATATTTCTGTGTGGAACAATTACTTTGGCGTGTCATCAGACAAAAATTCAGCATAACGTCAATATAATGTAAATACATACTGAACAACAAAACGGTTTAAGTGTCAATAGTCTGATTTTCAATCGCTGTTAAAGGATAAATAGATTACATAGCCAGTGTCTCAAGATATAGGCTGTATCTAGGCAAGGGAGACGAAGGACAAAAGTGGTGAGCCTCCATGTATTCTCTATATCTCACCTGATATACTCGTTCCTTGATGGATTTGACTTGATCACGAATACTTTTTTTCCTACGTTTTTTCTTCATGACCTCCAGGTTGTAAAGAACGTTGATAATAGTTGGAGCATACAGACTACTTTTTGTTTTCTTCATTGGCACCTTAGCTAGTGAGAACTCATCCTTCTCTGAATCTGACATGGTTGTACTGGAATGCTGAGATTGGTCAGAGTCTGAACCATGTACCCGTCTTCTCTCCCACGTATCATCCTCGCTTCTTTCCCAACACCTTGATGCTCGAAATACATTACCAAATCGCTGGGTAAGGGCATTAGGAGGAGACATTTGTAATAGATTTGGGGAAAATGGAGATGAAGATGAAAAATCAGGTGAGCGTTGGTCTGGGCTTGCATATGATTGTATCAACTCCTCCATCCTGTTCTTTCTGCGTTGTGGTAAAGTTGTTACTGACTCAAACGAGGTTGGTGTAGGTGTCTTATTTGCTTTAACCTCTGAAATGATCTTGACCTCATTTTGAAAGACCTTGGATTTCTCGGCAGAAATTGATGCCTTTCTGCCTGTCCCGTTTGTGTTTTTCTCAGACTTAATCAGCTTGGTCTCCTTTTCACTTTGAGATACACTAGATCGTCTCCTTTTCCTGTTGGCGTATGATTTTCTATTCTTGCTTTTCTTGACTGCCGTTTTACCTCGGTTTATATCCGTTTCTGTAGACGAAGCTGTGCTGAGTTCTGACACCAAGTTTCCATGGCTATCTCTTGGTCTACCAGTGACTGACTGTAATGTGTTTGAACTTTTCCTGCGATCAATTCCTACATTCTGACTGCTGTTTCTCTTCAGACTCTCCCTATCTGTCCCCTCTGCGGTTGGAGGATCACCTTCCACATCCTCCAGGTCTGGTGTTACAATAACTATTGGAGAGGATAATTTCTTTGATACTGGAACTTTATCCTGCTCAACTTGTTTTTCCTCTTCTTTTTTCTGTTTCAAAAAAGAAGAATACATGAATATTACACTGTTCAGTACGGAGAATTCCAGGTCAGGTCAGGTTTTGTGTGTCTTAGTTTTACCCATAGGTTAGTAAGAAGGGTTCAGAGTATCTATGATTTTAATTTTATCCTAGAACGAAACGCCAACAAGACAAAAATGAAATCATGGATAGGTACTTTGAACTTTTACAATCACTTTTAATTCCTGTTTACTAATGCATATGCATATATAGCAATTTATCCTACAACTGGCACTGCCATTGTTGGAATACACCTGCCACATGTAAATATACATGTATTTGGCATTGAAATAGCTGTACTTTAGCTCATTTGGTAATACAACAGAATCTCTTTCTAAATTTACTTACATATTACATTTAGAAATATAAATAGCTGAAATAAGCGATTTTACATGTAATGAACAAGTTGATTTATGAAAATTTATAAAATCGCTGTAATATCCAATAAAGTTTGAAACTAGGTAACTGCATGGAGCAATTATTTTTCGTGTCAACCGTCAGGCAAAATTCAGCATAACGTCAATATCAGGTAAACACAGATTGAACAACAAAACTGTTCAAGTTTAAATAGTCTGATTTTCAATCAATGTTACAGGATAGATAGAATACATGGTCAGTGTCTTAAAATAGAAGCTGTATTTTGTAATAATTATACTTCAAAATGTCAAGAGAGAAAACAGTGCCATATGTTTAAATGATAAATTAAAGCAGACCAAGTTTTAGAGAAACAAATGGAAAACTGAAAGATAAAAACTAACGAAAGGGAAATACATCTTTGAAATATTTTTCAATCTAAATGTTATTCATGTGAACAAAATCTCACGTCGTGGTTTTATAGTATACCAAGAAATTGGTCTGAAACTGAGTGTTGATATCTGGACAAGATCAAAATGTTGAAAAGAAAAACAAAGGGCAATAACTCTTACCAAAATCATGAAATCACAATGCCAATACTGAAATCACTATTTCATTTCAGGCTTATAAAATCTCCCAAGTTTAGGATTGGTGAAAAACTAAGGAAGGAGATAAAAATCTTCATACAAAATTAAAATAAACTCAAAGTACACAAAGTATGGTAAACAAACATTTATGTACAATCTCGTGTTTATTTAGAATTTTTATATGTAGTACATAATACCATATTTTCTGGACTATAAGGTAGCAGTACAGTTTCTCGGTGTGGCCATGGGTGATTTTTTTGCTCATTAGATTACCCCATTATAAAGGTTTTAATTAAAAATGAAAAAAAAAAAAACCTTGCTAAAATTGGTCCTGTCATGTTAAAGTGGACAATGTGGGGTTTCATTTTTTTCAGGATAATATTTTAGCTTTGTGTTGGAGATTATTATTTGGGCAGTCTCGAATCTGTGTCTACGCACCAAAAACTAGCTTTACAAGAAGTGAAATTTTCAGTGTTCACATGTGGTCATGTTATGAAGAATTTCTGAGTTGGAATTTGCTGAAATGTAAGTACTTTGTTACCATGACAGTGTTGTTGATTGTAAGATAGGTGTTTAGAATTAAATTTCTCCTAGAAAGTTGTAGTGTTGGGTTGGAATTAGCAGTATTTTTTGCATTTTTAGCATTTTTTCAGTAGGTAACCATGACAATCAAATGTCAGAAATCAGAGGAAATTTTTTTTTTACACAAATTTCATCTCTCTACTGTTAATGTAATTGTTATATAGTTTATAAATATATATACATGTAATGATGTATTTTTCATAACCAATCTGCTATACCTGTATATCTCAAACATGACAAATAATTTCAGGAAAAATGCAAATTAACTGTTTACTGCTACCTAAGCCGTTTTTTTTTCTTCGGCGGTCAGCGTGCAGCTTATATATCAGTAGGCTTATATGTGGACAAAATGGACAGAATGAAAAAATAAATGAAGCATACCAGTACGCCTGTACTGTGTACAGTCATTTGCATATTGTATCAGAATCTTGTAAACTATCATAGTAGAAAACATTTTTTTAAATCTCGAATTGCATTAAAATGATCAATATGAAGCTGCATTGAGATCATCAAGACTATCGGCAACTTGTTTTTTGTCCTAGGTATGCGACAGCTGATTGCAACCCAGCAGGCATTGTACGTCAAATTTACGTCATATTTTCGTCAAATGATTAAAATGATCAATTTCAAATTGATGTCAGAAGTAAAACGTCAGATGTACGTCAAGTGGCCAGAAAACCTGACGAAAATAAAATGTTCACAAAATGTTGATTTTGATTTCAGAAACGATCTCGGGTAAGCGTACTGTTACAGAAAATACTGCTTGTCCCACCTCCCGCCCCTTCAGTTCTAGTTTTGTCATGATTGAAACAACATTCATGTGATATGATACTCTTTATCATTCATTAAGCAGTTCTTTCTACAGCTTCATAATTTTAACCAAGCTGTATAAATGAAAAAAATATCTTGGTATATATTGCGGTTGATGTCAATCTGATTAAAATCCAGATCCCTAAATACATCACCAGAAGCCAGTGGGTTTTTTTTTCTTGTTACCTCCCTTTAATGGCACATCGAAATTTCGAAAAATAAAATCATCACAAATACATCTACACGATAAGAAATTGTTCTGTGTCAACAAAAAGCTTTTGTTGGCTATTTGATGCTTTAATTTAAAAATTCAACTACTTTTAGTAAAATATGGAACGATATGAATATTATCACCGGAGTAGTTCGTTCATACTTCCTGTCATTTTAAAATTCTAGCGGGCGCCGAGTTTTACAGCGGGAAACGAGGTCACATCGGTTTTTGAATTTTTTACATTTACTTTTGGATTTCTGTCTACAGCTGTTTTATTTTGCTTCATTCTCGGAAAAGGTGAGTTGGTTTATCACTCAATGTCTGTATTTGCACCGTTATAATTTTACTTTTGTTTTTTGTTGACTTTTTAGCTGTTTAAAAAATCATGGTGGAAACCGATTACACAAGGTTACACAACTCGTGGCCACCGGTACTGTAATTCTTTCACTCGAGATAGGCTAGTTATGTTTTAAAAGTTATAATAGAAACTCGCTAAAGCTTGTATCTTTTGTAACTTAAAAAAAAATAACCAACTCGAGTGAAAGAAATGCAATAACCAGCAGTATTTTCTCCACTTCTAGTCATGCAGAATACACAAAGAGATACAGCACTTTTTTGCTAAAATTTTCATATAACGTATCTATAAATCATTTTCACAAGTTGAATTGTTTTGGGATTTTTTAACCAGGTTTACTGTGCATACATCAATATTTTGACAAAATTGGCTGATATTTTGGGAGAAAAATAGTTAATGTACAAATGTAGGTATGTGTGATATGGATATTCTACCTAAGGGTGTATAAGTTGGGGTCTTAACGGAGGCTTCAAAGGTTATAACCCAAATGGCTCCTGTGTGGTGCAAATTTTGAAGATGCTATACACTTTTTCTTCCAGTGTCCTCTTTACTCACATGTTAGACATCATGTTAATTCAGTATATAATTTATTAGGAAATGTTAACCTTATTGTTTTGCTTTATGGTATCATTGGAATGTCAGATGAATTTAGTAGTTTTATACTTTATCATACTAGTTCTTATTAAAAAATACTAAAAGATTCTCAATTTACAAGTAATAATATATACATACAAATCCTATAGTTATAATATTTAGTATACTTAAGTAGTTGTGGATGTAGTGTGGAAGTGAGTATGTGAGTGGTTTATTTTCAATTCTTTATTCTCTCTTTATTATTATAAACTGAAAAATACCATCCTTTTATTAAAAAAAATTGAATATATTAATTAATTTAAAATATACCGGTATCATTTGGGAAAAGACTTAATCCCATTGTTAATACTAAGTTTAGACTATTTATTTATAATATGTAATATATTTTGTTATGTATACTATTTTTTAACAATAAAATATTTTGAAATTGAAAAAAAAAGTTATAACCCAAACTTCTTCACCTTGGGTAGAATATTCATATTCTACATTCTTCTTTAAATCTTTAAAGGAATCAATTTTCTTTCCCATTGCAATATTTTTTAACATTAAATGCAATACTAGAAAAAAATAAAGAACAACAAATGTTACATTAGTATTAAGATCTATTGCATTGATCCTTTCAGAAAGCACACAAAGGTGTACAGACTGCAGAGACGCTGACCTGGAAGCAGTGATCGGGTACACATTAAAACATGTGCCCGACAGGAGAAGTAGAGGAGGAGGAAGACACCAGTAAATAATGTTATCAACATTTATTTACATGAATCTCTGTACCAGCAATCAATATTTAATATTGCAAACCTATTTTCAGGCATAAAGTTTCATGGAAAACTTCCTCTTTTATTATCTCCTCTTATTTGTATTTAATAATTTGAAGTCCTTCTTGTAACATATTGTGACATTCATGTATTGGGAAAAACATTGTCAACTTTTCATGGGAAATATGTTATTCAAATCTTAATTTTAAGAAGGGTTAATGGTATTATAATAAAATATACATTAATTTTGTTAGGGGCTCACTCTAAAAGTGAATAAATATGAACATTTTATGTTTCAAACATTTTGTAATTTGTGCATTTGGAATGTTTCATGGTTGCTTTTTGTGTATGTATTTATAAATTAGGTTTTCAATATTTTATTACAATAATTTCTTTAACCAGTTTTTTTTTTCCCAATTCTTGTTTATTGTAAAATCTTGAAAAGAAAATGATTATTTTGTTTCTATTGTGCATGTGTTAAAATAATGATTTTGATAGAAAACTTACACACGAGAGTTCATTTATACAGAAGCTTGTTTTTGTTGTCTTTAAGACTAGTTTTGTTATATTTAAACAATGAAGATCATGTCATGAATAATTTCTTTTGTCGCTCTTGTCATTTTTGTAAATTTGTTGATTATTGTCATGATACATATATAATTTTTTGTGCAATTATGCTATAAATAAAATTTGTAAGAGGAACTATATTTTGATTTATTTTATTAATATTACTTTTTAATTCTTCAAAGCATCCGCAACGTAACACATCTGAAGTCAGATTCGGACCAATTCTGACTCATAAATGACGAAAATCTGACGTAAAATACTGACATAATATAGATGTCAGACATTATTTTACGTCAGGATTAAGTCCAAATCTGACGTATAATACTGACATAATATAGATGTCAGACATTTACATCAATATTACTTTATTTCTGACATTATTTGACGTAATCCTATAGGATAAGTCCAAATCCGACGTAAAATTTGACATTTACGTCAATATTACTTTCTGACCATTATTTGACGTAATCCTGACGTCAGGATTAAGTCCAAATCTGACGTAAAATACTGACATAATATAGATGTCAGACATTTACATCAATATTACTTTCATTTCTGACCATTATTTGACGTAATCCTGACGTCAGGATTAAGTCCAAATCCGACGTAAATTTGACGTAAAATACTGACATAATATAGATGTCAGACATTTACGTCAATATTACTTTCATTTCTGACCATTATTTGACGTAATCCTGACGTCAGGATTAAGTCCAAATCCGACGTAAATTTGATGTAAAATGCCTGCTGGGAATCTATTGTGAAAGATGTTTTATATATATAGAAAACTGAAAAAAAAAACAATAAACATTTTCTGTTTAGATTTTGAAAAGAAAGTGATCAATTCATTTTAGATCTGGTGTGAAGCAAGCAATAACAGGGTCAGTGGTATTGCCCTAAATGGGGATAAACTATTCACAGAATCGGGCAACAATTTACAGGATCGAGGAAGAAAAGAATCATTTTCATGGTGTTTATATGATTCTTCTACTTGAAATGGTCAAACATGAAACATCACAAATTATTTTTACAACAAATTGAAATAAGAACAAAGAAAAACATTTCTTCCACATGTATTTTGGTAGGTGACTGAATATTATAAAGTATTCTGTTTGAAGCAAACTTTCGAATGTCAGTCATACTGGATTGCAGCCCTTTGATTAAAGCGAAAGTAGATGTCCTATATGTAAAAAGACTGCCTTATACCATTATTGCAATTAAGCTTACCCTTCATTCTAACAAACATAAATTTATAATGTTTGTTTCAAAAACGAAGGGCTATAACTCCTTCATGATTTGCTGAATCAAACTGCTGTGCAGAAAAAACATCACTTCATACCATGGCGATTTAAGCCTACTAAATTTGAAAGAAATTGACTGGAAACTGAGGTAAATGATCTTTGGTCAACATTATGAAAACAAGGTGAAGTAAATCTACCAAATAAAAAATAACAAAACATGGGCAGTAACCTTTCAAAATAAAGTCAAATTACACTGCTGTTAAGAAAAACACAACTTCATGTTAAGGTAATTAAGCCTATCAATTTTTGAAAGAAATCAGTTCAGAACTGAGAGAGGAGATCTTTTTGCCTTTTTGTTAGTCAGAAGAAGTTGTTTAAAAAGGTTTCAACAAATTTGACCTATGACTTTGAATAAGGGTCAATATTGTTTCTCTTTGAGAACTTTGTTAGGCTTCATTCAAGCCACCAACCATCCAAATACCATGGCATTCGGTCAGCTGGTTATTGAAAAGAAGTTGCTTACATGGAAAAGCCGAAGCCAGACACATGGACCACATATGACCAATGCTTTGCCTTTGGCCAAGGCAAGCTAAAACTGGTAAGATATAAGTGTGCTGTGATTTACCTGCTTCTCTTCTACAGCAGAACAGAGGAATGACTAAATATTTATCAACAGTTCAATGTTTCATGAATCTGCTTGACGAAATGACAAATCCATGTCCCATGTAAGGAAAACCCAATGGACCGACAGATGCTTGCATGGACAACCCAGTGTTTCTTCTTAATTTCCCTAAACATTACAGAAGCCTGTGCCTGTATGAATTGGGAAAATATATGTTTTCTTTGAAATTTAGAAGATATTCTTCAAGTTTTCTCCATTTTCTGCTGTGAAAAAACCCCACTGCAACACATGTCCAGTGAGCTGGTCAGTGCATTATGACTACTAACTAGGAAAGTGTATACCTGTTGGCTCTCATTGGATTGGCAGGATAGCTGATCCCGTTCGCTCTTCTCTTCAATAGTAGACAAAGCGGCTGCTGATACAGTAGAAAAATGGACCGATTTCACCCCCTCCAGGGATTTTCTCCCTAAAATAAGATGATTGCAATGGAATACAGTTAGTTTGACCTTTATGTGTTCTCTGTATGATACAACATACAGTACAAAATATCTATGATTAATTTTTGACCACTATGTCATACAACCTACAATATGACATGTATTCTACTTCAACTGACACTAAATAATGTCAATATAAATTATCTTAAAATCTTCAATATAACAATAAACTGTTTTAGAGAATTCTGTTTTTTTCCATATTAATTTCAAACAAACTGGTTTTGTTATAAAAATATATATGAATTTTATTCACAGTCATATATATTGATATCCTTGGCCAGGACTACACAAATAGTTTTTAAAAAATTCTGATTTTTAATCACTGATTCCTTATTAAGATACATATATCCTGAGTGCCAATTTTCTCAGAGTTTGATACATATACTGGGTGGCTATCACACACACTACATTTCATTCATCAATACTTTTATACATCACCTTAGGTGGTCTTTTGTTTGTGCCTTCGACTTGACTTGTCTATTAGCTGAAGGAATTACCTAGACACTTTATATTATCGTTCCTGAGTGTTGCTTGTAAGTTTATCTTTTTAATGTTTTATGTATGTGATGAAACTTGTGCATCATTTTGTGTCTTGATAAAGATAGATTTCTCCTAAGATTCTGATATACAATTTACCATCTTTATTACTTTACTCATCATATATATATATAAACAGGTAGAGATATTGGACCCCATTCAACAATTTTAGATTTTTTGCAAAAAGGCATTCTCCAATAACATACTAGATCTATTATATATATTTGCAGATCTATATAAACCAAGTTACATTTTTTAATATATTAACCATGAAATATGACTGGATAATTTCAGTAGATGTGAAGAAACTAAATCACAGTAAATTAGTGTCTACTTGTTTAAAACAAATTATGTAATTTGTGTTTGAGTGCTGACATTTTTGTAGACGTTTATGAGTGTCAGTGTGTCAGATCAAAGACCGCTCAGTGCAATCAAACCGTGACCACAAAATTCGGCGGGAAATTTAGATATGTTTCATTCCCCAAATAGCTAGACAACCAAATTGTCGTAATTTACCTTTTAGAATTGACATAGCAATTCCTACATCGCAGATTCCATTGTAAAATAAATTGGCAGGGAACAGAATTCAGATGAGAATGCAGTTTCCCATCGTTCGGTTTCTGAGTTGTCAACAAAACATACCATACACGTGGTTAAACAATGGGCATGAAATATAGTCACCTTTGACCTCTAAGGTAGAGTCGATTTCGGTATTGGGGTGTAGGGAGTATGAATATTTCCAGTTTTATATACATGTACTCTTTACTTTTATCTTTGCACCAGAAATGCTGACATTACCAACATATATCAGTCAGCACTTAAAATATATATGAAATCAACTAAACTATAATGTTTACAAAAAGTTTATATTTTTCAAACCTATCATAATAGACCAGTCCGTCCATTTTAGGAAATAAAACGGGATCGGTCGCGGAACAATGACGTCACAGTACTTGGCACAGATTCAGCTTCTTTGTCGCGCATTGATATGAGGTAAAATAGACATTTTAAATTTGAAAGAAAAAGATGTACTAAGGTATGGTTTTAGACTTTATAACTGTATGTCCTGGTGTGTTTTAGGTGTAATTACCATTAAAAACGCTTGATTATTCCACGTTTGCTATTTGCTTCCGGGTACTATATGATGTGCGGATATTTCACTGTATCGGTATAATCGCTTTGTTGTGCGGCTGCTTATGGTCGGCTTAGTGAGACCGTACACAATTATCGCGACTCAGGCCCATTAATTCTGGCTAGTATACACAAAGCGCTGCATTTGTATGGTCCAGACCGACTTGTACTACAAGGTAGGCTTACGTGACATCTTCATCCATCGCCCATTTCAGTATAATAGGTAAGTACGGAGTTCATGCACACGTTTTCTTGTAACACATGAAGGGTTGAATAGATCCTGTCTGGTGAAAGCGAGACAAGGCAACGATCTATACTTCACTTTCCATAAACGAAAGTAGGAAAACACCGAAACTCGTGCTTCCACGTGCGTTTATTTATTTACAATATATATAGAAGTCCAGTCTCGTATTCATTTTGATTTCTAATTAGCCTTTGTTAATGTATTGACTCACAAATTTACAGTGAGGTTATTTTATTGATTTATGTAAATTAATAGATACAGACAACACGGATGTTACATTGCCTATTTGCTGTTTGAATTATGTTAATCCCTCAGATCATTTCTAAGTTTCACCATCGGTTAACAGTTCCACCTTTACAACCTTACATCTTGGATAAATCATTTCATATTCCTTTATGGATGGTGCTTTTGAAATATTGTGCCCTTTCTTGAATCGTATTGATTTTTGCATGCCCCTATTTCAGCTGATTCTGTCAGTGCTGTCCAGCAATGTAAGGCCATCTGCCATGAAGATTGTTTTAATTGTGCATTTTTTTTATTCACAGTAGTTTTCTGTGTTTTCAAGATCAGTTTAACATTTAACAAGAAATATTAATTTCCGGGCCCATTGTCATTGAGCTCCCATCGAATGTCAGTAGGTGTTTGGTGGAGTTCCACTTGCATTGAACCAAACATTGATCTGTTACTTTGTGTTGATCAACTTCTCAGTCCCTTAACTGCTTTTCAGTCACAAATGGCTGCTAAAGAAAAGAATGGGATATTCATTCTGAAGTGTTTAATGTCTACTTTCACAGCAAAGCCAGTATTTATTCCGACATGTATTGTCTTTATACCTGTCAAGTGATTTTCTTCACTCATGTATCTGAATCCTGGGATCATGCTTTTCTTATGGGACTCCCTCAAATTTTAAGTACCCCTGATGTCTCTTTGTAACTTGACTCGTATTGTTAATGGTGCTAAGGACTCATCACGAAAAGTGTGTATATAATGAGACATAGCTCTGTCCAGTTGATGCAATATCATGATCTGGCTAGTTTTCCTTGGCCAGGTATACACCCTACGTTAGGCACTTTGTGTCAGTCATGCATCAAATATCAAACAAGAAAGTTACAAGTACAATGGCAAACTGACAGTGGATTGAAGTTACAAAATCTTTCAATATAAGTACTCAATGTGATACTAGTTGCCTTGTAAAGTACAGTCAGTATATATTCAGCATTAATACCAACAGTCTTTTACATCTTGTCAGGTATGTACATAACTTAGAGTATATCAGAAGAACATTCATGCTGACACTGCCCTAATATCCTCGGACACCCCCCTTGTACTTCTAGGTAACTTGGACGCTATCCCAATACCCTCGTACATTCTCCTTCTACTTCTAGATAATTCAGACACTATCCCAATATCTTCAGACATTCTCCTTCTACTTCTAGATAATGCAGACACTATCCCAATATCCTCAGACATTCTCCTTCTACTTCTAGATAATGCAGACACTATCCCAATATCCTCGGACATTCTCCTTCTACTTCTAGATAATGCAGACACTATCCCAATATCCTCGGACATTCTCTTTCTACTTCTAGATAACTCGGATGCTATCCCAATATCCTCAGACATCCTCCTACTAAATAACTTGGAACACTATCCCAATACCCATGGACATCCCATGCTACTTCTAGATCATGCAGACACTATCCCAATATCTATGGACATCCTCCTTCTATATTGGACATTATCTTGTTGCAATCACATTAATTTTCCATCTTTGTTTACCTGACATGATATACTGAAAAAATCTGTAAATTTATTACCACTTGGTCAAATCTTGCTTCACAGTTGTTATTTGTCTGATTTAATTTAACATCACACATAAAAAAGCTAAGATAAGAACTTGTTTCATTGTATTCACTTACTTGAATTTTTTTTTCATTTTTTTTATGAAACTTTATTGGGCAAGTCAGATTAACACTAGGACAGGTACAGTTGGTCATGTGCCCAATTGGGCAAGTACTGTATTTCTGGCTGATTGGCTGTACTAGGGTTTTCATGGGTATAAAATTTCCTTCCAAGATACCTACTAGTGAAATCTTTGAAATCCCTTCACTCTGTCTTGACTATAGAAAAAATAGTAATTGTTTAGTTTTCTAGTAATCTGGGTTGCACTTACACTCCAGTCTTGACTGCCAAGTACTGCACTGATCACATTTTAAAAGTACTATTCAATATTCCTGCAATGTAAAGTCGATAACATTGTTACATTATTTCAGAGTCAAATGTCTGTCATCGTTACATAGTTACTTCATGTTTGGATACTACAAATAGTATGGCCCTCTATCTATCCTGTGAAAATAATTTCTGACTTGGAGATCATTTTTCAAAACATTCATACTGATTGGAGATTGTCTCTCAGTTTACAGCCAGTCCCTCTGAATTACTGATGTTATTTTCATTACTATAATGATGGTGTCTTTTCTCTCAGTTTATGACCTCAATATTAGATCTGTCATGTAGTTTTGTTTTGATTAGTCTTGGAAGAGTTATGACCCTTTAGTTTCCATCTTGTTCACAACAATAGTCATTCATGACTGGTCATTTCATTGTCAGAATTTCCTACCCAATTGTATAGTGAAGGTGAATTTATGGTTATGAAGTGAGATTGCACCAAGGCTGCAAGTTACAAAGAAAATATAAACGTTTGTGATTTATTCAGCCAGTCATGAGCAAAATAACCTGACAAGAGCAAGATTCCTTCAACATGAAATTGTACTTTAAAATCTGGATGGTAATTATAATGATGATAATGACAAACCAAAGTAACTAACAAGTAAGATAACCCACCAGATAAACAGGTGTTCTGATATGCATATTTTGTGATTGGTCAATGGCAACTTCCTGTCAATTGTCACAATATATAATACTAGTGTATATAACCTCAGGTCAGCAAAAATTGCCTGTTTACTTCCCTATATTTCAAATATCAAAATGATTTTAATAGATCACTAAATCAGTAAGATCAATTCCTGTGATATGTGTAGATAAAATTGGGTAAAAAGCTGACATAACAGAATGCAACTGTGAAAAAGCATCTGTTTTGAAGAGAGTACTAGCAGAACACTTAACAGGCCTAGAAAGTAACATATGATGAAAATACTGAAAAACAACCGTATTTCACTTGAGTTATATGCACAAATACTTCTGGAAGTATCAAACAGGTTCTAAATATTTCTTGTCTGTCTTAAAGCTACCTAGTACCTGTATTCTCAGTTGACATATAAATTTTATATATGAAAAAAATTTCCAAAAATCAGAAATTCTCTCAGATTTAATTGCTTATAACAGATTTGCAATACAAAATTATTGTCTTGAAGTAAAGACTATTCAAAATCCTGATTTAGTATGTAGTAGACCAATCTATCGGCTTTGTGACTCTCCCTCTTCAGGAACAAATATTCAGTGAAAACCAATATTTGAAATATGAGGTTTTACATCATGATCTGAATTTAAGAATTTAAGACAGAAAATTACAGTCCCATATATATTATATGAGGGAGATGGGTCTGGTGAAGTCGTAGTTAAGGAGACATTTTTCTGACACCATGCATGAAATACAGAGAAAAACAATTTCATTCAATGTCTTCACAGACTTTTAATTATCAGGATACAGTGCCTGCAAAATCATATTTTCTTCTGTTCTCTTCCTCGTACCTGTATAATGGCATTTTATGTCATTTCTTGGCGGTCACTGCTTTGATGTCCTAGCACCTACAGAGATAAATTTGTGCCCACAAGGATTGTCTATTAAAAACTGCCACAGATTTTATTCAATATTCTGGAGAGATTAAATTGGGTGGAGGAGTGATATATACTTGCGACTATCATATTTTGATATCACTATTGGAAATGAGTGTCCCCAGAATGTCTTTGTGAAACTGGTGTCCCCACAGTAACGAGACAGAAAAAGAGAGAGAGAGGGAAAAAGCAGAATGTAGTCTCATATATAATATATGAGAGAGAAAGGAGAGCTTATGATTTGAAAGAACAATCAATAATAGAACAGGTATTTGTTATCTAATTTACAAAGCCTGTTAGAATGCTTTGTCAATTGAAGAATTAACCATTCTGTTACAGTGAAAACTTACACATTTTATCATGTATGTATATGATTCAATCTTACTTTGATTAAGCTTGGCACACAAAATGTACCCATATGTACTCTCTGTGAAAATGGAAAGAATGATGAGAAGTTTTAGTGATGCCTCTTCGAAAATTCGATGGAGAAATGGTGTGGATTGTGTTACCATGGAAACTATTTAAGGCCAAGTTTAGTGTTGTTGTTGGATGGTAGTATAGATGTCTGAGAGAAGGGACCCAGGACTAACTTCTGAAAAATCAATAATTCTTCATCTATTTGTCGCACAGCATTCTGCTTTTTCACTCTAGCAGATCAATATGATGCCACAGCCTTTCTGGTCCTTTCGCTGTGCATGCAGTGAGGTTACCTCATGTACAGATATCTATACTTAATGAAAGTCATTTGGGGAATAAATTTTTATCACTTGCTAAGAAATGTTTGAGATTTGCATTTTTGATTGAATTTTCAAGGTTTTTTATTTTGATATCAGTAAAGCAATACACATAAGATCTGAATTTCAAGATTGTGGAACAAAGATCTAGAATAATTGATATATGTGACCAGACTTGTCTGAATTTGTAATCTGACCTCATTTCTATTTAGGCGTGGATCAGAAAGAGGTTGGATAATTATAATAATGAGTCTATTGTCTATGTTTTCCCAACCTTCACCATCACAAAAAAAAAAAAGCATAAAAAGTGAAAGTTAATCATATATATGTCAATATTAAAGTTTTATTGTAAAATTTATTTGAAAATGTTATTAATGTTTAAAATATTAATAGGACTTTTTTTTATTTAATCTAGTAATGTATAGTATCAAAAGCATGATCCTACCTCCATCATAACGGTACATAATTGTCACCCGCATTGGTGCTTGCAATTTGGAGTGTGCTTGCAACCACACGAATATTTCAAGAGAACATGACTGTATATTCCCATGAACATTTAAGAGAATGTATGATACAGCCAGTTTATAAACACAATGAATGTAAATTTGGTTGTAGCTGTAAGATGCAGGTAGGATTACATACAGCAAACTTGTAGTGATATTTTACTGCTTGGTAATTTAATAGATAATAAATTGATTGTTTAAGTTCCATGGATAATATATTGATAATTTAAGTTCCATGGACTGTCCGTGGATAATAAATTGATTGTTTAAGTTCCATGGACTGTCCAAGGATATTAAATTGATAATTTAAGTTCAATGGACTGTCCATGGATAATAAATTGATTATTTAAGTTCAATGGACTGTCCGTGGATAATAAATTGATTGTTTAAGTTCCATGGACTGTCCAAGGATATTAAATTGATAATTTAAGTTCAATGGACTGTCCATGGATAATAAATTGATTATTTAAGTTCAATGACCTTGCCTCCATGCAGAGATTATTTAATGTTTGCACTTCCATCAGTGCAAGAACATGTCGGTTCAGGTCAAGGACATAATATAAAATCATATTTTCGAAGGGCTCCTGTTTCACTGTTTGTCAGTTATATCATGGACACTTGATTTCATTAAATATTGCATTATAAATCTGCTTATACTAATTATTAACAACCGCCTCCCAAACCAATGAAAAAAAAAAACAAATTATTTCACCGTATTGTCTTTGTCATTTAAATTTGACCAAGTGCTACCAATATCAGGCTACATACAGTGAATTCTGTAGGACTTTTTCAGATAAGTCCAGAAGCCCATTTCCAAAAAGTTTACAAGTCTAAATACTAAGGGATAAGTGAATTCTCAAAAGTTGAAGGAATCCCACAGGAAAAGCATGATTTCATGACTCAAATATTTGAGTCCCAAAATTACTGTGCATGTATATATATATGTGGTGTCACTGGGTTACACTTTGACCTTGGCAGGTAGTTTTGACCTTGATGATCAATTCATCATTGATGGAAATAGCTTGTGTGATCCCTATTTCATTTGACCTTGTGCTACATAATGTCAGGTCACCTTGCACATTCGGTGGATGCAATTGTCTTGTGTAATCAAAAGTAAAATAAGGAAGCTGTGACCTTGACATTGATTCAATTTGTTTGAGCCTCAGTGTGAACATACAATTTAAAATTTTTCAAAACTTTATGTGCTTATTAAAACTTTAAAATATTTTCTCAGTGGTAGATATGGTGGTTGTGGGAGGGATTATATATAAACTATAGCAGTCTGTACTTTGTGATGGAACAAATATTTTGTTTATTTTAGACGTGGACCTTATTCAGGACATACTTATACCATTAAAACATTGTATATCAGGTAGCAAGTTAAAACATAGTGAAAATAATTAGAGAGAACCAGACCTGAATTTCAGGAATTAAAAATAAATACTGAAAAAAGGGGAAAACGTATTAAAATGCTCTATTGTATGTAGTTAATTATATATACCATTGGTATTTCTATTAATATCAGTGTTTTGACAATAAACTGCTTGAAATTGGCACTCATTGATATATAACTAATCTTGAAAGTGATTTTACCGATCATTTTGTAATTTTCAGTATGATGTCCATGTTTGAGGAAGGCTGAAGTACACAGTGGTTTTTCTAAGTCAGCAGGATGTCAAAGCGCAAGTTTACAGAGCTCCAGAATGAAAATGGGGGTAGTCCCACCCACTCCGACTTTGATGAGAGTAGCAACTGTAGCTCGGTCATGACCAACAGCAGTTCCGATGTACCCACAGGTAGAGTATAGATCTGAAAGTCCAGCTATTGTGACTGATCCTTGTTAGGTCGTAATTCAGGGTTCAAAGTTCAAGGTGAGAGTAGCAACTGTAGTTCTGTCATGACCAACAGCAGTTCTGATGTACTCACAGGTAAAGATCTGAAAGTCCAGCTATTTTGACTGATCCTTGTTAGGTCATAATTCAGGGTTCAAAGTTCAAGGTCAGATCTACTCTTGATATAATTTTGACATTTCTAACTTATATTGAACAACATCTGACTATTTTGCCAGATATTTATGAAATCATATTTTAGAAATTTTAGATCTCACGCAGTGTTAAGAAATGGTGGTTATACAATATTCTAGTATTGATTTCAATGTTTTTTGAATGGAAAATATTTTTGAAACAGACTAGCAGTAATTTCTTAGAATTAAGACTGTCATAATCTCCAGCTGATTTTAGGTTTGATTTGATGTTGTTATTGTCCTATCAACATTCAGGATGGATGATCTTTCAATCATTTTTTTCAATTTCAATTACTACAATTTATGAGAATGAAACCATTGTCAACAACTATTGATCTATAGAGCAAGTATATATGCAAGATCATTTTAATTAATCTACTTGAATTTTAAAAAAAAATGGGTTATTGTTTAAAAATCCCTACCACATTCTGCTAAAAATATGGTTCCTAATATCATATTGTTTCATTGTTTACTTGAACACGACTATTCATTGTGAGATATATATTATTTTCTATAAATACATCTGTGATGTCTGAATTGTTGAATTATTAAAGACTGATCTTGTTGTTAAAATATTACTCATAGACATTATTGTAACACACAGCTAGAGCACGAGGCACAAGAAATCAATATGGCATATTAAATCAGAGGAATCATGCCTGGTACGCTGATTTGTCTTTACTTCCAGAACCGATTTGTATCAGGGAACTTTTGTGAGAAGTATCCTTTGATGAAATATAGATACTCCATGCTTCGAACATGGATTTCATATGTAGATCCAGTTGCCTGATTTCTATTGATGTTAAGTGTTTTAGGTGAAGTGTTCAGAACACAAAGTTCAAAATCTGGGTATGTCTCTAAATAAGAGAGTTTTCAAAATGTTGGCAAGCCATGAGTTCCAGACACAATTAAGAATTCTACATAATACTAGCAAGATTAAAGAAGCTAAATTTTATTTTATTTTAATGATGGTTTTAACTCTAATAGATTATATCTGATTTTTGTGGCCACAAGAGTCGTCCAGAAACAAAAATCACATGTGAATTTAATATAGCAGTTAAAATATGATGATTACAGTACACAGAAATATACAAAAGATGTCAATAAGGCAATTCTGCATTAATTTACGATGTTATGTCCACCATTTGGTTGATTTAAAGCATAAATCCTGTCTGTTTTGTAGACATATATACAGGCTGGTAACAAATTATCACAGGAGTGTGTGCTTAAGGTTGTAAGCATTGTTAAGTGGGAACAATCTGTCACACTAACATATACCCCTGACACCATATTCAAATGGTTTAAACCGCAACATGTCATAATATTATAGTAGCCATGAATGGTAAGTAAGTTCACAACTTGAAAACGGGTGTACAACTGGCCATAAAACACTCGTTTGATTTGGAGAGGTTTGGGGGGGGGGGGGATGTCCTATTCACTTTCAAGTTCTGTTTTATGATTTACTGGTCTAACATAAATTACAGTCACAAACATACTGTATGGAATGGCAAGAGTGTTACTCAGTACAACATTACATTATATATTGTTAGATCTGGACTGAGAATTTGACACCCAAAAGGGAGTTTTGACTCATGTGTTTGAAAAGAAATGTCTATTTCACACATACTTTAACCCTTCAGATTTGTAGTTAGATTCTGATATTACAAAATGTGGAGGGTTAATTGAATGCCCAAGGCAAGCACCTTGTAGCCTGAGTTGTTCTGCTAGTTCCAGATACTATAGGACCATAAGTCACAAAGATGTTCAATGGTCTCCTGTGGAAGATTTTAATTTGTATCTTGAAAAAAAATCCTGCAGCAAATACACATTGGAGAAATGGCACTGTGTCAGTTTTAAAAACTGAACAATTGATGAGTTGAGTGGTGCGATACTGTGTCACAGTTTTAAAAAATGAACAAACTAATGGGTTGAATGGAGAGGACAGTACAGACATGTACACTGAGGTAGTGATTATCATCTTTGCTCTTAATTAAGACACAGTATTGAAGAAATAAGGATGATGCTCTAGGAATACCATTCTTGTTCCAAGTTCATTCTGAGAGGATCCAGTTAAATACTTAAAGTTCAATGATATCTTTTGGACTTTTATAAAGTATTAAATATATCATATATGTAAATATATATTAGCTTTAACTTCCAACTTTAGCTGCCTTCTATTTTCTCCTTTTTGTCCAAAGGATGAAATAAGCCTGCGACTAAAGGTTTTCTGTATACAGCAATTAGTCTGTTTCATCTGACAAAACTCCCCAAAATAACTGATTTACCTTGGTATACCTTTGGCCCAGTGCTGGTCAAATTAACTGCTCTCTGTCCTCCAAACGTCATCAGTCTTTAAAGGAGTCCTGATATCGCTACTTCTTGATCATGAGGAGTACTGAATAGATCTTCACAAATGTCATATTAAGGTCTCCCATGGTCCCAGTTGCTAGTTCTACCTTTTGTATATTGGAAGTGATCAGAAAAACAAACTGATTGGCAGTTGGCCATCTTGGATTTTACAATGAAAGTTTGTTAATGTAGCTTCTTCATGTTTTTGAGGAGAACTTGACAGATATTTTCCAAACTTCATACATATGTAGGTTCTCCATAGTCCATAGTTATACCCTTTTGGCTTTTGGACCAACAGATAAAAACTGGCTGACAAATGGCAATATTGGATTTTGACAATGGGAGAATGTGAATGCTATTTCTTGCAAAGAACTAGGGATGTTGGTTTTCTTTGGTCCGTAGCTGTCTTTTGGTTTTTGGACAAGCCATGAAACTGCAGACAAATGTCAACCTTGAATTTTGATAATGCAAATTTGTTATCATTATTTCAAAGGAAGTACTTGGATGGATCTTTCTCAAATTTCATATGTATGTTCCCTTTGGTCCCTAGTTTCTGAGATGGATACAGGTCGACATCTCACATCAATAGATCACTAATGGTCATCAGTGAGATGATACCTGGACATTGGAGAAGTCATGGAGATGGAAAACCTATTAATCAGTCAATCGATTGGTTCTAAAAAAGTTGCTGCCATCTTGGATTTTGACTTTTCTTGAGGGTTAGATGGATCTTTATTAAATGTCAGGGTGCTCTTCTAGGGTGTTAGTTGTGCTATTTAGGGTTTAGAAATTATCAGTAAAAGCAAAATTGTCGATAGGCTTTCGTGGATTTTCACAATGAAAATATGTTTTTTTCTAGATTTCATAATGCCTTCACTCCCTAGTTGGTGCCTTTTTAATTTTGAAACTGATTAGAAAATTGGCCAGAGGGCAACCATCTTTGATTCGACAGTTAAAGATTATAATCATCGCTTTTTCTTAAAGGAATTTTCAGATTTCAAATTAAGAGCATAAAGAAAGGAAAGGAAAGAATAGCTCCACCTTTTAAAGAACAAATAAATATTTAAAAAAAATGGTGGTGCTGAGATCCTTCTGGGATCTCTTGTTGTGAGCTCACTCAAATTTCTAGACCTTTCTGTATGTCAGGAGGGTGAACAACTTAAGTCTAAGATATTGGCAGAAAAAAAAACCCAGTATAATGAAAGTGTACAAACTGATTTCCAAGTGTTATTAGAAGGTATGTATGATCACTAGACAGTAGAATTTGTCACTGTTACTGATTATTGCACAGATTCTGCAGCACAAACTGGCTCATGTACATTGGCTGTCTATCCAAGCCGACCTTAAAATCAATACACCCCAATGGAGAACTGGTAATAACGGGCCTCAGGATTAACATACAGCGGCCTTGTACACAGTAGGTTAGCAGCTCTACCTACCATAGCGTTCACCAAACACTCCTGGTATTTGCATACATCAAGCATATTGCATCTCCTTGTAAAAAAAGGAGTGTCAAGCTCTGGCAACTGAAGATGGCTGATTATCAATCCTATTTTTCAGATCATGTATATAATGGTGGTTATTGTTAATTTTGTGTTCAGGACTAGGAGTGTCAATTATTGAAATCATTAAGGTCGTCTTGATTTTATTCAGATCAGTTTTTGAAATCAATATTCAAGACAATTTCAGCAGGTTTATTTTATCTGTTACCATGGATAATTATAAATGGTATTTAGCTATTCTTGTATGTTAAAAAGTCTTTAGGCTAAACTGATAAGTGCAGGCAATGATGAATTTTAATTTGTTTCATTAGAGTTCATTTTAGATAATCCAAAGATTTTATTTTTGTTTTTTGGCTTTTTGAAATTATTTCATTGTTCATATTTTTTCATATGACATTAATATTTTCATCTTTATTTTTTCAAAAATCTTTATCCCATTGATACGCAAATCATATAAAGTGCAGGTCCAGGAGTATGGTTTTTTGTGTCTGTCTGTCTGTCACTCTCTTTGTCAAGCTAAAAGCACGATCTGCCAAAGGTCAATGTAACTGTTATTTAAAAAAAGGTATTTCTTGTCTTAAGGACTTGTTCACTGAAAAAAAATTGAGACATTCTAGCTTCTGTAATTAGAGATAAATGAAATTAAACCTTGCACAAGTTGTCAGGGTTATTGGTCTCTTGATCAGAAGTCAAGGTCACTAATTCAGCAAAAAATTCACCACATCATTCTTTTTGCCGTTCTCTTTCTGTCTCTGCAACTCTTGCAGACAAACATCGGTGTTCTGGCAACTTTGTCTCGTATCTGACAGTCCTATTCACCGACATAACAAACTTTACAGCAATATTTCCATCCATAATTGGTTATACCTTTAGCAAGTTTGACTAGTTTATGGTCGCCATGGATACCTCTACTTCTCAAAATAGAATTTCACATGAGATCAATCTTGTAACCCCTTTTTTCATTAAGAATGACACATTTGATATTTTGTTTGTTTGGGAGAACAGTGCTATTATCAGATAGTGTTGATGCAGTGTAGAATTGTTGTTCCAAATGAAGTCAGGTGTAGGTCAATGGGTATTGGTTAGTTATCAAGGCACCTTTTCTCTACTTTGTATGTAAAGTTTTCATTGAAAAAAGCAAGATGTGCAATGTATGTTTACCATTAAGATTAAGATTAAAACTGCATATTTCCAAAAGTCAGAATAAACCTATGGAATTTGCTACCGTTATCAACCTCAATTGTTACTAATACATATATGAATGAAGCCAAAGGTTTATTGATAAGGATTCAAAATATTATCTAGATCTTTTCTCTCTTTAAAGATAGAACATCATCACACTTCACTTTGGAGATTAAACTAGACCTGCTTATTATAAAAAGAATAAATGCAAAATGTGCAAAATGGGAAATAAAATGGACTTGCTTTTCTAATCATTGCTAGTATTCTTTTTGTACAGTAGACCCATTTGTGTTTGCATCAGCTGAAACTTAACATATGAATGCTAGGTCAACATAGCCATGGACTGCACATTAGAGTTTCTTTCATGATAAATGATTATTTAGATTCTATATTACAGAGGTTTAAAAATTTGAATTTGAAAAATGAATGCTGAACTGTAAGAACACATAGTTGTCATTATGTTTAAGCTGTAAATAGTTATAAAATTTGATCTTTCTTTCCCCTGATTTGAGGGCGCAACAAGCATCAAAGTAAATCCCACGGTACAATAACCTCAGATAATAAATAGACCAATCAGTGGCCTCTTATGTTACAGGAGTGTTCTGACGGATAAATATGAATTAGTGGCATACTATATATAGTCTTATTTTGACATAGTCCTTTATTGCCTTAACAAAATCAGAAAATAACATATATATTTACAAAGAAAACAAGTATCATTGATCTGTATTATTGCCCACCTTTTTCACTTGTGGGACTAAAACCCTTTACTATAAAGTTATATCAGAAATTCTTTTATTGATCAAAGCCATCGTAGTTAGACAATGTAAGGACACTGACCGCATCAGTACTCCCAGGAGTATGTCATCTATTGATTTGTATGTGACACATCAGGAAAATTGCATACAGTTCATTAGCTTAGTGTAACCATTTTACAAGGATATCTCCACATGTTTCCTTTGTCAGATGATTTCACACTTGTATAAAACCTGATTATCAGAGTTTGGTGGCCTGGAATAGTCTCCTAGTTCATGATATAGATTATAATGCTGTGGCCTATGAGGTTCTGTGTAGATATTTGCTAATTTCGGTATCATATTTCATGATGCAGTAAACCTATCCCATGAACAAGCCCACCCATAAATCTCCGATAGTCATTACTTTTTAAAATATTGGACATTACAAGTGATTTTTAATGTTTATTTAGTGGAAATAACATCATTTGACACATCATTAAAGGTTTTCAAAAGTAATGACCTTTGTTAATGTTTTTGAATGACAAGTAATGATTTATTTGACAGTGGCTCGGCATATCTATTGCTGATGTGTCAAATTACAATTAAATCCCATATTGAAGAGAAGCTTTTCAAACCGACCATACTTCAGACATGAATATCTGGCTGGTTTATAGCTATATAGGGAATGTCTGCAAAATAAAAGTAAGTTGAACAGTTGACATCCAAAGTTGATGCGATGCTGAACATTATGTTCATTTATATTATCTTGTTTAATATATTTGATTTGATTCTGTTTCAGGAATTGTCAGCAAACAGAAGAAGCCAAAAAAGTCTGTGCAATTTCACGATGTCAAAGTATATTACTTTCCAAGATCTCAGGGCTTCGTTTGTGTCCCGAGTGAGGGAGGATCTACTCTGGGTATGTTTCCTGGTTGAGTAAGACTGCATGATTTCAACACATTTAGGCCATTCATATATCATTTTGCTTCCTACTTTTCCCTGATATCACAAGTTAAAGCAAATTAATTAGGCATTCTTGGTATTTTTTACCATTTGACTGCCATCTCAGGGATCTCCTCAATTATCAATATATCTCACACAATCCGATGCCATTAACATTTCTAATTGAAAGCCTTTTCTTCTATTACATAAACATACACAGGGGTGTTTTTCTGACAGAAAAATAGCATAGCCTCTTCCCTTATATCGGTCGACATCCTCTCAGCTTTTTATGTAACAAGTTTATAACCAAACTTTTTGCTTTCTGTTTTTGTTCTGTGTCCAGTTTAACATTTACTTTTTTGATTCCATCATACAAATTTTATGTAAGAGAATATCTTGAATTGGATGAACGGTTTACTTTCATAGTTAATATGATTAGGTATGGGATAGGTATTAAAGTAGCTAGGGCAGACACTTTGTACATTGTTCGTCAAAACAATTCCATGATTCTGTTTATACAGGTAAAAGAGAACAACACTGTTTGATAGTAGATAAATGTACAAAAATATTTTATGTTATAGGTATGGAGCTGAAGCACTCTCATGCTGAGGACTTCTCAGTGACTGAATATGCTAAAGAGCAGCGACGCTTACACCAGCGCATGCTGGAGGAGCATCGACAACAGGGTCGTCTAATGTCTGGCCTTACAGAAAAGTCAAAGTTGTGCGACAAATCTGATGATGACGAAGAAGATGAGGAGGACGACGAAGAAGAAGAGGAGGAAGATTCCGACTTTGAAGATTTAGAGGACTATATATTTCTTCAACCTATCTCTATTAGACAACGACGCACCCTACTGCGGCAAGCAGGGGTGAGAAAAATAGACATTCAGGAGAAGGATCGGTGCAAGGACATCCGTGTGTCGCGCGAGGTTTGTGGTTGTGATTGTAAGGTGTATTGTGATCCTGAGACATGTGCATGTAGTGTGGCAGGTATCAAGTGTCAGGTAGACCGTCTGTCCTTTCCTTGTGGCTGTAGCAAAGATGGCTGTGGCAACACCAATGGTCGTATAGAATTCAACCCCATCAGGGTTAGAACTCATTTTATTCATACACTTATGAGGCTTCAGCTTGAAAAACGTGAGGAGGATTCTTCATTATATCGGCTTCAAAGATCGACGGGGGCAAAGTCAACATCTGACTTAGAATCAGGTGGCGGATCAGATTCATCAGGTGACCAGGATCGAGTTGGCAGTCAGGATAAGCCTAAAACAGTAGATTTGTCTGAGTTTAACAGTAATGAACTAGGCAGTTGTCGTGACTGTCAGAATTCGGAGGTGTGCAATATGATGATGGCAGAAGTCCAGCATGCTAGCTTGGAGGCGGAGCAACAGCGCAATGTGCTCAACAATATGTACCCATACAAGGATCTGCCACAGGGGACTGTTACTAACCCTCTTCCTCATGTCCTTCTTTTCAACGATACAGAGGATGACCTCTACACCGCCCAGAATACAACACCCTTTTATAACTTCAAGCAGGAGGAAGCTTCCTATTCTGAAACCAGTGAGTGCTCTAGCGACACTAGCACCACCTATGAAAACAATCATTATCAGAAGTCTTACCAGACTCTGGCCACTCCTTCCTTTGAGGGCACATTAGGGGAGGAAGCCAACCAGGAGTTCTGTCACCGGTCAAATCCACCCAACAACTACATTCAGGGTACCCCAACAGAACACAAATACATGCCCCTTAACTCTGCCAGTCACATGTACCGTGTGGGGCAGGTGGCGCCCCCTGTTGACTCCCACCATAATTACTCAACCCCTCAACCTCAATGGGCCCCTGAGGGAGGCAAGCAAGCCCCTGCCCCCAGTACTTACACCTCAACAGAGACTTCACAGACCAGTGAATCAGGTCTGTCTTCATGCAGTTACACTACCATGACCAACACAACATCGGACCAAATCGCGGAGACATGTCCCAGCATTTCATCTCTCATTAACAATGTAAGTCAAAGCCTGGAGTATGTAGACCAAGGCATGAACTACAAACCAGTCCAGGAGGGCTACAGCACTGAACAGATACAGAGTGAGTATAGTCTGGAGTGTGAATCTACTGCCAAGGTCTATACTGACCTTGACCTTGACATGCCACCACTGAAGGACAGAACTAATGACCAGTGCCTTCTGCTCGAATCAACGGCACATTCAACACACAAGGCAGACGGCAAACCAGCCAAGGTCAACACAGAGTCATCAAATGCTGACTATGGCATTGCGCCCATCATGGAAAACATCATCTCATCGTCAACGAGCATAGCTCAAGATTTATCACAAAAATTCCAACAAAACCATTGTGTCAATAATCCCACCATCACTTCCACCACATCTACCCACCGTGACCTGCTACGGTCCAAGATGGAGACAGGGCAAAACTTTGGTGAGATCATCAAGGAGTCCATAGTTGAAACTGTGTCGGCTTAATGAACAAATGTATTGTTGCACACATATCCAAGCTGTTGCTGTAAAATTATGTATTTTCATTGGGCTCAAATTTTCGTGATTTTTTCCAATATTTTCTCCGTGTATTTCCTTTGTGTATTTGATTCAATTTTGTAGAGGGTGCCGTATTTTCCGATATTTATCAGCTGCCATGCAAATTTTTAGCCTTTCAGTTTGATCCATTTATAAGTCTCGCTGGAATATAAGCCCCAGCCCGACTCACAAGGAAAAAGGTGCGACTTATAATCTGGAAAATACAGTACTCTTAAAATTAATGAGTTTTCTTTCTTAACAATTATTTCTATACATGGATTTAGATCTTGAAACCAACAAAAATAAACTGAAGAGGAAAATATATAATTTTACAGTACAGAATGATCAGGACTGATGTATCTAGAGTAGAATTATAGAAATACTTGTCAGTGTCTGCTATTGTTACTGTAGTAGATTATGTAGATTAATTGCTGTGTGCAGAATTCTTCAATGTCTTCACTATGTAGTAAACGGCTTTTTGGAGTTAAATTTAGCTATATATGGTGTTAGCTATATCTTAATGTATCATGTCCACCAGTATCAAATAAGAATTTCTTTACTTAATTAATAGAAATAGATCAGGAAGCAAAGAATTTATAGTAGGATTTTGGATTTAAATAGTATTTTTTTGCAAAGCTGAATTTGTAAATACCAGGCATAGTATCTTAAATGAGTTTTCCTTTTACATGAGATCTTATGAAAGGAGTCTGAGAAGGTTATATTTTTGCAAACCTTGGCGATCAAAAACGAAACTTCAAGACAAGAGTTTCATAAAATCTTATATGACATGAAAACAAATCACTTCTTGTCACATAGCTCAGAAAAGCTACATTATGAAAGGTATTAAAGTAAAAGTGTAGAGGACAAAATCAAACAATGGCAGCCATTTTAATTTTGTGATGTCGGGTCATTGTCCATATTATGACATCACAATTGATTTCTGACTGGTGCAGCCAATGAAAAAGCTTCAGGGTTTACTTCACTACTGACCTAAACACAAACATTTAACTTTGGTGAATTCACTGGGTGACATATACGTCGGATTATATGAAAACTAAATAAAAATGTATAAATCGGATGAAACCAGCAAGTTTTGTAAATGACTGATTTATTACTTATGGGCCATGGCGAACGTTGTTCTTGTATCATTAAAACTAAGTGCAAAACTATACAAGTTAAAATTTCAAGATTTCACTTAAATATTTGATACAAAAGGTCAAACTGATACTTACTTAATACAAAAGGTCAAACTGATGCTTAGTTGTTGTGTTGTAATTATGTTTTTTAAATAAGGTTTTACTATGTTGCATTGTGTTAATGAATCTCTGTAAGTTGTGCTATTAAAAAGGAATTTTACCAGTTAGACAAAATTCATAACTGACATTCTTGGGCCATTTTTGGCGATTTTGAAAGGTTGACAATGTGCAATTAAGAAGTCTTTTATTGTTAACAGGTCTGCATTGTGCAAACTAGCCTTAAGATATATGAAACTATGATAAAGCTCACTAAAAAAAACCTGTTCTCTTTGTATTTAAAGAATCAAATTGATGATTTATGCAAAATACATTTTAAATGATTGTCATTTTTTGCCGAAACTTTAACTAGTTTATTATCGTCGATGATAAAACACTGATGAATTAAATATTTATATATCATAGATATCCTCAATGGAACGTCTACCATCACATCACTTTTTGCCCTCCAATGCAAACTGACCAAATAAGTATTTTACCAAATAAGGAAAATTGTTGTCGAAGTCCTCAAATATGAAAGTTGTCAAAATTGATCAAGTTACTCACAGTACCAACTGAAGGGAAGATAGAGATCTGTATGTCATGTTGGTGACTTTTCAATGTGTATATTTAGGTGCTGATCAGATTGTTGTAGTATATAGTATATTGTGCATGTTTTCTCTGTACTACATATGTAGTACGGACCACTTTTTGGTCACATCTTTTATGTGTTGATGTTACAGTGATGAAATTGTTTATCTGTGTACAATGTATGTAGCTTTGTATTTAGAAATTTTTAAATGAAAATTTCTTGCCAAATTGATTCTGCATCATAGCTTTATAAGTGAAAGTTGGTATGTTTTATAGAATTGTCCTAATTGTGATTTTTTCCTTTTGCTTTTTATAAAGATGTCACAAATTCATGTATTCTATTTTATGGGGGAAAGATCTCTTCATGTTTACTGAGTTTTTAAAAAAACTGTTTTAGTCCCTTTCCTTGTCATAAGGGGAAATACATTTGTTTTTTTTTCTTATGTTCAAACATATCGCATTAAAATGACATTTCCTTTGCAATCTATTTTCTGACTATTTTTTTCATTGTATTACATTGTGATCAGATTTAAATGATTCATGATTTTAAATAGATCAGAGAGAACATAAGTCTAGATTTTTACTGCATTCATATTGCTGGATTTGTATGTATCACCCCTCTTTCAGTTACTTTTATGGCATGTAGAACTTACTGAATGTATTTTATCAGCAATTTTAAACAGCTGGAAAAACAAACTGATATCGATTGTGCAGGTTTTTTTTTTTTTTTAAATTTGAGAACACAATTGTTAAATTCAGATTCTTATATCTTGTGTTAATTATACGAACAACTCCACTTTGTTTTCACACAGTTGATGTTGTGTGTGAGGGGAGATAACTCCTTTGAAACTCTAACAAACATTACATTTAGATGCACAAGATGTCTTCTTTATAAGTATTACTAAATGTTTGGTCTTTATGTTAGTATCGGTGCTTATTTCTTTTCCTATATTTTTAAATTTCGACCAGGTGCTTTGAATTAAGAAACTATATTTTTGTGCCATGTTTGTTTACTGCAATTAGAAGTGCACCTTGCCAGAAACACATAATTATTGATTAACATTTGAGTCGAAATGAGTTTAACTTGAGGATTGTGACTTAAGTACTTCATTTAACGGTGAATTGTTTACAGAATGTAAAGGCCGTACAGGACTGATGGCAACTGTGAATTATGTCTTTTGTCGGCTTTCTCTTAATATAAGGAAATGTAAAATGATTTTAACTGGATTATGTCCCCACTGGGGTCAGCTTTTTCTGAACTTAAGGAATTGTACTTAGCTGATTGTATGGTCCCGTTTCATCTTGTTTTTCTCTTGACTTAAGGAATTGCAAAAGTTTTTGCCATGTCTGATTTTCTTTAAAGTATTAAAGGGTATAGGTTGTATTTTGTTGGTTATGTCTCCATATAGATGTGTAAAATTTGAAGAAATGTAACAAATAGGGTCATTTATGTTATCACTCTGACCAAGGTTGCTTATATCAGATATATAAAAGGACATATCAACTGATCTGAACTATTTACTTATCAAGGCTTGACAAATCCTTTTGAGGCCTGTACTAATAGGTCCGTCCTGATCTTTGTCTGAAGTACATTTATATGCTGACAAACTGGTATGTTTACCTCAGTAAAAATGGCCCAGATTTTGTATGAAAGTCGTGATTACTGTGGGAAACACAGTTGTCTTTATTATCAATATTCTTAGTATTCTTATTTTATAACATTTAAAATGCTGGTTTAAATTATACACCAATAAACCTCATTCATAAAACATCATGACCATAATAGGGCTGTTTATAATTGCTAAGTATAATACAAGCTGAGACTTTTGATCAGCTACAATACATTATATAGTTACATTTCTCTTGGTATATAGATCTTGTTGTACCATACTGATCTAAAAGTCCAGCTACTGGTTGAAATTGTTCATGGCATTATTGTTCTAGTCCAAAACATTTATCAACACAACTGAAATATTACAGACACTTTTTAAAAAAATGATTTATACTATGTCTCGTCAGGTTTTTGTTGTTTACTGACAAATTCAACCATTTCTATATCAAAGTTTGTAGATCAACTCATCAATCTATATAAAGAGAGATATCTGATGTTAGTTTGTAGGTTTAGATGTTAAGAAACTTGTGACAGTTTTCTTCTGAGGTAGAGAGATTAGATGTTTTTGTGAACAAACTTGGGAGATCTGCATTGGTGTTTGTAGAGCAAAGGAAGGACTTCTGTGAGGTTCGTGCTGAAAGTATATCACGCAAAGTTTCTGTGATAAACTTTCTGCTAGTCAAGTCACATTCATATATGTTGTGTTATTGTACCTGAATACATACCTTTTGTTTTGCTCTGTATTTCTTATAGTTACTGCTGAGCCTTTCCTAGTATGATGTATTTTTGTGTTTAATTCACTTCATTTAGGATAAATCATATTTTGTGTTCTAATTATACTGTTAGTCTTTGCCAGTATTTGTATTCACTGTGCACTTTTTAAGTACTGGTAGTAGTTGAACATGACACGGATATTAACAGAATATCTAGTTTATTACCCTAGTAACCCTCAGTGGTTTTTGACGCTTGTGACCTTGATCAAGGTCATTTGAACTAAACTTATAGTATGTTTATCCCTTTCATTTGTAAGATGAACAATTAGTTTTACATATATACGGTGAAACCTTATCTCTATGTTTTGTTGGAGTTAAAATGAATTTCAAACTATCCTGAATATCTCCACTTGGAGATTCTCTTTGTCTGGTTTGATATATCCTGTACATGAAACATATCTTGATGTGACTTATTTGACAAATCTCATTTTCTGAGGCACGTTCTATTTACTCTTGTGTTCTCACATCTGTTTTAATATTGAGCATCTCAATCTACAAGTAGGATAGTGCTATAAATGTTTTACACTTTGTAATGTTGCAATAAGCTATTTTTGTTCAGTTGGTGTTAAACTAACATCTCTTTTTTGTTTTTTGTTTTTTTTGAAAGATCTGATTTTTGAATGGAGTAGAAGGCTGTATTAGTCTAAGGCTGTTGAATAAGAACAAATTGTTTGAAAATAATTTCCAGATGCTTACAATTGATCATTTTTCTGTCTCTCTTTTCGTAAAACATTTCAAATAGCTTCTGTGTTCTCTATAGGGAAAGTTTGATACCAGCATATGATAAGCTAGCTACTGTAAGATAATTAGTAATGTAGGCCAAGTCTTTTGAAAACTTCTCTGTCAAATGCAGATGATTTAAACACAATGCTGTTTTACCTGTCTACTAGATTTTCTCTCTCAGATAAAAGACGTAGTTTTTATCCTTTACACTACTACTGCAATAGTTAAATTATATTTTAAATATATGTTGTTTGATGAACAAGTTTAAGTATTCATGATTCTTAGGGTTTTTTTGTTAATTTTTCACACATTACCACTTTCTTGGTTGTTATTTGCAATAATGGTTGTGAAATTCAGTGATGTTATTATTTTTTTTTATGGGGATAAAAATTCAGTGTAGTATGTTTTCTTTCAATTGTAAAATGTTCATGTGTTTGTATAGCATTCTTGTACAACTTGTGAGAATAAAAGGGAGGGAGGGGGGACTCGGATCATCTGCCAAATCAGATTGACCAAATAAATATATAGGTCATTAACTATAACAACTAGTTTGAGAATTTATTTCTGGTTCAGAATCATTTATATGTTTGCTGTTTTGTTAAAAAAACGAATCTGATGGTAAATGTTGGCTGTTTTATTAAAAAAACGAATCTGATGGTAAATGTTTGCTGTTTTGTTACAAAAACGAATCTGATGGTAAATGAATGTCTTGTTGTAATAAATATTTCCAGGATTTAATTTGGTAGTATAATAGGCCTAAAGATTTACTGTTTATTATGAAATGGGTACACTGCTGTGTTCTACCACAGAGAAACCACCAGCCAAGGTGTGTCAGGTTTAAGGTATTGTCATGCCAAATGTGTGCCCTTTGTTTCTTGTTTCTTTGTTGTCACTTATTTTTGATCAGGTGTATATTGGATTCTTTCATGTAGATTTATTCATATTTATTTCACCAATGAAAAATCACATCACAAAAACAATTTTATGGATTTTCATTTGTTAGAATTGAACATATTTTTTTTGAAGAAATGCTGACCATGTTGTTCTTTGATCAGTCTGCAACTGTCTTTTGATATACATTATTAGGGTAGATTGGTTAGATCCATGCTTTTATGACTTACAATTAGCAAATTTTAATGATAGATTTTATGTTGTACATACTTTTAATAGAAAATGTGACATTTTAGAATTGTTATACGCAAAAATAAATCAGTATTATTACTGATGCATCATGTGACCTCCCTGCAAGCTGGTTGTCATGGCAACCAATATAAACAGGGCCAATGTCTCGGTAGTTGTTGACCATGTGTACCAAAGTTTCAGTATGTCAATAGTGTTGTTATATATACATATATAAATATATATATCTACATATATCTATATTGTGTAAGTAAGATGACTGTGCAATAAATCATGTGAATAAAAAGAGGACATCTGTGTCTTATTTTACTTAGAATCTATATATGTTTAGCTAGACATAACCAAATCCTTAAATGGTAGCCCTAGTTACTGCTTAAGGCTTAGGACTATGGTAGTGTAACGACTGATTGGCCTGTTGTCAGTATAAAGTGAACGGGCGGGGTATCCTGCTGGGTGTCTTTGTCTATACTTCAGTGTGATAGCACTTAAAAAGTCGGTCAATGTTTCACACTGTCACAAGAAGGCTAACCCAGGTATATTACGCTGCCTCCCAGAAACACACTTCACAAGCAATGCCTTACATAAATAACAGTTGCTCTTAACAGGGCGTCGTTAAGCAGTACACAATCTAAACCAGACTTGGCACAGATAATGTGTAAATCCTGGTTCATGTTTCGATGACTATACTGGATGAAATGTCTTTAACATATTGCAGTTAGATCTTAATTCCTCCAAGGCTGGACGCCACAGGCTTCGTGTTTTATTTAGTCAGTCATATTTGCCGTATGCCCACGTCACGTTTTGATTATTTTCAATACTGTTGACTTTTTCATGACACCATCAAATTTTAGGACATTAACACATTTTGGCAAGTTAGCTCATTGATTAAATAGAGCATCGGATTATTTATGCAATCACGGAAAGCGCTGAAATAAGATTATAGTAGAAAAAAATATGTAACATACATATACACACGCATACTTTCCGGAATTTTGAAACCATCTATTATTCAAAAAGACGAAATGAATGAATTAAGTGCATCTATCCATTTATATTTTCTGGCATTTGGTTTTTCTCGGTCGCCTAATAAGCGAGGTGGCACACTTCAGATAGGTACTTATTTTGAAAGCCATTCACTATTGTAACAACCATTGTCAACATAATCATAATCCAAACTCCAATTCTATAAAACTAGGACAAGATAGGAACAAAAGAAAGATTTACTCAGAGACTCCGGAAAAAAATACAAGGAGAATAAGTGTTCCAGAATAGTAAGCGTCTTCTGCTTTATCTACGGCACCCGCCATGTAAACCTTGTTCAATCCAAGTAAGTAATGTCACGTTCTTAAACGTGAATAACAGGCAAACTAAAGAGCATCTAACACGTCCAGCTTCTTATCAGATATAAATCCTCGGTGCATAAGATGTGATGAGCCATTCACCGTTAAACATTTTTTTATTAAACTGCAGTGACTTTCTGTCTACTCGAGAAATTTTTTAGCGTAACGTTACAAGTCTAAAGACCCCTTTGGAACTGTTGAGATTTGTAAAATTCTAGGTTTTCTGAAAGCTGTTGGTCTATATAATAGACTTTGACTTACCATCTGAATCTTTTGTGATAATATACCCATCTAAGATTTTTAGCATTTGTCTTTTATCTTTGAGTTTGTTTGATGTTATTTCCTTTTTGGATCGCTGTGTTTTTCACCGGTTGATGGCCCTAATAACTGTTTATGTGGTGACGGTCCGTTAAGAGTGTAATAGTAATAATAATAATATCAAATATATTTCTTAATGAGATTACTATGACTACCGTTAATTTTCCCCATAATCTTCACCATCCTTACTCTTTTGAAATCCTGTGTTACGAGTTTGCCCATGATAATAGGAACAGTCCCTTGAATATCAAATCAACTGCGAAATGTAAACGCTATCGTTTCTTTCCAGAAATGAAACATTTGCATTGAAAATCATCACATTTACCATACAGCTTGGTGGAAAGTTGTCCATGTTGCTTACGTTGTAGGTAAAGATCGAGATAAACGGCTGATGTATAAGAGTGTGTCGTGTCTTTGATTTAACCAATTGAATTAACTAATTTACATTTACACCACAAGGACCACAAGTACTTTGGACATCGTTTACAGAAATAACTTTGTGATTTCTAGAAATTGATGAAAACGCAGTTAATTAACTGTAATTTAAGAAAATATTTAGATGAATTTATCAATTTCTATATAACAGCTGATATCTTGCAATTAACGTACTAGATTATGCTAAATCCTTGTATAAATAATTATATAGTAACTAATTATTTATGGAAATTTATCAACGCATCAATTTCTCCATTGATACAAGGGAGAGAACTCTTTGAAATACCAAGACAAGGGAGATAACACCTGCGAATACTGCGACAATGTCTACCATGTATATCTATAACGTATGGGTATTATATCCGATGACGGGATGAGGGCTGATAATGCGAAAAATTCTCCGGTATTTACACTCTTACTGATTATAAAATTACTATATAAAGAGATTTGGATGCAATATTGCGGCGTCACTAAATGAATCGACCTAATGACACCCATAAATAATGTCCCGTCGCCAGGAACGTTATAAAGAGATGGTGCTATAAGAAATATGTGACTATTGACAAGTCTTTGACAAAAAAAAAATCAAAAATTGAAATTGCAATAATTGAAAAATATTCGTTTTTGAGTCGTATATAAAAAGTATGAAGAAACTGTCCGGAACATGATCCTCAACAGTTTTACAATGGGAGCGACACAGCCAAGTTGATTAAAATATCTTCAAAGTGCAAGCAGGTATCTATTAAGTTATATAAGTTATGTAAAAAGGTTATTGTCTGTTTAAACACTGAATATAATTAGCTGTGACACTAATATGGAAGAAATCTAGCATTTAGAATCGGAACTCTCAGCTGATCAAAGATGGCGGCCATCGCGGCCTGTGATACACTACTTGTTAATTATAAGACATAGTTTAAAAGTAAATGTTAGGTCTAATGTACATCCGATAAAATGATTTACACGGGAATAAAGTATTTTCTATCGATATGTACTGCCCAGATTCACAAATTCAGCATTCCGTTTGTATAAAATATTGTGACATATCAGGGGGATTTGGTAAACAACACTCGCACTGGACATCGTTATATTTGTTTAAAACGTAGTCAGTGTATCTACTCTTCTTTAATAGTTGATTTCTTGACAATATTCTCTATACCATACCGCAACTCTGATAGTACAGTTCTTCAACTCACATGAGTACATTTTTTTTAAAAATTCTCAACGCCACCCTGCTTAAATATGATGGACCAATATTAAATATATACGGCTCTAATTTACATCACTCTGCTTTGTTTACAAGACTCTCGTCTTACTAGGTTTCCATGACGACAAACTTGGTGAAAATAATTGCATCACTTGGTATCAGTTGTATGTTATAGTTAATTCCACTTACGAGATGCTCTTCACTTGTATTTCTTTCTTACAATTATTCAATTAAATAACTGACTTAATCCTTTCTTTAGTTCTCGAACGTAATCAAATTATCTTTCGGTTAAAATACCTACCTTTCAACAAAATCGTATTTCAAATTTATAATCGACGAAATGAGCTGAATATATCACACAAAAACACCATCATAGTGTCGTCAGAAAAATGACAGGGATAATAAGACAGTGTGTTCTTACAGGAAAATCATCTTTATCATCATTATCTGCAATGTGAATAATATTTGTCAGGGTATTAACGTAAAGTTTAGTTCGTAAATAAGAATAGTGAATAAGGTGACAGTGGCTCATTGGCAATCGGCCTATATAGTTTTAAATAAGAGATATTTGAAGTTTGAACAACTTCGTAAATAATAGGAATTGTTTTGGTTGCCATCGCGCTAAAATGGTAGCCAAAGCGGTTAGATGTCGTCAACAGAATTCTTTCTCCTCGTTCCCACGTTCGCCCTTAACAAGCAAGCGATAAGTAATTCTTTGTGAGTGCATTTTGTCTAATGAACACATTGACATTAAAAAGGTACTATTGTGTCTGTCTTGAGAGCAGAGGTTATTGTTCAATCTTTGCTCTCACTGCAGGTCGAATTTCTCTCCCTGTCAGAATTTCCTTCCCTGTCCGAACTTCCCTCCCTATCAGAACTTCCCTCCCTGTCTGAGCTATCCTCCCTGTCCGAACTTCCCTCCCTGTCCGAACTTCTTTCCCTGTCCGAACTTACCTCCCTGTCCGAACTTCCCTCCCTGTCCGAACTTACCTCCCTGTCCGAACTTATCTCCCTGTCCGAACTTCTCTTCCTGCCCGAACTTACCTCCCTGTCCGAACTTATCTCCGTGTGCGAACTTCTCTTCCTGTCTGAACTTATCACTCTGTCCGAACTTCCCTACCTTTACCCGATTTCGGACTCGGTAGCTGTCGTTTTCTCTGTAGGATTTTTAACGTTTGAATCAAATCTCTCGCATCTTTTAGCTTTTATTAAGCAGTGGAAATGCTATGCTATCTCTGGTAATCTGGGCTATGTGTGTAAAGTCGAATGTTGTCATATTGTTGCTGTTTTTCTTTTGTGGATTTAGTTCTCCTTAATTCATTAATAGGAATGGTTTTAGCTTGATGAATACTCCATGTTATTAATTCAAAGAAATATATAAATCTTTTCTGAGCTTTGTCCACATTATACTATCATTAAACCTATAATGGAAAACGCAACAGGGATGGATGTGCTACAGTTCGTCATCCTTTATTGCTCAAACTTGAGAGTATACAATAGAAAATGAAAAGAAAAGAGTACGAAGTTATGTAATGTACAAGTTGTGGTGCATATTTCGTTATCACTCACAATATCATTGTTCTTTGGGGAGGGGTGTATTCACCCTTACATTAAAACTGGTTGGTGACATTATATCAGATCCGCAGCATTTAAATAGATCTGTGCCGATTTCCAAAGGAAAGTAAGCACTGTTCTGTGCAAATTCAAAGCACACCGTTTTGTCATCAAAATCTTGGCTGTCTATGGTTCCTTTGAATAGAGAAACAACGTCTTCTTCTGCCATTTGAGACGATAGCAAGTACGCTTGAACACCATAGTAGCAAATAACCAGTCTGGAATTTAAAAAAAAAATGAGTGAATTATTTATACCAATCACAAAGTTCTTATACCATATCATCAATACATTAGACTTAAATAATGAAAGACAATATTGAATGATTTTCACGTGTATATTCTGATCTGTATGACTATTAGAATGAAATAAACGTGGAATG